ATCGTAAGTCTAATCTTGTCTGAGTACTGGTGATTGGACGCCCTTACTAACAATTCAAAACAGATCGTCTACGTCATCGTAGCCGTAGCTGCGTGGTACTACCCCAACCCCGATGTCGCTACTTCGAACGGTGCGGAGTAACAAGAGACGGTACAAGAAGAGATGGAGGGGCGGAGACTGCGGCAGTTGGTACGGCGGACCGGTGGTCGATTCATGCTGAGATATTTTGGATCACCGGGGTTTGCAAGGTAGCTGGGGATTTTTGGTCATCGCTGTCTAGTGTTATGTAACCAAAAAGTGGCTTTGAAAAAGTTGTTTTTTGATTACATAACACTTGGGGGCGAGGCTCAAGAATCTCCAGCTGCCTTGTGAGCCATGCTTTGTTCAACTACCGTGTCGTTGGGGCATGGGTGGGATGGCAGGAGGAGCACGCCGTTACGCATTGGGATATGATCACTGTATGATACGACATTCGATATGATATTGAACAACAAGTTGCCATACAACTTTACTTCATTCGCATGTATCTATCTTTTCCAAACAGATTTTACATACTGCTTCGCCTTCCACCTCACCCCTAGTACCCACAATCCGCTCCCGCCAACTTAACCAGCTTAGGAAAATCCGGCGTCCCAAACCCAGTAACCGGGTCCCAACCCTCTGTAACCGGGAACCCCTCAACATTACACCCCCTACTAAACCCCTTAGTAATATCCGTCAACCCCTTATACCCCTTCTTATACAACCACGGATTCATAAAACCCAGCGCCGGCTTCCCAGCCGCCAACAACGCGTCGTTAACAAGCGCAAAGATACCGCCTGTCAAAGGACAAGAAGCAGAAGTACCAGAAATCGTTCCTTCGGTCCCGTTCCAGAAATACGCGAAATACAGACCCTGGGCCGCGAGATCGGGGTAGCCGCGACCGGTCTTGTTGTACAAGCCTTCGTAGGTGGAGTTGAGTGACTTGACGTATGCGGGAACGACCTTATCCTGATACCAGGGGCGCGCGAAGTAATTGCTAAACCCACTGCCACTGCTGTACAAATCGCGGAACCCAGCAGTCGTGTTGCGGGAAGGGCGGTACGCAGATTCCTCAGGTTCGAAGTTCATGGTTGCGCCTACGGTCGTGACGTAGGGACAGGACGCAGGGAACGCGGGCTGGAATTGGTACGTGTTCTTACCGTCGTTGGTGTAGCAGGTATCTGTGCCGCCGAGACCGCGGTCGCCGGACGAGAAAAAGAGGGTGGTGCCGCGGGCGCCGACTTGGGCGAATTGCCGGCATACGCGCTCGGCGTAGCTCTTGGGGATGGTTTGCTCGGGCTCGCCGTAGGAGGTCGAGATGATGCGCGGGATGGAGCGTTGGGTTAGGAGCCAGTTTACCCAGGCTAGGTAGGGCTCGTTGGTGTTTGTGGGGGTGGAGATGTCAGGGACGAAGGGGGGTTGGCCACCGGTGGAGTAGGAGGTTATGGGTGTTTTCCAGCTTATTCCGGAAATGGCTTGTACGTCGAGGTTGGCTTCGCGGCTGATGCCCTCGACGGTGGATTGGTTGTAGGTTAGGGGGCCGTCTTGGACGGGGCCGTTGTCGATGGAGATTTGCTTGAAGGCGTAGGCTTGCGAGACAGCTTCGGGGCGGTACTTCTCGAGGAACATCTTGGTGTCTGGGCGGATGGGGATTTCGCCGAGGTAGTTTGTGAAGCCGATGCTGTTCTTGCGGCTGGCCTTGGTGTGGTACCACTTGGTCTTGTAGAGGGTCTGGAAGCATTCCGGGGTGACGGATGTCACGTTGCACACGGCAGAGATGGACGAGTTCTGGGGTGTGTGGTAGCTCTTGGGTACTTCGACAGCCTCGTCGACGAATGTCGCGGCGTGGGCAGCGCCGCGGAAGAAAGATGTGGTGGGCTGGACGGTGTCGACGTGAGCGTGTAGGTGGCGCGGGAGAGACCAAGCTGTTGTACGCGCAACAACGGAGCCATCCTTGTGCTTGTAGTTGTGGTATTCGGTGTCGAGCAGACTCTCAACCATCTCAATGGGCAGATGGACGATGACCCAGTCCTTGGCCGAGCTGTAGCCCAGGTTGCTGGTGTTGATTCCGCTCTCGGCGAGCCACTCGTGCACCAAGTCGTGGGTCTCAGAGCTGGGTGCAACGAGTTCATCAACCTCGTCGGCGCTCAGATGTTGACCGTAGCGTGCATGGTCAGGGTCGGAGACTACACGTCGTTAGCTCAGATGTCGCGAAACCTTTCAATCCAGCAAACATACCCTCATGAAGATGGCGATCAAGCTCCTCAAACCTCCCCTGCTTAAGACCAATCTGCAGCTGAATCGTCTTGCCACCATGCGACCTCTCAAGCTTCGTCCACTCCCTCGGCGCAAAATGCGTCTCCTTAACCACATACGGCGAGCGAGCCTGAATGGGCGAAGCCAGCGCATCCCGCGCGGCAACAGCAGCCAACACAACCGTCGCGAAGATCTGCATTGTAGCAATTGTGGTAGTTGTCTCAAAAACAGATGCAGACAACAACGCGCACGCCCAGTCCCACCAAGCAAGCCTTGCCAGCTATTTAAGCTCCTGCGAAGCTCCGCCCAGACTCGCGTCATACAGCTTCATGGTACCTTGGCGACCCTAGGGCAGGGCGCCCCATCTGGAAGGACGATAGTAAAGCGCATAGTACATGCATGTCGATCGCCGTATCGTCGGAACAGCCTTGACTGGATTGCTATCACCTAAGGTGCGAGCAAGCTAGACAATCTCTTCATCGCGACAAGCTCAGCGTTGCCAAGATGGCGAAAACAACAGTCGGACTGTCCATCACGCGTTATGATTCGTTGCTGGTGTGTGATAACGCAAATAGCGATGTTCACAAAGGCGGGGGATGAAGTTGGCATGATAGCAAGGGCATATGACGGGAACGCTCTAGCCTCAGCAACGGCCGCGCTAACGCTGGATTAGGCAGCTACAAAACTTCGGCATCATCGTGCGCCGCGATAAACAAGCAAAGTCAAGCCACTAGCTGTTGGGTCCGACGGCGTGTTAGCTGCTCTTGGGAGAGCTTGACTTGCTCTTGGAAGGTGATGGAGTGGATACGGGTTCCGGACCTCGAGTGAGTGCAGCATGTACCCCGCCGCCAACCCGGTTGACGGCATTGTGAATGACCCAGCGACGTCTTTACGAGTCTCTTGTCGGGGCGATGGACAATATGGTGCTACGCGCTTATCTATGGCTTGATATGCGCGCGTTCGTGGAATATCTGGGCAGCGCGGCAGTATGGCCGTAACAGATGCTTCTTGCATGTCGTTGCATCGCGCGCCCACGTTACCGCATATCCGATCGCTTAGCATCGTGTCCACCTATGACATTTCTATCTGCAAGGCAGGAAGCACGTATGTACAACGTGCGTCCTAATCTCCGTTCAACTAATACAACTCCCAGGGTAGGCCGTTTCCGCCCCGACTATGCGCCTGCCTTTACACGCGACCCGCATCTTTGAATTCCCGACATCTCTTCAGCATCGCTTCCATAGGCAGGACCGCCATGAGACGAGCAAAGTCCACGTATTTGCTACTAAAGATGCAGATCCATCGCGCCATAAACTCTTCCGTAATTACGTTCATCGTCTTCGTCGCCGCTATAAATGCCTCGAGATGGTCCTCTTCACAAAGCATCATGCGCATGCGCTCCGCATTTCAGTCGCTCATTGCATAAGCGACTACTTCAAAGAGGCCCTTGTTAGATATGAGGTGAAACTGCAGGAACGTAAAGGGGTCGGGATTTGGCGACTCTACGAGAGAGTCATGGTCTGATCCCTTCTGCATCAGAGATACATTCGGCTCTTCGGATCGATACCAAAAGTGGCGGTCGTCTGGAGCTGCCACCAGCGGGTTGCTCCGCAACTCGTCGATCATTTTCTTAATTTGCGGTGACCAGTATATCCGCTCGCAGTCCTGGACATACTGAGTATACTCAAAGAGCTGTGCAAATCGCATTAATTTCATATCAGGGTCCACATCGTAATTGCAACTTCGAACCAGCTCGCTTGCCGACACGCGATCTGTATGGCATAGGTGGGCCACCTGCATCTCGTCCTCAATCTCTTCAGTGGACTGTTGAGCCGGCATTTCGGCAAGAGGTCGCCGGCTTGTACGACAACTCGCCTTGAACCAGGGTGTTCTACAAAGCGGACAGAGATTGAATCCTGGGTCTCGGGATCGGAAGACTTGTTTCAAGCATTCCTTACCAAAAACGTGCTGGCAACCAGGTACGCCGCATACTCGAAATGGCAGGTCCGATGTTCCCGTATCCGCATTCGTAGTACCAAAAGCCGCTCGACAAATGCTGCAGTTGCTGTCGTCTCCATCGGGGATACATACATGGCTTGAAGTGTCGGAGGAAGCGTGGGTAATCCCTGTCAGGGCCACATGCGTCGAGTGCGATATTTGAGAAGCAAGAGTTCGTTGTCGTGGATGCCATGATGCTGGGCAATTTTTGCGGGCCGCAAGTGCAGTCTCAAAGCGCTAATGGGTTGTTTGCGATTAAATACGATTGTCTGTCCGCTTGTTTGCCAGTTGCTACAAGTCTCGTGATCTCTCGCACCGTCGGCTCAGTCTGGTGATATCGGGAAGATGCCACAGTGACCCAAGGCGACCCAGATATGCTTGTTACTTCTTCCAGTGACTTCGGCAGAGCGTGATGAACCTGAATGCCTTGAAGGCAATATTTTGCAGTAAGTTCATGGTTTCCACTCGAATTGATAAAGCCTCCGCACGTCAGGCTACCTGTTATGAGTAAGATGAGGGAATGGCGATCCGGACATTTCGTTCAATTCTTCTGGTATCTTAGTGCAAGGCACAAGACTGAAGAACAAGTATCTTCGGGACGCGAAGTTCCCGGCGTGGGACTCAGATTCGATTCTAGTCGTCTAGCTCATGGATAAAGCACGGTCAATGCTCAAGGCAAGCCTGAGACAAAGTTTGGGTAGTCTAGCGGAATATTAACTATCATCTACCGGAAGTAAGTCGGCGCCGTAGCCTTAGCCGCCATCCAAGCCTCGTCCAACGCCTTGACAACATCATCCGGCAGCGGGCCCTTTTCCAAATCCGCCAGATTACCCTCCAGCTGCTTCAAGCTGCTAACACCAATGATCACACCGTCATTCCCACCCTTAACTCTGGTCTTCAACTCAGAGTGGTGGATACACCATCGCAGCGCAATCTCGAGCAGGGTCAGGTTGTGCTTCTGCGCAGCATCTTCAGCGATCTTCAGAGCTTGGAAAGTGGCGTCTTTGAAGTATCGGTCGCGGTACATGCTGCCGACGCGGTCTGCTTTCGTGCCGAAACGGCCTTCGTCGGGCTTGATGTCTTTGGATTTGATCTTGCCGGAGAAGAGACCGCCGGCTAGGGGGTTGTAGATTACGATGTCGATGCCGTACTTGCGGCAAGCTGGGATGAGCTCGGGTTCGATGGCACGAGCTGTCGCATGTTAAAATCTGCTTTTCTGGTGATATCATTTGCACTTACTGATAGCGTTGTACATCGCTTGGTAGATGGTCGGCTTCACCCAACCCCGCTCCTTGCAAATGTTGTATACCTCCGCAACCTCCCACGCAGCGAAGTTGGAAAGACCCAAATTGACGAACTTTCCCTGCTTGTGCAGCTCATTCACAGCACCAAGTGTCTCCTCGAATGGCACGGAATGGTCTGGCGCGTGCAGGTAGAAGATGTCCACGCAGTCCGCCCCCAGCTCTTTGAGACTAGTCTCGAAATGCTCCTTCAGCCTGTCGGGCTTGTGAACGCCAGCCTCGTAAGGATACACCTTGGTGGCGAGAGTAAAGCCGCGGTCCTTCCACCCCGCCTGGCGCGTCCATGCCTCTTGCTTGCCGCCAACATACATGCGGGCTGTGTCAATTTCATCGTAGCCCTGGGATTGGAAGTAGTCGAGATGCTTGGTGAATTCATCGAATTCTGTGATGCGTGCGCCACTGGTCTCGTCGGGACCTGGAACGCATTAGTCATGGTGTTGGGTTCTTGATCTGCGAAGCTTACCGAATGTCATCAATCCGAGGATGACTCGGTCTTTGGGGTTCTGCGCGATGAGAGGCATCTTGGTTTTCTGTCTGAGTTGTGCAGTGATACGAAGTAAGGATTATTGATGGCGAGCTTCACGCCTGCTGTCGTTGTCGCGAGATGACGACAGCGGGGTGCCCCACCCGGAGATAAAGACACGGAGATATGCGGAAGAGCCGAACGAACCTGCCTCACTGATGGACGTCGATACACTAATGCTGCAATTATCACACTCAACAACACTTCGACATGTACATCACTCCATTCCAGCGAAACACTTCCAACTCATTTCGAGCCTTCTCTACGTCAACATTCTGGTCGCTCTCGAGCCTTGCGGATTTGATCCACGCCCATCCCTTAGCGAAGATGGTTTGCTCGGATGACATCCAATGCCAGATCAGAAGTACTGCCGCAGTAGTCGGTAGAGAGGCAGCCCAGTAGATGCCGAAGCTTGGCTGTATGACCTTTGGCCCGTCCCACTACAGTGAAGGCATTGCGAAGAGAGTAGCGAAGAAGGTGGGCGGCAGGAAGATCATGGTCATGATCGCGATAGTCTTCATCGAGTAACTATCCTTTCGTGCTGCTAGTGCAATTTCCTTGCTACTCTTTGCATCTTCGCGTGTGAGTAAATTGAAGATCTGAAGTTCATGGTCAGCTGGTGTTGCGTCATGGATCTTTTGTGTCAACGTACTACAGCCTGCTGCGTACGGCCACGTTCCTGGAGATAACCTGCCTGCAGCTCGCTGGATTGTGTCTGGTGTTCCAACATTGATGCAGCAACAGTAATGTCATCGAAAGGGCTTGGAACGCTGGTGGTGTTCGGGGATTGTGCGAGCGCCGGATGATGAGATGACAGCGGTTGAGCCGGTGCAAGGTCGTTGAGGATTGCTCTTACAATGCAAGCGTGCCGGGAGATATTTGCAAGTGCTGTAAGTACGAATCCTAGCCGCTTAGAATGCTCCATTAGCTCATCCGTACTTGGAGGAGAGTCGTGCTGCACCTCATGCCATGCGCCATGCTCAGTGGCAACCTCTATGAATCGAATGCGGCCCAAGTTTTCGGAAGTAGTGCCTTCGATCCAACGGACTATCTGTATGGCACACACGAAAGAACAGAAACGCGCGTCGCCCACAAGATCCTTGTGGTGAACAATGGTCTCTATCACACTCTTAAAGATCCGCTGTGGATACTGGGAATGTTCTCGGGGTATGAGCACGGCTTTGGCAGTCGTCTCATGAGTGTCGTAAGTCCACAGCATCGTATACGACACGGTATGTAAGTAGCAAGTATACTGCGTGCCACCTTCCTTCAGTCGAGAGAAGAACCCGTATGTCGAAGACAATATCATGCTAAGCCAGTACGGATCAAACCCGAAGTCGTCAAAGATGTCCAGAAAAGTTCGCTGGTCGATGGAAAGGACTCCGTCGAAATCGCGCTCCAAGCTTATCAGCCGCATGGATGCTGTTGCCGTCTCGTCGCCGTTCTTGGGAATAGGTTTGTTGATCTGGTCACAGATCTCAGACGTCTGGGACCCATAAGCATCTGTCAGTTTGACAGTTGTCTCTGCTTTCGTATATTGCGCCACGGTCAATAGCGAAATTCTAGCATCGTGTAATTCGGCACCTTGCTTGAACTTCTGCTCTGACAGAAATCGCGCCCGCGCTTGCGTTCGTAAGCCGTTCATCGGGGTGGATGTTCGTTATCAGCTGAACAGGCGGATTCAAGGTAGCAAGCTGAGTTGGTCAAGAACAAGAAGGTTGAGGAACGTGCAGGCGGCGTGGCAGGGCAATTGAGTTGCAACAACATTGGGGCTGAGCCATTGCACTGCCGGGGGCTTCAGCTTCAGTCCCAACCACCCATCCTGCTCACCTGTATATCATACTTCTGACCCTTCGACGTCTTATGCGCCCATCAGAGCACCGTATGTTTCGAAGCTTCCGCAGGATGCGCGCTTAGCACGAGTGAAGATGGGCGTGATTACACAGTGTGGGCCGATTACCTTCGGCAGGACAGCGGAATGTTTCCGACATCTCCTCGCGCTCTTTCCTCATGTCGCATTCCATCCGCGATGTTCTCAGATTATCTCTCCAGTCTCTCTCCTGTATGACGCAACATATCATCAACGCGAATTCATGCCAAGTCGCCATGCAACAGCCCGGCACCGAACTGACAGGAATCGTGCAGGTGCGATCGGAACGAGTCGAGAGCACTTGATCTCGGGTTCTACCGCATCCCCACTTCTTGAGGGTCGATCAGCTCCGGCTCAGGCCCAGCTCTTAATTAGATGAGTCATCGTATGGCATGCGACATGTTCTAACCCAGGCTGCTCTCAATACTCCGGCGCCGCCGATATCGTTCTGATGGTGTCGGTCATGGCAATTGCAATGTAGATTGCTCTGCCTTGCTTCCGAATGGTTCCTCAATTCATTGAAAACGCCACGACTTGGTTGGGAAAAGGCGTCCCCACGCGACTATTGGACAGCTACCTCGGACCTACCAAGCCTCCGCGACGCGCGCGAACTGCTTGCAGCAAGGCGTCGAGGCGGAGCGTGTCTCTCGCGAACGCCGTCTGTGCTAAGGACGTGCAAAAGCAGGAACAGCACACTCCCGCGGCCGTGCAACCCTTGAAGGCGATGATGAGGAATGGCTGAAACCTTGCGAGGCATCGCAGCCAGCATTCACAGCTCGCTTGGGGCGGTGGGGCGCTCTTGCACCAATGACGTCGCTGATGGGCCGATAAGGATAAGGAACCCAACATGTTGCAGCGCTCGGCTGGTCAGGCGGTCATCATCATGCAGCTAACCTGCACCATCATGCACCATGCTGCAGCTAGCAATGCCCATCACCCTCGCAGCATGGCCGAACTCTGCACCCAGGATCGTCCCGCAACCGTCCCGCCGCTCTTCTGTACAGCACAGGTGCCACGTAGCAGCGACGCAGGTACGCACAGAAGCCGCACACAAAGAAGCATAAACGTCGCGGGCAGATCGCTGCAGCTTATAAGACTGACAGCCGGCCCTGCGCTGGTGTTCCAGTGTTCTACACTCCATTTCACTGCAGACCGACATCTGCAGTGCGCCAGACAATGAGGCGATCAGCTGGAGCCCGAGGTGTCATGTGGCCCAGTAAGCCACTGTGTGCAAACTTACGAATCAGTCACTTTCTCGCACACCATCAAGTGGGCTGTGCCCTGATTGGAGCGCAAACTCTCGATACAAGGTACTTTGACTGAATCCTTTCTTGATTTAGCTTATGGCCATGCGTCTATTGGAATTTGGCCTCCACGCCGCGACTGCGGTGCACTTGCTCCCTTGCCCGGCCGGAACACTCTTTGTCTTCACATGATATCATAATTCTCTATCCGCTTCTCTCAAGTTTCCTTCCCTTGAAACGCTAGATTGTTCCTGTCTATTGGCTTGTGTCGCGCGTCTTAAGTATCACCCGCGTCCCCCATCGTCGAATTTAGCTTTCCGAACTTCGGCATCTGCATGCATGCAGTCATCACCTCTTCAGAACCTGGATACTGGACTTGAACCTTAGGCGCATAGCGATCCGAGACTTGCATCTTGATCGCCATGTGTTGGTCTTTCAACTTTGGCTTTCCAGGCAACAAAAAGCGTAAGGACTCGTCGTCGTCGGACGAGAAGAAGAGGCGGGATCGACCGGCGGATAGCGCGCTTCATGGAGAGGGAAGGCCAGTCGCTGCAGAATATTCAGAGAAGCGCAGTTCCAAAGACTCGAGCAGAAGAAGAAGATCTGGTGACTCTACCCCGCGATCTCCGCGGTCACCGCGCCACGAAAGAGAGAGGGAGGAGCACCGACCGCGATCGCAACACCAGTACGAAGATGCATACCGAACTCGCGAGAGACGCCGCTCGACACTGGACGTCGAAGTGCCGCAGGTCTATCGCCGTGCAGCTGAGCCAAGTAGCGTCAACTCATCGCAGGAGGCTCTGCTGAACCCACGCCCCCACCGGAGTCAACACCGTCGGCGGCAGCACCCAAAGCAAACGTCGCAAAGCACTCTGCGCGGGCGCGGAGCAAAGCGCGACCCTGTAAGACATTCAAAATCGAAGAAAAACGTCCGACCAGAACCTTCTCGGGGGTGGTCACTATTTGCGCCCTCCCCGCCAAAGACACCAAAGCGCGAACATCGCAGTTACCAGACCCTGGATTCCTCGCCCCGAAGCAACCGCTCATCCCGCCAGCATCGCTCCTCGACTGCATCTCAGACAAGTCCAGAGTCATCACGGTCTCAGAACCGCCACCACCGTTCTCGTCAGCACGACCAGTCAGCTTCTTCTCCGCGCCAAGCGCGTTCTCGCACACCCAACACAGCTGCCCGTCGCGTGCCTGACAGACGGTTTGCTGTATTGGCTGCCACCAACCAGGCGCTTGAAGAAGTCCGACAAGAGGCTTTTGCGCAACCCTCTCCACCTCCGCGACGAGAGAGGCTGCGAAGGTATGAGGGTGTTACTATCCCAACGTCGCAGATACCTTTCAATTGGGATTGCGTGAGTAGCTCGCAGGCCTCGGCTAGACCAAGCAATCGGAGTGGCGAGTCGAGTGGCCGGAGACGGTCGCGTCGTTGATCTGTTCATTCATGAGCATTGCATCTCGCATCTCGCATCTCACTCAAGCCACGCATCGCTACTGCACCTGGCCAATGCGGTCCCGGCAGACCCGGCAACAGACAGACCGGTGGCGCATCATCGCACGTTGTGTAGCGATATTTCCTTTTCTTCTCCGCATGTTCTGTAATAAGATACCCCCCAGGCATATCATCAGTAGTTTTGGGCGTTCGCATCACATCATTCGGCTACGGCCCAGCACAGTCCATTTGGCGTTTTTGGCAACACAATACCCCTGCATCACATATTCTCGCATCGCATGTAGTTTCCAATGTTATAATTAATAGAATACACATCTTCGCATCTGAAATACAACTTTGTCTTGCATTGCGCATACTTATCATCAGTGAAGTCCTCGAGGCGCCCTTGTGATAGCACCTGGGCACCTGGCCAGAATCTTGCCACGTGACGTCTTTGCGCAGAACACAAGCAGGTCTGCGATCACGGCCATGATCAGAGCACGTTGCAAGTCTCATACACACGCAAAAGTACATACCTATGTAAACATGACCATTGATAAGCTCCCCATCCACCGTCACAGCATGGCCACCAACAACACCCCATACCCCATGTGTCACATCGCGAGCCCCCTACGGACACTAACCTCCATCCCATTCCTCCCTCCCATTGGCCACGGAGCATCTTCCTCAGCAACTCACACCCTACCCCCCTGGTTTTCCCAATACCTACCTTTCTAGGCAACTTCGGCGTGAAACTCCATGGGATGGATCGACAAATGCGCAATCCGGTTTATCAAACATGCGGTTGTGGTGGGAAGATGCGGAATTGGGTAATGGTAATATGCTGGTGTTCGGGGGATTTCACCGAAGTACAAGACGGGTATTTTGTGGGGACGCTGGCAGGGAGGAAGGATTGGATGGAAGGGGATTGGCGGCTTGGCGGTGGGGCGTGCGTTTCGCAGGGGCCAGGAGGAAAGCAGGTGCGACACTCCTTCTTGTTTCTTCTTGTCTGCGCGCTCGTCTCGTGATGATCCGATTGCAATGACTTTGAAAGGTACTTTGGCTCGCTTCCCGCTCGAATTTCAGGTCTCCTTACACTGTCTTCGCCTTTCCTGTCTTGTCGCATCCTGGATTTCTGGGACATTAAGCTACAGCTGACCTCATAGATTACATGAATCGGCATCCGTCAAATTCCCTTGCCTGCTAGCTTACGTCCGCCAAACTGATCTTGTACCGTGTACACGCGACCTAGGACATACCCTCAAGATCTCATATCGAGCCATGCGCCACCAGCATCCGTCACCAGCGCCTTCAACTGAGCAATAAATTCGTCCCACGCGTCCTCGTTGTGCTGAGCAATCCCGTGGTGCCACTGTGGGTAGGTCTTCCCTTCCACCGTGCCATCGACATCCATCACATAGTCTCGATGCGGCAGATCATTCGACTCCGGGTAAATAACGTGGAAGGAGACGTCATCTACAGTCAAGCGATCTGTTGAGTTCTGCTGCTTTCTCTTTGAACTCAGCCCGCATGCGATGAAGCGAATGGTGTAGCCCTTGGGGAACGGCGAGATCTCAATGCTTGCTAACCAAACGCGTTAGCTCAGATAATGGGTTCTGGGGTGTTGAGCAACTTACAATTCCTGCTCAACTCGAACGGCTGGTATGGCTCCTGCGGTCCCTCTTCATGCATGCGGGTGAAAGCTTCGTCGTCGAAACCTACTCCTGCCGCCGGCCTCAGTCGTTTGTGGTAGACTTTGGTGTCGTCTACAATGAGGTAGTACGTTCCTGATCCATCTCGGCGGCAACAGAGGAATGTCGCTTGGTTCACTGTCAGTGTCCATGTACGTCGGTTATCTCAAAAGGACGTACCACGGTCTTCATCGTCACTCTCGCTCTCGCTTTGGGCTGCGTGTGCGGGCATCTTCATCGTCACCCCGGCCTTTCCTGTAGGTTCATTCATGCCTTCAGCTGCTTCGTAGCGGTTAGCGACAACTCTCCCGTTCTCTCATAAAGTATTCACTTACCGTCGGCAGCATCTCCACTGGCCTCGCTACGGGTTGCTCGCGACGATGGTTCCATGCCTTCTCCAGGATCATCCAGGTCTTGGGGCCCTTGACGCTGAGTGTGTTCCCTCGACGCTACGTGATCCATGAGGCCTTGATCTCGCTCGGTGAATGGGCTTACTTGGGTCCGAACTCCAGGACCATCGGCCGACTTGTACAGGATCTCAGTGACATCTGGCAGTTCTGCTTCGACTAGGAGCACACAATGTACGCGGCTGCCGGCCCTGTCTGCCATGTTCACGGTCCGACCGGAAAGTGTGCGAGATATTCCCCAGGTAGAGTCCCACAAGTAGCTGAAGCCCCCCGCGCGATAAGCAGCGTCTGTGTGGTTCAAGACTATCGAGATATGGCCGGGAATGCTTGCGAAATTTTCTGCGATGTAAACCCCAGGCCATCGGGTGGTGTAGTACATCTCTGAGTCCTGGCTTGTCGTGGTCTCGAAGTCTTTGATGGCATCTTTGAGCTTAATCAAAGCATCTCGCGTTTGGGGCATCGTGTCTTGCTATCTCTTGGGCCTGAGTGAGCTTTTGGTGGGTGTGTTAGAATCAGGTTAGGCTTCGTTATATGATGAGCCTTGCAGTAAGTTTGACGGTAGTAGACTTGCGTCAGGTCAAGCTGACTACGGCAATCGATCAGTTTAGTAACAGCAAGCAGTCTTCAAACAAGGCGATGTCACCACCCGATGCGTTCCATAGGGCTTTGTCACCGGTCGTCTCGTCTTGCGCTTCATCGCACATGTACAAAACATCATAGCGCAAACTTCGCCCTCAATTTTGTTCAAATTGGGCATCTTCCATTCGGTACGTACAATGGGCTACACACATCCGCTCTGACACAGCAGCTATATCACAAATGCGATGGAAGCCAAGTTAGCTGCTGACAGCTCCCCCAATACCAACTAAACCATGAGATACTGGCCATCATCACCCCTGCGAACAGAATGTCGATGCCCAAGTGATGCCACAAATGCCCTGCCATTATGTTTCCTCTCCCTTCTTCGACCCCGCTTCGCCTGCTAATGATAGTGAGTGCTCATTCTTGTTAAAACCAATAAGAATTGACTTACCTGTATCGTCCTCATCTCCCAATCCAAGAAATCGTCTTGGTAGAACCCGTTTATGCTTCCGCAAGTCGTTGGGCTTCTTGTTAGAGTCTCTCACATAGTCCATAATCTCACAATACTTGTCCCCCTCTTCCATAGGCGAAACGCGTAGTCGTGTGCCCTCACCATCGCCCTTTCTGATCAAGATCGTCAGTTCCTCTTTGAGCTCGTTTCCGAAGATTAAGAGGCCGTGGACTTTGATCCCAAACTGCCATGATTGAAGCTCTATCCTGTGGAGGTCTACCTTCTCTTCTTCCCATGCAGAGTCCCAGAGAACTTGGATTTGCGGCGGTTCACTGAACTCACGCAAGATCGTGAACTGGTGTGGGTAACGTCCTTCGTCTGCTTGTATGTACAGCCCCTTCCTGCGTTTGATTGCAAAGTACTCTTTACCGTGGCCGGAGAACCTGTCTTCGAAGTCCTTGAATGCGGATTTGAGTTTCTGGAAGGAGACTTGATTGCTTGGTTTCTTTTCGAAGCTGAAGTCCATGGCGGCCGGGATATGACTATGGAGTGACCGTCTTAGCTGGACGTCTTGCAGTGTTATAACTTGGCTGATGCCACAAGTTTGTGCATGGCACACTCATATCGTCCAGAATGACCTTTGCGCCTGTCGCGCTTGACCTCGCAGCAAGCACTCACCGCATGTCACAGAGGCCCACTACTGTCATTTGAGATTCGGAGCCACGAGTGGCGGGGACGAAGCTGTGCCAATACTGTCCCCGAGGCGTGAGGTAGCATGGTGATTTCCTTCGTAGACTGCTCGCCAGCCCTCTCAATCTTATCACGGGTCTGCATTCTATCACTATACTCTACTACCGTAATTGGTTTTACAAAACATCAATCTGTCCTGATTACAATGCAGTTTTGTTTTCGGGAATGGCACGCGCAAATACCAAGCCCTAGCCTGACATCGTTCGCGCCGTCTTGGGTGATGAAGACCTGGCCGTAACCAGTGTATACCCCAAGGGCCTACTGCAATATTACGCGAATCTTGTCAGACGCCAATGTCTTCATCAACGCGCATCCTTCCTCCATATAGCATCGCAAGTGTTCTCGTTGTCTACTGTACTCTACTCACTACCTCCATCGCCACCTTCCAAAGCAGCTTCCCCACCATCATCCTCTCCACCGCTCTCCTCACCTTCCTCGTTAATTTCCTCCTTGTCTTCTGCATCAATGTCATCAAGCTCTCCGTCCTTCTGCTTGCACATCCGTATCCTTCCTTCTCCACTAAATTCCTCCAGCTTGTCCATAAACTTCGGGAACACGACCACATTGTGTTTCGCATAGTCTTCATTGTGCATACCCTGCGCCCTACCGCTGTACTTTCTAGGCCATCCATGCTTCAACTGAGCATGCCAACGGTCGTCAGGTAAGTGTGGGTGGAACTCTTTCCAAGGGATCGCGGCAAAGCTATGCTCCGTGCTCTTTCCCTTGTACATCTTTCCTTCTATAGGGTGGCCCTTGATCAGTGTAGTGTGGCCGCAGTTGTTGAGACGTAGGGTGTATCCGTATCTGAAGGTGTAGTAGTCGATGTGGAAGGGCCTATCGACATCGTCTTGCTTCCGAAGATGGACGGTTCTGTTCTTGTCGAGCTGCATCTTTGGTGCGTTCGGGTCTTGTAAGTCGAGGGTTAGAGTGACCCAGCTCGAATTGCGCTCAAAGACATAGAGGACCAACGCTGGTGTATTGTTAGCTTTGTCTCGCCAGCTTGATGATGATGTGGTGTAGGGTACTTGCAGTTGTTCCAGCCTGGAGCTGCAACAGCGGTGCTGTCAGACGCTGGGTCACCTTCTTCTGGGCCTTCTGTGTTGGCATCTTGAGCGGTCTCCGGTCCAGTGATCTCATGCTCGGTATTTCCACGTTTGTTGGTGTCATGTTCGCTGATGCCATGTTCGATGTCCTCCATAGCGGGATGTGATTGAGGTAGTATGATGAAGATCGACCATGCAGCCGGATGAGTCATTTATGCTGTGAGCGCTGCAAGAGGTTTGCTCAGGTCAGTCATTATGTTGTTCATGGATGCTCGTGATTAGTCGAGAAACTGATATCAAATGGCCGACGCTGAATCACATGTGTGACAATCATACCTATATACATGATCGCAAATGCCGCGTGATAAACTCACCATCGATCAACCGAGCATGCTGAACACACCACCCGCCTCCTCAACAATGCGCTTCAGTCCCTCCACAAACTCCTCCCAGTCATCCTTGTTGTGCTTTGCAACTTCCGGCCTCCATGTTGGATATGTCTTACGGTCTCGGTGTTTCTCTCGCCTGCTCCGCCTCGCGACATTCACCTCGCCATCGTCGTCCCCATCCTCATCCTCATCCTCGTCTTCACTGCCAGCATCGTACTCCTCGTGCTCGAAGTCAGCCGACGGCGGGTATAGCGCGTAATAAGACGTATCCTTGATGAACTCCCGTTTCGGATCGCCTGGAAGGTTTCCCTTGATAGCTGCTTTGGTGATGGAACCGCAGTTGAGGAATCGTACTCGCCAGCCTTTCTTGAAGCGCTCGATTTCGATCTTTGCTGTTTGAGGTTAGTTGTTATGAAGGTAGGGGGTGGCAGGCATGAGACTTACATTCTGCGTGGAATCTAAAGTATTTCGGCACGAAGACTTCGGGTGGCAGGTCGTCGCCAGACATGCGCTGGTATACGACTTCATCGTCCTCAATGACCAAGTCCCACGTCCCGCTCCGGTGTCGCCGCGCTCGAGCATAAACATTACCTGTAGTCAGTCAGCCCTCTAGGCTACCAAGATCGTGTTAAGGGCAAGCATACCATCGTGAGTGTTCGGTGTTGGTGGAACCAGTGAGACGCTGATCCTATCCCTGTAAATTGTAAGTTGATCTGATGCGCTAGTAACACAGGGAACATACTCCTCCAGGACCTGCGGTGCCAACGCCGGGTATACGTAGATGTTTACAGGCTCTGCGTTCGGTTGTGTCCAGCGGATGCCAATCTTCGTTTCGAGCTCGTTAGGGACGATGAAAAAGCCTGGAATACATATCCCACGTTTGTCAGCAACATCCACTGGATGTAAGTATTCATGCGTCTTGTCTGAGTTCCACTCTTGTCGCCATGCTTCGCCGTCATGACGATGGATGCACACCTTACCATGAAGGCTTGTTGGCTGAGTATAGATTCCTGGTTTTTCGGTCACAAGATATCCGTCGCTGATCTTGTCATCTACCAGTGTAGCATTTTGGTCGTTCGTCGTGGACATCTGGTTGAAGTTGCTAGCTTTTGGTATGCACTTTCTTCTCCATGGTGCCTGGATATTTTATGTTACCGTCGTCGCCCGTAGTTTGCTCTTAGCTGGAATCATGAGGAAATCGAAAGCAGAAGACATGGTCGCATGGTATGGTATACTTGCTCAGCTGAAGAAAGCCCCAGGCGAGCATAGCATCAGACCGAGCACACCGCGCACCTTCTGGACAGAACACCTTGCCTGTAGAATCATCAAACGTCATCATGTGCGTATTGGCTCGCAATGAGTAATTGCGCATAACGGATCTGGTGGGAGCGCCAGCTGTTGGTGTTGCTTGTTCAACGTCTCTGTGATGATGGTGTCAAAGTCGCAACATTGTTACACCCAGGTTCCGCGTTCCATTCCGTTTCCGAGCGGAGCAATGACGTCCGCCACTAACCCTCTTCAGGTAACGCGTGACACCGCGTTCGCCCTCTCCTCAAGCGCTCTCGGTCGGTGTCTACTCCGACGCGCATGAGCAAGGATGAGTCGAGTGATTGCGAACATTTGAGCATTCCGTCGGATAATTTCGCGCGAGTAAGCGCTAGGAAAGGGCGTAGTGCTACTATCACGCAGGTCTGCTCTGCCCTTTCAGCGTGTACATAAGTGGGGTGTTGGATGAAGCATACCCGGGGACTTAGGTAACCCACCGCCAACGTTGTCACATCCCCTCATTCTGTACACGCTTCAACGCCAAGGACCTTAACAACATCAATCACGATCATGGCGTCTCAAAAAGCAGAGTTCATCAAAGTACCGACCGATAACTCAGATGGTTTCCAAACAATGCCCGTAGAGCCCTCGAGACGACTCTCAGAATCTGAACTACGCATCGAAAAGTGCACTCCACAAGATGCCGAAAAGATCGTGAGTTCTTCCATCTTCCTTTACCCAGCTCTCCCACCCCATAAAACCCATCAAACTAACACCCCCACCCAGGCCGAAGGTCTCTACCTGTGCTTCCCAGATGACTGGTGGGCCAAAAAAGAGCCCCCAGAGATCCACCCAGCAGGCGAGAACAGCCTCCAAATCCGGATCCAACGCATGGCCCAACGACTAACCCCCGCCATCACTGATCCCCATCATTGCTTCATGAAAGCCGTCTACACCCCCACCGGCGAAACCGTAGGAATAGCAGGCTGGACCCTTCCCTCCAACCCCTCCGTACACAACCTCTTCCGGCGCAGCGCCGCCACGCATTACGGCTGGAAAGAGAAACAAGGCTGGACTGAGGAAGAAATGGACGAAATGTGGAGTCACGTCAGCAACGAGAACTGGAGCGAGCGCTTCGGCAAAGACGATGAGATGAGGCGGGAAGCGACGGGTGGGCAACGGCATTGGTATCTTGCGCCGCTACTTACGTGGCCGGAGTGGCAGGGAAGGGGCGTGGGGAAGAGATTGATGGAGTGGGCGTTGAAGCAGGCGGATGAGAGGGGAGAATTGATGTATCTGGAGTCAAGGCCGAGTGCAAGGGCGGTTTATATGCATCTCGGGTTTGTGGAGTGCGGGGAGTATAACATGCTTAGGCGGCCGGGGGCGTGAAGGGCTCGGAGACGGAAGAGGAGAGAGAGAGAAGACCGGACTTCCAATATGGGTGTTGCGGCAAAGAATGCGCAGGCCGATCTTGACGATTGAGTGGTCTTTAAGATGCCGAGAGTATCGTGCTACTTCGAGAATATAGGGCAGAGTGCCTGTCGCTGCTGACCTCACGAATATACCAACTATCTACGTGGCTTCTGTGGATGCGATGCGAAGTGCGGAGTCTCTAGAGGTAACCAAGCTTTTCAAAAAGGCTGTACCAGGGACTACAGACAGAGGAACAATTACGTGTAAAAATCCATCGACCATCGGCGTCGTCAAATGCAGCATCACGCTTCTCATCTTCGCAGATTAGTATCAGATCCAGACAATACCTAATCCGTCTCGACCCAGGCTTCTACTCATTCTCCATGTTCTTCCAAGCGACAGCAAGATGCTTTCCGTTGTAATACTTAGGCGCAGCTCCCGCACCGGCCATCTTGCGGCGACGTTCCTCGCTGAATTGAAGGACCAAATCAGCCGCCAACTGCGCTTGACCAACCAACAGCTCTTGGAAAGCCGGTGTTGCACCCAGGGCATCTATGTGAACAATCACGTACTCCAGTACTTCCTCCCGTAGCGGATCCTCGTCCTGGGTGTTTTCACTGGAATACGCGAAATTGACCAAAGCAACGATGTCATCGATGCGCTCACGTGTCTTGAGGAAGTCGCGATGCATGCACAGCTTGAGTGCCTCGTGGAGTTTGTACAGGGCCAGATCCTTTAATGGGAGGATCATGTAGTAATCGGCGAGACAGTACATCTTGGCGTTGAGGAAGATGGCTTTGTGCCCACGTTCACTGTCTCCTACGCGCTGTGCGGAATAGTCCACGGCGACCGTGTCCGCGGCGTGAGACGTGCGGAGGTTAAGCGCGTAGGTGTTCTCAACAAACTCCTCAAAAAGGCTGCCGCTCTTCGTACCCTTGATTTCGTCGATGATTTCGTCCAGCGGTTCTTCAGCAAGGACTCGCAGGTATACAGCATCCAGATCGTGTTCTTCTGCGTCTTCTGCACCTTCTTCAGCATTCTGTTCCTCCTCCTCATCGTCTGCACTGTCTTCTTCATCGTCATCTTCTTCTTCTTCCATCGCCTCTGCGTCCTCTGAGCTTTGTGCATCGTTTAGGTAAGAGCCTGTCGTATAGTCGCCAAGATATGCGAACTCAACAAGGCGAAGAAAAATATCTTTCTTGACTTCAGGCAACGTAGCGCATTTCTCTTCTGACTCTCTCATCGCACCGTTGATGAGACGGTCGAAGGGCTTCGATAGACTTGCCATGACCTGGGCGTGAGCGACTACCGGCGCGCGCTCTTCACCAACGAAGAATGTGAACTGCGGCGACGACAGCATTCTGAAGTGTGTCAGCGACGGGTTGCAAGCTGATAGATCATGATTAACTTGTTCTGGGAACGAAGGCGCCATCTTGGCTGTGGTTGGCGCTCTGCGCACGGGCTGGGGTTGATGATTGAGAGGTCCAGGGACAGATAGTGGTTGTTGCCTTCAATCTACTAAAGTCGAGCTAGAGACGGACATATGCTATGTACAGGGGCAGTTGCGCATGAAACCAGAGCCCCGAAAATACCTTGTGTAGAGCTGCTGAATGTAAGGTATGGCAAACAATGGACGTGAGAACTGGAAGGAAGTTTCGGGGCTGACGAGCTAAAACGTTAGCGTATTCCCAACAGGGAAAGGCGTGAGCCCGGACCGATCTCAATCACCAGCGATTAGTTCGCTCCTATGCTCGCTCACGCAAGTGTATAGAAACACTGCCTTCTGGGTTGCTGGGCTTCGAGCTCGAAGCTGGAGTCTTCTCACCAGTTGTTTGAGTGTATACATTGGTGGGTTGTTAAGTCACTATGTGTGGGTGGCCAGTGTTCGTCTAGGTTTCATCAACCATGGTATCAAAATACTGTTGACAAATCCGCGTACAACCAGGTAGTGTCATTAACCTGGCGGCTCACTACACCACACAACCGGCTGTGCTCTTGTGTTCGCGCTTGTATTGTGAACGGCCGATTATACTTACTTTGACTGTTGATAGAGAGTGAAACTTTCTTCCAGCACAAATCGCACAATGAACATACTGCTAGCAACCAATGTACAGTTAGACTCTGGGCGAACTGAGAGATGACGATGTACTTTTCGTTTCACTCGACACTGAATTGACGAAAGGCCGGGTGAAAGGTATTGTTGAAAGCTGTATGTTGTGCACATCGCTGATATAATGACACCCTCCGAGGGCGACAACTTGGAAACGTGCTTCCATACCTTCAACCGTATATCTCTTGACTCTTCATTCCAAATCGACCACGCACGCTTGCAAATCCTTGGATAACAATAGCATCGTACCTGACGACATGGAGATGTCGGGCAAAAGACCTTCGAGCACCGCTCTTGAATCAATGAACGCGCACGCACCACAAACGAAGACCTCAGGCATCTCGAAACCCAAAGGCTTCCTAGATCTTCCCGGTGGTAGGTGATGACGGTGAGCTTGCGGGCACTTTGCTAATCATTGTTCCAGAACTACGTAACCGGATATATGGTTACTGCCTCTCAGGCGTCGGACTGTCGACAGCGCTCGGTTTGGGCACTGTATGCCGAACCACTCGGTCGGAGTACATGCCTTTGTACTTTGGCTCGGTCAAGACTCGTATCCACTTTGTGCTAGTAGAACGCTTCCTCCGGACATTCTATGGTGATACGTCGGTCTTTGCTCCCCTTCCCGCCTGTAAGCTACTCGTCGGACTCAGTCGCGATCACGGCTGGGGACCAAACACCAGTGTCGACCTCAAATGGCTAGGCGAGTGGCTGCGTGGTCACCCCAAGGCCGAGGTCTTTATTGAGAACAGGCCGATCAGTCTTTTTGAGGCGATTAATCATGTTCCGTCACTCTTGGGATTCGGTTTGTGGCTTAAAGATATGAATGCTCTTACCCTACGCGCACAGCCAGTGTCGTGTCATGCTTCCTCTGGTGTGCGTAGGCATGCGATGGATTGGGTGTTGACGTTAGTCATGAAGCCAGAGGCTGCGCGCTACATATCGTCCTGCAATCGAAACCGGGTGGACTACTTTGGAGGGATCTTGACGCGTCTGCGTCTCCGGGGTGGAATTGATGGAGAGAAGATTAGCTCGCTTGAGTTCCGGGTGTCTGGCGGGGGTGAGTCTTGGCAGGTCAAGATGGCGATTTAGAAGGCGTGGTGAGGCACTGATGGCTATGGTAGGAGTTGTGTTCATAGGCTGAAAGCAAAGTTGGTGTTACCATGATACTCGTGATGGTGATGTCGGAGAGACGTTCGAGGCCGCCCGCGGAGGCGCGCATAGAACGGCCGGCTAGCCGGATTGGAGCTGGGACTAGCGCCAATTTGCGCGCGCCAGGCCCGCTCATGCAAACATGACGGACTCAGTCTCGCACCACCACCACCATGAGGGTGCGATTGACGCCGTTGCGCCTCGTGTGCGTCGCCATAACCCTCGTGACCTTCCTCTTCACCTCCCTTGTCTTCCGGCTATGGCGGGGCGAGCGCGGCTACGACATACTGCAGGAGCGGCCCCCTCCCGCTGGGCCCGCGCCCGTCGCTCCGGTGCACTTTGGTGAGGAGTGCTCGCCCTTCACCGCCGGCGTCATGGAGCGCGTCACCATTGTGCTGAAGATTGGCGCCGGGGAAGTCGCGACCCAGCTGCCGCTGTATCTCAACCGATTGGGAAGGTGCAAGCAGGACCTGCTCATCTTCTCGGACCGCAAGGACTCGCTCAACGGCTTCGAGATTGCCGACGCCCTCGCCCACCTGCGCCCGGAGTACAAGTTCAACAACCCCGACTTTGACGTATACGACCGCATACAGGCCACGAACAGCACCCAGGACAAGACGGAGGAGGGGTGGCGGCTGGACAAGTACAAGTTCCTGCCCATGATGGAGTGGACGTCATACATGCGGCCCGAGTCGGAGTGGTATGTCTTCCTGGAACTCGACACCTACGTCAACTACGACAACCTCTACCGCTTCCTCTCCAATTTCAACCCCAAGACGGCCCACTATTTCGGATCCCCCGTTTGGCCCAAGAAGAAGACCACCTTCGCACATGGTGGGACTGGCTTCGTGCTATCGCGCGCGGCGCTGGACAAGATCATGGCGCTGGGCAGGATGTTTGGCGAGAACAAGCACTTCCCCGGGACACACTTCTTCGGCGTCGACGTCAAGAAGCAATGCTGCGGGGACGAGATGCTAGCGCAGGTGCTGAAGAAGAGCGGAGTCTCCCTCCGCGGATACTGGCCCATGTTCAACGGCGAGAAGCCCTTCAGCATGCGCTTTGACAACGAGCAGTGGTGCGAAGCCATCATGACGATGCACCACCTCGGCGAAGACGACTTTACACGACTCTCCCAATGGGAACAAGCGCGATCGCATCCCGAACGGCCGCTCATGTTCGAAGAGCTCTTCACGATGATCGAGCCACACTTGCAGGAGAGGGCCGAAGACTGGTCCAACATGTCCGAAGACGTCACATACCGAAAAGGCAAGACAGCCTCCAAGTCCTTCGACAAATGCCAACGGGCCTGCGCGAAAGACGGCCGCTGTCTCCAGTTCGAACACGACGGCATCGAATGCCGCCTCGGATACTCCATCCGATTAGGCCACCACCAGAGCCGCGAGGGTGAGCGCTCATGGGTGTCTGGGTGGATGCTAGGCAGGATAAAAGCTTTCAAGCAGGCTCGCTCGCCTTGCCAGGGCGCACGTTTCGTTCATTCGAATCCTTGAGCGCGGCTGCTGAGATGGAATGGACGAAACGACGACATGATATATCTTTCCTGCACGATTTTACGGCATTGTACGGCGTTTGATACCCCAAAGGCGTTTTTGAGATGGCACGCTATTGTATATATTGTGCAGGTTGTCGGCATATACGCCATGGGTTGGAGGGGTCATGGGTGGGTTGGCAGAGACATGCCGCAATGCGACGCAGGGTAATGGAAGGAATTCTGCGCAGAGACCCTGTAGCGCGACGATCGAGTCGGCGTATGAGAATCTCGAAGGTCAATCTTTGGACGCAATGTCAGCAACGTCTTACGACGACCGACATACAGAGTGCGATCCCATCGCGCCTGAGATCGAATGATTGGGCGACTTCGGCACATCCTCGGTCTGGCCCTACGCTTCATGTACACTCAAGACCTACTGCCCTTTGCGATACGGCAGAATGTAGATGACAGCCGGAAGTTATCGTGATGAGGAAACGAATTGGTATCGTAACTACTCAAGGATCATATACACCACAATAATAATCGACATTTGCAGCGACAGAGGTCTTCCGCATGCCATCTATTATCTGACGATTGCTACTGACACGGTGTATCATAGGGTGTGATCATGCACAAGCGTCACGAGCGGTTTTAGCAAGCTTCTCACTTTGCTCACGAATTATAGAGACGTTCTCCGCGCATCCTTGTCGGCATTCACGACACGACCACTTTCCACTTCCACTATCTGAACATGGAGGAGGCTAACAACACAAGCAAGCAGGGCGAAGAAGCCGACCACACGGAGTACTTTGTACACAAGGTCCCAGGACTGTACATTGCCATTGATCCCAAGAACGACAACGGTCAAACGTCGGTAGTCAGATACGGCGAAAATGACAGCCACATCTACCCGGTATGGGACTCTACATGGGACCGGACGCCAGACACTGCTCGCATGCCGAAAGATCAGGCCCTTTTGATCACCGATGGTCCCCACAACGTCATTGCTATACCCGCACAGCTAGAGCAGACGGTTGCGGTGCATCATACCCCACCTGGGGGCCAACAGACCACTATTTACATACATCCTACCGACAGTGTTGATCAACACATTCCAAGTTATATGAGGATGCTGAGTGCCCCGGACGAGTCCGAGGAGGAGCTTGCCAAACCGATCCCACCTTTTGTCCCTGAATCAGGAGAGGACGATGTACGCAGGAAGAAGCTCGGTATGATGGTGGAGTCTGCTTCAGAGTATCAGGGAGGTGATGACCAGGAGAAGAGACTCCCATTCATCGACTCATCAGGTGTTACCGATGCATCTGGTATTGGTCCCGGAGACTCCAGCGACGGTAAGTACTATACACTGCCACCTAACACCTCTTCGCAGAGACTACATGATGCTAATCAAGCTCTAGTACCATTCCCATACGTCCACGAGCACCATTCATCTAACGCGAAGCTGACATTCGGTCCTCAAAGCACCTTACGAGTGATCCGCGACAAAAAGGGATACGTCGACCTTATCCTCCACCTCAGGGAACAGGACGGCGACGCACCTCCCCATGTCGAATACTACCGTTTCAAGCACGACTACACGCTGCGTTTCAATGACTACGGTGCAACGCAGCAGAAAAAACGACCGAAGACCACAGATAGCAACACCGCTACCACAGAAGGGAAGAAGATGAAGAGCAAGGCGAACGAGGAAACCACTGAAGGTGACACGAGTAAGAAGAAATCCGGTGCGCCTCAGAGCGCGGAGGTTCTGTGGTATAAGGAGTTTCACGTCTACTTCCCACCCGACCGCTGGAACACCGGATATCACCACGATACCTGGACGCATGACTACAAAGAAGGTTACGGTACATACGATGAAGAGCAAGCAAAACACAATGTGGTGGCATTCCCGGAGTTCATGGATGAGCTGGAGGCACGTTTCCGGGACGAGAATGTCGAAGAACAAGATGAAAAAGCGGGAAAGAGCAAGAGGAAAGGAAGGAAGAAAGAAAAGGCCGCAGCGAAACCTGAACTGGAAGATGAAGAGGGAGGGAGAGTGCAGATTTTCAGGCGCAGGAAGGAAGGAGAGGTGCTTGTTCCTGATATCAGTGGGAGAGTCTCAGGGGAGGAGCAAGAGCGGATTATGCGGGAGAGAGCGGATGAGAAGGCGGATGGAGACGAAGATGGGGTTGCGGAAGAGGGGGTTGGGCAGGTCGTAGGGAAGGGGAAAGATAAGGGTGTAGAGGAGGTGGAGGATCAGATGGAAACGGAAGTGGCCTTGGACTAGTAGAAGAGGCCGTGAATTGCAGGGTCTTGGGCAAAGGTTGAACTACTCCAGCTCTCAATGAAGACATAAAGGCACAGACACGACTGTGATATGATCGAGTAAAATGTGAAGCATTTGCAACAAGTATGTTGCCATGGGAAAAAGTATTGGCGCATGTGCTGTCTATCACACTGTAATCCAGCTGCATCTGGCGACGCCACGTGATTTTCTTCTTGCCAAGTGTTCTCGAAGCATCCCATTTTGGTAAGATGACGAAATGCCGGCTTGGAAGGTGTTTGGAACGAGATGTGTGAAGTTTAGGGCTGAGAAAGGGACCGGCAAAATCGGGTTTCTAGTAAGCCACGTTCGTCCTGAATTTCGGCACTATGTAGCAGGACGTGAGACCCGTGGATGATCGTCGCTGCCGTCGCACGTGATCTCGGCTACTAATGGGTCGGTGGCAGGCACACAAGGCCAAAGCGGAAAATTAAGAGACGGCGGGACTAAACTCTAATCTTTGCGGTGTGCGTGCAGGTTGCTTCGCGCGCATCGCTCATCCAGACTGCAAGCGCTACAAGGGCCTGGGGCGGGAGTTGCAGCTGTCATCTCCACTGCCCGCACTTGTACTTGATTTAAGTGGATCACCCGCCGGTAACTGTTTGGCTTTGTGAAGCTGTAATTAGCGACCGTCTATGTTTTATGGCAAGTTTATTGAGTCTATCCAGATATTGTGCAGCTGAGAATGCGCTCGAAGATGAAACGAATCTGATAAAGAAGACCGCGAGAAGCAGACTACATTTGCCTTGCATGTCACTGCGCATGGCATTCAAGATCTGATCCAGCCGCAGGCATCGTACGTTCATTGCCATCTTGATCGTGCCCGGCCCCCCTTTCGCGCATTCCCGAGGTCTGTTCGCTGGCCGTCACACCGCCCGGGCGGTTCTCTGCAGCCTTAATCCTTGGATTGCTTACGCTGTAAAAGTTGTAAAGCCTAAAAGGGCATGTGGATCCAGGCTAAATCGGGTTTAGTCTTTGCGGATAGCTCTGCGCAGCACGTGTAATCTGTCAGGGCCAGGGTTCGGCGCGTGTACGGATAAAGCATGTCCAGGTGCCCAGGTGCTTTCCGAGCGAGCCCTGGAGGCTTCCAAGAAGAAGCTTTCAGATGCGCATAAACTCGGATAGAGTTGCGCAATTCAGGCAAAGACTTTGGACAAAAGTTTCGACAGCAGTGTTCTAGCGCACGCGCAGGCCAGCATACCCCAGGTTGTCCGCCTCGGTTGGCTGTGGTAAGGACCAGTCGACCGCAAACCAATTTCGCTTACCTACCTATGGACGCTCGCCAACGCAACATCCGAACGCCCTGTGTCCTCCAGTACCTAGCCAAGCCACAACTTCGTCCATGGCGTCAGGGTCGAGTTTCAAACGAGACATGGCCGCATCAGATGAAATCTTTCCACATCAGCTACCAACCCTCTCACATACACAAAGTCAACAGCTCGCCTCATGTGGTAATGCATATCCATTGTCAGCATCGAGTCATAGAATTGGTGTTGAATACAAGGCTCGTACTGAAGCATTATCCGGGATCCGTACTCATGAAACATTTCAGAAACCATCCAATCGATAGTGCGCCGCAGCGGCCTCGGGCTCGATGCAAGAGCCTTCATACAATACTGCTATCAATTACAACACTTTCATTCCATTCAATGGCTCGGTCGGTCCTGACGCAGATAGTCCGCCCTATATATTTGGTCTTCCTCCATAAAATCAGGACATGTATGAACATACGGCCTATTCTTCACTCGCCACCATCCTGATCCGCCAACGTCTACATCTCCCCGTAGGCCTGCCTGGATACCATCCTTCTTGGACCGTGCTGCATACCTTTTCCCTTCTCTTTCGACATCTACCACCATATACCGGGCTGGATCTTTGCTTTCATGGCTGAACCTGAACGATCCCATCGGCATGGTAGTGACTCCCAGGCACCTCGTTGTTACTCTGCTGCATCCTCTCATTGCAGTACGTACGGACACGAAACAGCCCATGATGACAACTCAGTCACAGTCAAAGCCCTTTCGACAATGGGACGTATGACACCAGGTCATAGCGATGACAAAGTCGGACTTACAACACAGCGGATCCAAACGAGTCAATACTTGCATACATCTTCTGTGCATGGAACTGCCGAAACATACGAACCAAACCAAACCGGGGGCATTCATTCGAGCTTGGCGGGGGATCTCCACCTTGGGCCGGTTCCACCTCTATACCCGCAACCTACGGAGGCTGCCACGACGCAGAGGCAGGACCAGGCCATATATGACTTCCTGAGAAGGGGTACAGACCCAAAACACATACCTCATTATGTTGAAAACTTCAGAATCATCACGCTATCTGGAAATTACCATGATCTTGCCATTATGGCGGAGATACCATCGGAAGAACTTACAAAGAGAGTTGAGAATATCGGTATGTATATGGCGGATTTCTAATTCCAACACCATCATGCTAATACACGTCAGTGGCTTACTCAAGACCTACCATCGCTGGGGATCTCCCGACAATTAAGCGCGAACCTCTCGAGGAAAGGCTTGACCATTCTCCCACGCACGCAGACCCAAGCCAAAGGAGTAAGCGAGCAAAGATGAAGGATGCGATGGATGCGACAATCAACACGCCGCCGGCTCGTGTATACGGATGCCTGGGTGACGGAGGCAGGTGTCAGGAGCGAAAACACAGGTACTGGAGGTCGAAGAAGGAGTTCGGAATACACTTCGAGACCCACCTGGAAGATTACGAAACGCCTGATGGCTACAAATGCCCCGCGTGTGAGAAGAGGAGACTGTCGCCAGGCATCGTCTCTATCACCACCACATCGTTTTCTCACGGCCGAGATCTGGCAATGCATGTATGGTTTGAGCACATGGTCCCCTCGACCACCTCGATGCAACCTCAGGGTGCTTCGCTGGTGGCGAAAGACGGACTACAAGAAGGTTCGACAGCCGGACAGGATCAGACCTGCTACTTTAAGCAGGGAGCTCACTTCCAGAACACTATCGTGACGGAGGGGAATTGCGGTGAGTCCTGGGAGTGTCCAGACACTGGATGTGGTCAACCTGGTGTCAGCGAGCTCGACCCATGGGCTTTCAACGACAGTACATACGATGCCGATACCGCATCTCTAACTTGAGCTTCCCGTCTCTTGGATGTCTGGAATGATAGCTTCCTCGGGATGGCGTATTCTTCCGTCCAGTCGTCGCTATGGTCTCCTCGTGTACTCAGGTATCACGGCACACGTTCTAGGCGTCATATTACCAAAGCATCGCCTTTACTTACTGATGAACATGTACAATAATACACTTAATAATGCGCGAACTATAAGCTATGCATTGTTTGTATCTTATTGTTGGAAAGGTATTGTCATATATGTCATTCTATTATCTTTGACCCCGGTGCATCTGGCAAGGCCACACCTCAGTGCTGCCCAGGCTGGCAGAGGGGCTGATTGAGCGCGTTACCTAAAGTGGCTTAGCTGCCGACGTCATCGTTCCGCTCGGAATCGGAATGGAAAGCTGCACCTAGACTTTGCACATGTTGCGACTTTCATCTTGCCATCACCGAGATGTTTGATCTACAGCCCCCGATACCAAGTATTCCATTGTTCTCTCGTCACAATGTCTCGTATATACACAAGATCGGGCGTACGTTGCGTCAAGGCGCCCGTCCTTCAGCCTTCGTATCTGACGAAAAACGACGCAGGACAGGAGCGTGTCGGTCACAGCAACGTACGCCGGGGTAGCTTCAGAGCCTCCCAAATCGTCAGGTTGGTGTCCCCATTTATCTCTCGGGCGACCACATCGAGCGAGGCTGACCTATCAAATCTTCGGAGTTTGGTGCGTCTTCCAGCTGACCCAGCTTAAAGGTCATGTTTGACTCTTCTTTCGATGATGTCGTTCGCAACGACCTGCGAATGTGGTCCGGCGGAAAAATGACCTGCGACTGTGGCACGAAGCTCGGCTCAGCCTCTGCGAGTGGAAGTTCGCATTCTCGTTGGTAGTGCTCGCACAGGACACACCGCGTAGCACCCTCGAGTACTAAACACCCACCTCCGATGCTTGTACACGCGCTGCAAGGGTCTCTCTTCCGCGAGTCTTCGGTAGTCAATGAAGCCACCTTTTTCTCCTTGGCATTAAAAGCGGTTTTCCCCTTATTGAAATTCCTTACGCGGAACACAGTCTCTACTGCTTTTCGAAGTAGTCCTCGATTTCCTCGAAGCGACGGATAAGCATCCGCTAACGACCAGCCAATCGAGTTCCATTCTCTCTCTGTATCCAGATCCTCGTGGCCCTTCCTAGAAATGAGAGCACCTGGATAGATGCAGTTTTGGAGCTTGGCGCCATGAGACAAAGGCTCACAGTTGATTGTCTCGAAGTCGGGATGAATGTCGTAGACTGTTTTGACGCCGTTGCGAGTGTACTTGAATGTAATGTAGCGCACACCCCTCTTGTCTCGATGTAGATCCTCCAGGGTTTTGAGATGATCATTTTGGTGAATTGATACTGGCTTTTGATCGCTGGGCTCCACCTTCTTCGAAGATTTCGTCTCCTCGAGGACCTCAGGAGATATTGCACGTTCCTTCTGCAGCTTCTCATATACTGGAGACATCTCGCGTTGCTTCAGAAGCATTTCGTCCATCGGAGACGTTGCACGTTCATTTAGAAGTATCCAATCTCCTTTCAATGATATAGCGTCGCTTCTTAAGTCGTCTTCTGCCACTTCGCCAGCATCAACACCAGAAGGTAGTATGGCAACAGCGATCTCTTCCATGTGCTGCGCTATATGGCGTGATAGAACTTCTTCGTCTCCGGTAGTAAACTTGACACAAAGCGGGCATGTCACATCATAGATTTGAACGTCCATCCCGTGGCGGTCTTTCAGATGCGTCATGAGACCCTCACCGTCTTCGTAGAAGACGCGAGTGTCGGGACAATTGGCGAAGAAACAAGTGTACGCCAGAACGTCATCATAAATGTGCTTCCTAGGTCAAAGACATTAGTTTTGGCCTGATCAGGGTAGTATTGGAATGGGTTAACTTACTTCCATTCGGTGGTTGCTTTGAATCGCACGTCTTTTCCGCAGATGTTGCAAGTCCGGACTGACAATGAAGGCGCGCGCTCATGCCTCGCTTCACCGCTTTCAGATAGCATGGAGGGTTCGTGGATAGGCTCTGTTTTGACTTTCGCGGCTGATGATGCCATCGCAGAGACATCGAGGCCAGATTTCTGGGAGGTATCTCTTATCTTCTCCATCGTAGTCGTTACCATCTCTTCTCGGGTTGCTTCTCGTTGTAATTGTAGGATGTGGTTGTATCGATCGCAGTTCAACGTCCCCAATCGTGCTACAATGTCTGGTGGTGCTAGAGGCAACATTTTCGCAACACTTCTGGCGAAGGCTTCTCCCGGTAAAGTCTCATCGACGTCTTGAATAGCCCGAAGTTCCTCCTCGTCGGAGACTTCTTCTGTTGGTGAGGCCAGGCTAGGTGCCAGCATGATAAGCGTATCTATCTTCGTACGAAGAACCTGACATAGCATTTCCGCGTCTTGTTCAGGGAAATAAGTGAACCCTTGTTGTTGGCCATTGTTCATGACGTGTTTCAAAAGTATCAAAATCCCGGACGACTGTAAGATCTGTTCTTGCCGCATTCTAGTCATGACTAAACCTATTAAAGCTGTTCGGTGTTAGTTGTACTCCTATGTAGTCTCCCTGATACCGTACACTTACAGGTGCTGACAAAGCGGGAGATAGACTCGAGAACGGTGATGCATGTACCGCGCAGATGAGGAGAGTATTGAAGCTTGTGATCGAGCTTTCCCTGTGGCAATCCAAGGTCGTTGCCCCAGAAGAGCAACGCTGCGCAGGTTGACTCTAGAGATGTGAAATGCCCAGCTTCACTAGGTTGACTCCTGACCTCCTTCATGATGAGTCCCAGCGTCTCTATGAGGGATCTGAATAGTGACCCAAGAATGCCTGGCTTCAGAAGTTCGGTATCATGCACAGTGTCTACTGCGAGCGGTTGTTCATCCTGGTCGTTGTCTTTTGTCAAAGAAGAGTGACCTGCTCTAGCTTGGCTACTCCCAGCCGTTTCCTTCACTTCTTGGGATTGGAGTTGATAGTCGAAATAAGGCGTGAGCTTTTGATCCGAGTTTTTATGTACGAGTGACCCAATGTCATGCACGAACAGGGGATACAGCAACTCGACGATTTTTTCGGCATTCGCCAACTCCAAGGCGCGCTCGAATGGAACCCAAACGCCTTTGAAATGTGTTGGCCCGAGTTTGACCGTGTGTCTAGTCTTCTCACTCTTTAGCAAAGCGCCTTTGCGGCCTGCTGTCATAGCAGTCAACGTGAGCAGTTTGGTGCCGTTGATCATGTGATTGTCGTCGCGACGAGCTACACAGACACCTCCAGTCTCGACTTGATAACAGAGGCAGCCTTCATCTTCCCAAAAAGCTGTGGTAACTGTAGGTGACGACCCTGGAGGAGCGGTTTGGCCTGTGCGATCGAAAGGGCCTGGTAGATCGTTTTTTGGAACAGAATCGGAGGAGGTATGGGCGTCTGGAGACCTTGCTAGCGGTTTTGTTGCAGACGAGGTTGTTGGCTCGCTCGCTGGCGACGACGCGGTGTCTTGTGCGCGTTCCTTTCCAGTCTGCCGGCGGTCGCCCACCAACCCGCCTTCTTCGGCCGCTGATGCATCACGACGGCCTTTTGGTGGAAGCATGAGTAGCAACTACTTGGATCACCCCGATCTCCATGCGTGATCTTTCTCCCGTGAGGCTCCTGGCTATAATAACACGCGCTTTCTCTGTTCAATGCCAGTCTTGCGTCGAGGGTGTGCAACGAGCTTGTCGTTGGCGATCTGCACTTTGCGAGCGTTCTGCGCCCTGTTCAAACGACTGAGTCGAAATTGATTAGAGCCTTGCGGGCACGGTCAGTAAATGCTCAAAAGCAGGAGGATGATGGATTAGGATATGCGCATCAGCTGAGATCATGTTGCTTTTGCCAGGATGCCGACGCGGCTGAGCCGCCACCTGTGGACGGCTGCGCATTGGAGGGGTATGCGCCTATCGCATTAGGGGCCAGACTGCGCCTCGCTCAGTCAGGAGTGCGACTTGCCAGGCTCAACAACTCCAATGTCTTTTGAGACCCATCTTTCACACCATGTCCGGCATCGAAATCGCAGGTCTAGTCTTCGGTGTTGTGCCCATTGTTGTCGAGATTCTGAAGTCTTACGGCACAGCCAAGCGGAGATTGGCGACCTTCTCACGACACGCAGAAGTTGCGTACGACATCCAGCTGAAATTCGAAGTAGCAGCAGCGAACTTTAGCAACGAATGCCGCCTTCTGCTGCAGTCTACCATCGCCCATCCGAGCGATGTCTCTGAGATGATGGAGAACCCGACCCACGAGAGCTGGCAGGAACAAGGGAAGGAGATCGAGCAGCGACTGCGAAACTTGATGCAGCAAGATTACCAGCTATGCCAGGATATAGTGACGCGATTACGCGATATCCTTCGCGAGACACGAAACAGCCTGTCCAAGCTCGAGAACGGCCTGGGCAACGCGAAACAGTCCCAACACGAGTTCGCACGAAAGCTCTGGAATGCCTTCAACACAGCTCGCAAGGAGAATGAATACCTCCAACAGCTCGATTCGTTGGATAAGTGGAACAAGTCGCTGGGCAAGTTGTGTAAACAGAGGCGCAAGATGCAGAAGCGTCGCAATGTTCCTTCGGCTTGCATCATCCGCAAAGCCGTGCCAAGGAGCTACCAGCAGATCCGCGTCGCCTCACAACAATTGGGAGAGTCGATCCATGACTCCTGGTCTTGCACGAACACCTCGCACAGTGGACATCAGGCCAAGCTATCGCTGGACGCCAAAAGTGAGCATGACAGTGTGCAACTTGATGTTGTGATTGCTTGCCAGCCAAAACCGAACACCGCGATCCAAAGGTATGTCATAGCAGACGTCTTTCGCAATCCGCAAGATAAGCAAAGACTTGTCTTCTAACGACAATGTGTAGTCTCTCCACGGACATACCAATATGGCTACAAATTCGGTCCGTTACATCTCTCGCAATATGCAGGGAACCAACACCGCCTCCACCAGCGCTAGCGAGTGTGTTACGTAGCGGGACTAACGATGCATCGCGCGTCGAAACCCAGGCACCGCCCATCAAAGCCAAATCAAAGAAGAGAGTGCGAACTAGCGATGCCAAAGACAACGTCAGGTCTGTTCGAACGCCCGCATCAAGCAGCACGGTAACAACACAAGCTCAGTCCTTCGTCATGTTAGACCTAAAGACAACCAAAAGCGTATGCTGCCATGCGACGAGGGTGCGCTCGTCTTCATCAGCATGCCAAGATGGTTGTGTGGGATTTCTCGAAGTCGCGAAGAGTCAGCCAACAACCCGCTTCATGTTCTACGATGCCAGCAAACTTGCAACCAATGATGTTTTTGCTTGCACCAGGCGACAAGGAGCATTGCCCATCAAAGGGCTTGTCGACCGCTTTCAGATGTTGCAAAAGATCACGCTTGCTCACAAGCTGGCCGAAGCTGTTCTCCAATATCACTCAACCTTTTGGTTGCCGCAGGCATGGACTCTGCAGGATGTAGCGTACTTCACGAGCCCATCTCATGCGGATGCGAGCAACATGACCAATGCACTGGACAGCTTACATCTGAGCAATCGCTTCCCAGACCACGCGCCGTTGAACACTGAGTCACAGCAAAAGATGCTTGATCTTAAGCATAACTTCGGCATTCGTAACCTCACCCTGGCTAAGCTCGGCGTCGCGTTGCTAGACATCTGCGCCCAGTCGATTATCATGGCACCGGGGCTAGATGGTACACCCCAGCCATGTGACATCATCGAAGCAAGGAAGCTGCTTGACGAACAACAGCGTTCGATCACGACGCTAGGGCCTCGCTACCTGGAGGTTGTGCGCAAATGTCTGTATTGCGACTTCTCGTGTAACGATGACCTCCATGGCGAAGCACTCCAGAGTGCAGTATACACCGAGGTTGTGTGTACTTTACAGGACATGGAAACCCAGTGGAAGAAGGTGTTCGGTTTATGAAGGATCGCGATAGATCCAGCGCGTAACCTTTTGGGTTAATGGGAGGGTAAAGAATACCATTCACCCTACATGTGCAGTGAACTGCACATCAGTACCACAATACCCATGATCAGACCGGCGACGCGTTTCCTAGATGGCACCCCTCGGTCTCACACCACATCCGCCGCTGTGTGTTTTGCTACATGCAGGAATAACGGAACTTGCTCAGCCTGCATCGGCACAACAAGCTGCTTCGGAGGAGACGGAGGGGAAGAATGTTGAGAAAGGCGTGGGAACGTGACTCGCGACAGCCCGCCAGGGCCAAACAAGGCCAGGTCAGCGTCTGAATCAGAGCAAAATCTTCTTCGCTGGCTTGTTCTGGTAGGGATTTGGGGTCGGGAAGGGGGAAGCGGGTGACGGTGGCCGGCAAGCTTGTAGACGATGGCTCGCTCTAGACTACGCCACATTGGGCCTAGAGTCTGACACTAAGTTGCGATGAGCGGAAATCGCTGCCGACGCATGTCACATACCCTGTACATGCTGTATTAATAGTCTCGGGCCTGGACGGCAACGTCTTTCACTGGTCTGCCAGTTCCTTTGTTCCTGACTACACCTGGACAGCACTTTGGGCTCGCCTATTGAGATTTTCGGCGGAGTACCACCGACATGAGCCCTCAACTAGTTCCCAAGACGAAGATTGTCGCTGAGATGAAGCAAGGGATGGAAGAACACGAGCCGACTCGTTGACTCACCCTTGACGACAGCATCGCTGATTGGCTGGATGAAACCCACCTGGATAGAGCGGCGAAAACGCGTTGTCAGTCCTGGAGGACTCGGAGCTTCCTCCGGGGGCGCCATGGGGGCAAGTCAAAGACCGCCCACCGATGATTGTCACCGCTCTTTTCAAGACGTGCTGCGAAGAGGTTCAGGAGCAGGAACCATCTCTCGCATACCCAAATGGATGACACGCCTGCAACCCCGCTGGTTCCAGTGACTGCGACGGGAGGAAGAGACCGCGGACTTTGTACCGTATCTGCGCAAACCTGTGATTGGTTTACGCGTACAATGCCTTACTCATCTTCCCCTCCGCTTGGATGCACGACTAAATCAGAGACTCTACATGTGCGTATCTACAGCAGAGGCCGCGATGTACTCGTGGAAATCCACAAGGCTGTCCAGCCTTGTCCAGCTCATACACATAGCCGTCGAGCACACGAGTGGAGTTGTTCGTATTGACTATCTGGATTCAGGTGCGCCACTACTTTGATGATAAGCCCCTAGCATCTCTCTTCCCAACCCGTTCAAGCAAGCGTGGATATCTCTGAAACCTAAAAAAGTCTCCGAGCACTACACCAGGATATGGTCCGCACTTGCTGTCCGCCCATCCAACCCCAGCATCAAGGTGTCGGCGAGTTTGGCCCCGGAGTTCTGTCATCGAGGTCAGCCCAGAACAGCTTTGCTGGCGAGGTATTCTTACAGTCGACCGATGGCGTTAGAGATTCGACTGCCAAGAAGGAGCTGGAGGATGGCCACGATGATCGCCACGATCCCGACCGCGAGGCTCACCCATGTATCGCCGTTGGGCCATGCACGATCCAAAGCTGCTGCAGTCGGGATGCAAGTGGAAGTCATCGCGACAGTGTATTTCGCGCCTCGTGACGAACTTTGTGAGTGTTGCTTGAATAGCAATGGCGGTGATGGCTGCCCAGGTGCTCTGAGATTCATGGCAACAGCAACCCAAAGAGCCGTGGCATTCATATATGCAACAACAGTCGCGATCCTGACTGCAGTGGCCACGACGGGAAACGCCCAAACCGCGCACAATTCATTACATTGCAACTCTAATCGCAAAGTCCAGTTAATGGGTGATGAACTCGAGGTGCGTTCGCGGTCGTGTAGTTCATGTGTCATTCAATGCGAGCTTTCGTCACTGCTAGATAGTGTCATAAAACTCCGGGTCTGGGCCGGCAGTTCCACAGCTGCCAGCCACGCTTCACCCAGTTTTTAGGGACGGCGGTGCCTGGCACTACGTAGGTAGCGCATCCGCGGACGTCTTTCCGACCCGCACTGGGGAAAAGAAAAACCACGGCGCACGGGGGACGGCGATCTCGAACGCCGTACCACAATTGCCTGTGCCATTCTCCGATCTTTCACCGTTCGATGAAACGGCGGCAATCAATTGAGTAAGGGTCCAAAGATACTTTGGCTAGCCGGGCGCCGTCTGGTTTTGACCCCGCTGTGTGTTGCCCGTTGTGGGCTTAACAAAAGTCATGTCGTTGCACCATTCGTCAGAACTTCTTACATGATGCATGCGAACGTCCGTACCACGCCAAAATCCGATCCCATGTGCTTCGCATAATCTAGGGAGGGCGGAAATATCGCTTGGCGAAGCTCACATCCTCAACACCTGTCCGACAAATGTCACAAAACCAGCTTCCAACACAGACCACACGCGGTGTTGGCATATAATGTCTTCGGTCCCCACAGTCACTCCAATGTGCTCACCTCCTCTGCATCTCTCGCAATCATTGAGATGTAACGCACTCCTTTGATACATTCTACAACCTCTCTACCACTGCCCCAGTCGTCTGGCAGCTCCGCTTCTCGCTCGCTATCGTTAATACTTATACCTACACGGTCATCAGTACCATCACATTCTTTCCCCACCTTTGGAGACGCCGGTCTGATCAGCACCCTACGCGAGCTTTGCCGACTACAATTCACCGAGACGTCGCCATCAGTCCAGTAAACCCCCATTATCTTTGTCCAACAACATGGCTTTCCCTAACCACACGAGTCAATTCATAGCCAGTCAGTTCGAATCACCAGCCTCTGTAGAACCATCTCCTGGCACTACAACCGAGAACAGCCCGACCGTGGGCATCAACTTCAACACCAGCCAAATGGTCAACGCAGTTACACCACCCCTAGCCCAACACTTTGGCTCGCCATGCGATACATCTCAATACAGTCAACATCAGCATGCAGCAGCTGTCCACGGCATCACCAATGCATACGGATCGATCCAGCATACGATCTTCGTAGCCCCTCTTCCTCCTACCTCTCTCGCTCAACAAATCCAGGCCATATCTCATCTTTTGAAGAGAGGAACGAACCCAAACAACATTGTCAAGTACGTTGAACACTTCAACATCATGCTGGACTCTGGCAACTTGAACGACCTCGCGATTATAGCTGTGCTTCCTGCAGAAGATCTCGCGAAGATGGTTGTACACGTCGGTAAGTATAGATAGCATTGTACTAAGATCCACACTAACCCTCGATAGCTAATACCCTGGTTTATTCGACCTCCGAGGCACCCTCGACCTTCGAGCCACTCCCGACCGCCGAGTCATCCACGACCGTCAAGCCACCCCCAGCTGCCAAACGCGAATCCATCGACGAGGGCACGGCCCCGCGCCCACAAGCCTTGAAGCGACCGCGCACTTCACGTAAAGGCAAGGAGCCAGTACAACCAGCCGTTGTCCGAAGAGGCTGCCCGGGCAACAACTGGGGGTGCAAGCCTCATGAGCAACGCACCAGGAAATACTGGGACACACGTATCGGCTTCTTCAATCACTTCGATGCTGAACATCTGGGGGAATGTCGCGTCGCAGGCAATCGTTGGCAATGCCCAGCCTGCGAGCGTCCTTCGTTCGGGGGGGATGGACATGAACTCAAGAAACACATGTGGGACGACCATTGGGAATGAAAAGGCTACGGAAAGTCTCGCAAACTCTCTGGGTTGAAGTCTTCATCGTCTTAGCAAGTGTCTACTTGTTAAGATATAGTGGCATGTATACTGCAAACTGCGAGACGAATTCCAGCCACTCCCGGTACCTCGGCGTATGTTGGCATGATTCCCACGCTCCTTCCCACTCGCACGATACTACGATCTTTCCTTCTTGTATATATATATATATACCTTTGGATAACACCCACCTTGTCCAATCCATGACAAATGGTAACGCTCGCTACGATACACTACATAGACAAAATCACTCTTTCTGTTGTCGACGATGTCTTTGCTCATGGAGTATATCACTGTGACCTCCCAAGTTCATCACGCGTACTTCCTCCCCTTCCTCAGCGGCGCAACATCCCCATCCAACCGTCCAATCGCCAACCTCCCGATCTCACCACCCTCTTCGACATCTCCAAAACGTATTCGCACGTCCTTCAGCAATCGCGATCGATCAGCTGCGTCGAGATATGTCCCGGTCGTCGGTAAAGCTATACAAGGATTATCTCTCGCAGCCAGACTAGAGAAGTTCATGAGCACGTCTGGGCCGTGCGGGAGAAAGGTGCGGAGGTAGAACGGCACCAGACTCGCTACGATGAGCACTGTCGACGAGACGATAAGCGCAATGACCCAGCCGAAATGTGCTTTGAAGACCTCGACGTTACTGCGTCTTGTTCCTGTACTCGGCCATGCTCTCGCTAACATGAGCCTGTCCTTCCAGGTCTCTGAATCCATGCTCGTGATATTATCTTGGTCTTGATGGTACCAAGAGACGTTTGCATTCGATCGGTTGGTGTTTGTGTCGAAATTCCCTATAAGCGAGTATTTGCCATTCATTGTCGCCCAGTATGCATTGAGTACCTGACTGAGATGTATGGCCCAACCCGCCTGATCAGCCTCCTCAAAATGACCAGCCGTGTTTCCTAAGATGTTGCTCGGGTCGTCGAGATAGGTTTGGGAGAGCCCATACATGCTGTATTCGATAGAATCGACAGGCTGGACATCCCTGTTGAAAGTGTCGAAAGTGTCTACTAAACCAGCTTTAATGGACGAAGATAAGAGCGTAGATTCCCAAGGTGTGTTCTCGAACCCTATCAGCGGACCCAGTTGGGTGTTTGCTGCCGGTGGGTGTGCGAGGCGAGAGCGTCGTATACGAACCGCAGCACAGGCATCGTATGTAGAGCATGTGATTTCTGCCTCCACGTACGTCGTTTCAATCGTACAATTCCAGATGCGAACCGTATCCATAGTAATGACAAACACGAAAGGCTCGACTTCACCAGGAGGGACCTCGGCGCGTCTTATGACGTTTTCGTTCCAATATATGTTCCCTAGCCACCTCGTGCTGTTGAATGTGAACTGGGTGTCCCAATCATCGGAATCAACAAGGTATGCACCACATTCCAGATGAAAGTACTTCGCCTGGACCCTGGTGGAGTAGTCAATGAACTCTGGTGAATCTGTGCCACTTATTGGAACACCAATAAACGAAGAGTAAGATTTTCGAGTACCGTTATCTGTCCTGTACCAGCCTTCGTCCCCAGAAGGAGATGTGTCTTCGTAATGCTCGATTCGAGGTATTTTGATGTGACCCCAAGTATCGCGTGGAGAGCCTTGTGCGGTAGTCTGACTCATGAGGGCAGCGAGATAAGAAATATCCAAGGTCGGCTTGAACGCTTCGTAATCAGGCGGCCACAGCCACTGGCTAGGCGCGAGATAAAAGAACTCCACATGTTCAGGAATGTCCTTTGGTCCGTAGCTTATTTGTCGAAAAGATGATTGACCGCCCACAGGGGACAGTATCCATATAGCTATGAGACCGAGGCCTACATAGCTGATAGCTTGAAGTTGCAATTGTGAGACCACGGTGCTGGTGAGCGAAGAGCTACTAGCAAGTGTGTCTAACATGCCGATTCGTTCGCCTTTTCCAAGCCTCCAAAGCAAGATCGCAAAAGTCGCTCTCCCAACCACTGAGGCAAAGAGTATGGGATAGATTGTCGGGCCCTAGGCAGGATGAGCGAATGAGCTTTCTGACACGCCCGGATATATACGAACCCATACTGAAGCTTGTTTGATCCTCTCAGCTGCATCCTGGTGGCGGCTAGTGGGTTTGCCGTTGTACCAGATTACGAATAGAGCAAAAGCAAGGAATGTGAGTGAGAGAACCAGTAGGAGAAGATCAACAAGAATCTTCCAGGCGGTACTACCAAAGGAGATCTTGACGGGTCGCGGTGATGTCGGCCAGCCGAGAGATAGTTCAGATTGCTTCTCGAACAAAGGGGCGTCCGGTAGCTCATAGTTCAAAGCGTTACTCGGTACTCTCTCGCGTGAGCTGCAGAGACAATCGTCTGAGTTGGCGGCATCGCGCTCGCCATGGTGAAGGAGTTCCAGCTGGGGTGCATCGGTACTGATCCGCGACTCATGACGTATTCGTTCCTCACTGTTGGCGAAACTGAGTTCAGTTTCAGAAGTGCTGTACTGGTACTTGCTCTGCTGTGTGGTCGCCATAGCACAGGAGCAAAAACAACAGGGCGACAGTCAGCAGTTTGCAACTGCAGAGGCTAAATTATGAGAATTAGCTTGTAAGCCCGCATAACAGACTGGGCGGCGTTTATGTACGTGCAGCGTAAAAATGTTACATAGCAACGCCACAGCCGCATCTTTTGTCTGACAATGCTGTATCGAACCTCGGGATAATTCCTATTTGGGTGGCATTTTGCGCAGCAAAAGCAATTAGCAACAGCTAGCCGAGTTACTTGCAATCTGCGGTCTCCAATCAGAAAGTTAAAGGCCCAAAGTAAGGGTAGTGGTTGGACATTTCGAGCGTAGAAACAGTAGCGTTCGACGTAGCCGCCTGTCACAGCCCACAGCCCCACATGATTACGGCCCAGAGATTGCGAGTCAGCCGCCCAAGGCTCGCTGCGCAGTACCTGGCAGACTGACTGGGATGCTGATAAGCTGTGTCTATCCGTGAGACGTTGACATGCCGTTGCGACAGGTCCATTCGGTTATGAAATGCGCAATTGTATTTGCGACTTGTTGTGGAGTAGGATTCGAGGGTGCATAGTGGCGCTGATGCGGGCCTTGTGCAGCCGCCCATGGCAGCCTGATAATCAGGCCTCCAGACTCCCCGTGCCGCAGCGCCATACAGTGATGTCCTCAGTAACATTCTTAACCGCCGCCTTGCTTAGGATTATGGGCACTGAAACGCCAAATCAGCCAATTAGCTAGACTTGCTGACTAACCTTGGAAGGTAGATACAGCTAGTTAGCATCTGCTACTCGGCGGTTGAAAACATACTGGGGACACGATAGGTAGTACACGGATTGCGCGACTCAATGCGGACCTCAATGTAGATCATGGTCGGTGGAGCGACTTGAAAGCCGTCAATAATGTATCAAAATCCCAGAGTTGATGCCAATCTAGCAAAGCGTGAACAGAAGATGTGTTGGAGGTCTTGTCAGGCGCCTACCTACCTAGGTGGGTACCTCAGGGCTGGAACACGATCACGTGATGCTTGGCAAATGCAATTGCCGAACCCCCGACAATCTAGATCCTTCCATCTTCGCTTCCGCAGCAGCTAAATCGCCAAGCGATACAAGGCGTCCTGGCGTCTTCATTCATTGTAATACCATCACGATATAATACCACTGGATTCGCGACGACAGACTGCAGACTGCGCTCTCACATCATGCCGCAAAAACATGGTGACCGGTATTGCTTGTGCCGCGAAACCTCCTGCCTGGCAAGAGATGGCAGGCTGGTCATGGGCGTGCGACAGGCTCTAGCTGGCCCAATAACACCACAAAGGCCCTCCACGATATGCAGCCCCCGCATCTCTTGACAGGCATGCATGCGCATTCAGCTGTCTTCAGCTGAGACCTTGCCGCGCTCGTAACAGATAAAATGTCAACATCTTAGGTTTGACGATGCCTTCATTCTGGCCATCTTCAGCATCGATGTTAAATCACTCACACAGCGTCACACACCCGCCGCAAAATCTCGACTTCTGACATGTGGTATGGCGATTGCATGGGAGTCTCGGCTGGTGGCGCTCCTCCTGTTGTATGGCTCGTCATGGCGTTGATAGACTGATCGCTGACCCACGTGATTAGGCTTTCCTTTCAGATCATCTGCATTGCGAGCGACGTAGCTTTTTTCAGGAAGAGAATTATCCTTTTGCCAACAGATCATGATAATCAGCTACCGGGACAGGACTCTTCATCTGACGGCATATCCTTGGTCAGCAAAGCGAAGCAACTTCTCGAAAAACCGGACGTAAGCCGAGCCGTCGTTCCGCTACTTTTCACCTTCGTCGGGGTAATAATCACATCTACTCTATTTGCGGGTACAAGCGACACATACGGTGCCGCACGTAGTGCATGTGGTACCAACCTGGATGCCGATATCAGTGGTGTCGGTGTACGAGTCTCCATATGGTTACAAATCGGCATGCTACTCGTCATCAGTATTTCCGGTCACTTACACAAACAAGAGACCGGAATAAAAGAAGTCGGAGGTGGCTTGATTCTTACGCATGTCGCCCTCATAATAGCACTCGTTGTGCAAATGTACAAAGGGACATTGACATCCGTCGATGCTGCAATTGGCGCGGTTATCTTGGATGCCCAGAATGTCTCTTTACACATCCCTGCCACTGCCAAACAGACTCTAGCTGCTCGATGGCAAGTGCTTCTTCTCATCCCAGCTCAAATTATGGGGCTAGTATTCCTGCCGGTAGTGGTTATCAAGTTGATGAAGGGGGAATTCGCGTCGGAAGATTGCAAATGTCTCAAGATCTTCTGGTGGTCTAGTTTAAGCGACTGTGACGACTTCTCTGGTCTCGAGCTTTCTCTCTTCTGGATCTACTACACGCTTCGCTGGATCATGTGGTGTCAGTCGTCTTTCCACTCTATGTACAACACCCAGCCGTTTCATGAGTCTGAGAGGGAGGGACGTGTCCTGATTTTGAGGCCCAATGGGACAAAGCCAGAAACGGATAAAGAGATCATTGCGCTCGAATGGGAGGTTCCAGAACGACGGGTCAAAAGGGCTACTTTCCAGGCTGGCCTTGTGTATAAACAGTACTCTGCAACAATATCAGTATCGTATACGGCATATGCGCTATACTCGCTCACGTCCATGGTAGTTGCCGAGGTCACTATTCGAGAGTACGACCTCCAACCTAGCTCCAACGTCTATTCGATCGGTCAGATCATCGCTATCGTCGTCTCGCTCGCTACTCTGATACGAGCTATCTGGAGTTTCCAGAGCCTCTATATCGATTCTCAGAAGTCGTTCCCCGATTTGGTCTTTGAGCTGCTTACCTGGCCCCCATGGAGTTGTTGCTTCCGGTCAAAGACAGATAAACGAGGCGAAGATACGGCCGCGACCCCCATGAAACAAAATGAGGAAGAGCCTCGGAATGGATCAGACACTGATAGTAGAAGTAATGGCTCAGGAGGACAAGGATCTCCGCAACATTCAGCACAGTCTTCACCCTCGAGACGTGAAGTGGCTGGTCGGCCTGAACAATACTTTCAACGCTATCCTGAATCACCTCGTCCAGGTAACAGCAGACCATCCTCGGATAGCACCAACTCGTCAAGGCCGCAGCCATTTTTGCCCCTAGAACAAGACGGTCGAGCACAGCGCCCTCAACCAGATCAATTAGAGTCTCAGCCACGGCGAAGCCACTCTCCCAAGCCAGCATTCCGACTCAAATTCCGCCAGCCGTTCCACCTAGATGCTGTGAAGCAGCTTTTCTTCCCTGCATTCACCCAATATCTGGAAGAGCGAAAGGAAGACAAGGCTGCAGTTCCGAGAAAAGGGAATTCGGTCTCGCCCCCATTCGAGCCCTCAGCAATCGATCAGCAGCGAGCCTACACGTTGCCTGGACATTCTCAGGGAAATACTGGCAAGGGAAAAGCTCCGGTACCACCTTCAGTCGAAGAAAGAGCGCATCTAGCAGAAGCTTCGGTTTCAGCCGATGATGAACTCCGCGCTCTAGCTAGCGGCAAGCCCTCCGGTTCTATAGGCGTCGAGACAATACCGGGGGGAGACGATTCCGATGTGACGACTCAGCCAGGAAGAGATCACACACTCGAAGAAATACAGCCACAAGCTGCTACACGGAAAGACATGGACGCAACACCGATTCTAGCTGGTCATTGGCCAGAAGAGGACCGACCAACCGTTGCCCAAAAGCTCGAAGAACGACAGCTTGCACCTCTTCGCTTCCCAATACAAACAAAAGAGGGAGACGTACCGGAATCCTCGAAGACTGGCGCAGCCCGAGAACCTTCGATTCCAAACGTTGACATAGAACCGGTACCAATTACACCTGACCTAGAGCAAATAATAGAAGTTGGAAGTATTTCAGATGGTTACATGCCATTGACCGGCTCTTCAAAACTCGCATCCACCGCTGGAACTTCCAAAGGTCATTCAAACCCATGGGATAGTCACCGTGAAGGCCGTGCACCGCCATCACTCCGCTCACATCTCATTCGGAGATACCTACCCCGACCACTTCGAAACCTTGCAGGGGTTGAAGAAAGCCCTATTGACCTCGCTTTACCCGGTCTCTCAAGCTCCAGTGATGGGAAAGACACCAAAGCTACTCCTGGCCGGTTACCGCTTGATATCAAAGCCACGCCTGGGAGAGTACCGCTTGATCTCAAAACCCGCAGCCTCCTCGCCGCAGGAGCCCGACAAGATGTAAGAAGAATCTAAAATCTATCTGTTGTTCAATAGACTCCCAGCTAATGCGTGCTTAAGCGCAACTCTTTACTCAAACAGATTCAAGATCAAGAAGAGAGTCTGAAACCTATGTAGCAGCTGATATGCAAACGTGCCCGTGTGCAGGCAGCAAAAAGCTGTGTATGATGTCAAGGGCACTGTAGTTCTGGAAGTATAGTAGGGAAGAAGCGTACAGCTCAGGATTAGATTCGGGAATTCTAGCTTACTATGACAACGCCATCCGGACTATATTCTACGACAGAGAAGTCTTTCTTCTCACCTGATACACTTCAATAGCGGAGGGACTTTATCATTCTGTATCCACCCGAAAAGGAAATAGAGTCCGCAGCACTAACGCGGGTGGTTTTGCATAGAGAGGTTCAGAAACCCGACAAGAGGGTAGGAAGAGAAATGCTAATGATACTAAGAGAATGGATATGTGCATCGCAGGCTTCAAATTAAAACTTTATTCGCACTGAAAAGAGTCTCTTACTTTCCTTTCCGTCTCCTACCCCTCGAGGAGACGCAGGACCACGGTGTCAAGAACCCAAATCCAATCACCGCGCCTTCCACGCAGTTAATCTTACACAAACCCCTCAACTTCCCCTTCCCCATCCACCCTCACTTCTTTTCCGCATCCATCGCCAAAATCCTCTCATAAAACTTCCCGAAGCACTTCTCAAACCGTTCCGATTGCTTCCGACCCCCATCCCCCCTCGCAAAAAAAGCACCCTACCTCTTCCTCTTCTTCTTCCCCTCATCCTCACTCGCCCCCTCATCCCTCGCCTCCTTATCCTTCTTCGCCGCCTTCTTATCCAACTCATCCCAGCTCTCTCCCTCGCTAAACTCATCTTCACTCCCCTCATCACTCATCTCCTCACTCGCATTCTCATCAAAGTCCGATTCGTCAGAACTCTCATCCGAGATAGCCAACTCGGACTCACTGACTTCAAACGCAGACTCCTCTTCCTCCTCGCCATCGCCCTCGTCGTCAGTTTCGTTAGACAGGAAACTCCATCCGCCGTCGGCGAAGAACTGGTGGGGGTCTGAGGTAACGGTTTTCATGATGGTGGCCCAGTTTAGGTTGAGGGGGCCTTCGGTGAAGGGGATGTCGACGCTGTCCAACCAGTCTTTGACGGGGTCGAGGGACTCGACGGGGATGGTGTTGATGTGGACGGGTGGGCGGTTGTAGTCCTTGAATACGACGACCATGTCAAAGTTCCGCAGACCGAATTGTACACGCTCCAAGTGGACGATTTCGATCTCGGAGAGGGTGAGGCAGGTAAAGGGGGGTTCGGTGAGTTGGACGAGGCAGTCGGTTGTGGGTTGGACGAGGACGGAGGAGCGGGATGGGACACCGTTGAAGCCGAGCTCGCGGTAAGGGATATCGACGCTGACGTTCTCGTTGCGGGCGGCGTCGGCGATCTTCTCGGCGAAGTTCTTGAATTCCTTGTCGAGAGCTGCGCGGCGTCTTCGCTCTTCTTGTTCTTGCTCGAATTCTTCTTCGTCGCCGAACTTGTGGCGGCGCTTGCGGTTGCCTGTCTCGTCGAATTGCATCTCTGTGGCTTCGCGGACAAACTGCACGTCCTTTGTCTTCTTTTTGCCCAACATTATTGGGTTCTTGAGGTGGACGTGGATGATGACGATGAGCTCGTGTTGTGAGGGTTGGAAGAAGAGGTGCTTCATGTTGCTGAACAGGACGTCGATCTTCGCTGTGCCGTTGCCGTGGACGTAGCGCAGACCGTTTTGGTGGATCTCGACACTTCCGGGGATGCGCTTACCGTCGAGCGCGGGGCGGATGAAGATGAGGTCGAGCATGTGCGGCTTGCGGGTCTTGAGGGGGATGAGCTTATCTTGCTCAACGACGTCTTCCATCTGCTTCTTCTCCGTCTCCCTTCGTACGACGTCCTTCTTCAGCTCTGTGATGTCCTTGGTGATCTGGTCGATGCGGTCGACGTCGTGCGACTTGAAGGTCAAACTACGAATGAAGTGTGCGTTGGGGTCTTCGAACGGCTGGTCGTCTTTTCGGCCAACACCTTGACCTGGTGAGAGGAAGTTGATGCGGAGAGATGTGAAGTCCGCCTCGGGGGTATGCGATGCATTCTTGATGGTGTGGATGTGGAAGGGTACGGGTCGGCCCATGATCGGCAGAAGGACTGTGAGGTTCTTCTTGTCGACTACGATCTCCAAGTTGGCGACGGAGCTGGGGAACTGGTTGTCGCGCTTGTAAGATTCGAATTTCTTAAACTTCTTCTCTTCTGTGCCGTTTAAAGACTTTGCGCCCTCGCTGTACTCGGCAAGACCCTGCTCCTGCTTCTTGGCGTGCAGCTCTCTTTGATGCTGTCGCCGTTGCTCCTCCTTCTCGGCATCTTGGTTTGTTGTTCGCTCGTGGCGTGTGCGGGTCTTGGTGATGTTGGTCTGCGCAATAGCTGGGCGCTCCTTCTTGACCTTGGGCTTGGCCTCCTCCTCTTCGTCGTCGAAGAAGAACGAGACAGCGTCCAGATCTGAGGTGGTGTCCTTGGTGAAGACTGCGCAGTCGCCGGCGCTGACACGGACGGTGTCTACCAAGACGAGCGAGTAGTTCTTGCTCTTCTTGTCCTGCGGCTTGCTGTTTTCGAGGTCTGACAAACCAGTCTGAACTACCAAGGTCATGCCGTCTTTCAGGACACGGGTGTTCTTGCCGCTCAGGAGCAGCGAAGAGTCCTTGTTCTCGGTACCGATACCGTAACCGAGGTTCTTGGGGAAGTGCTTCTCCCACTCTGGCTTCTTCGACTTGAGATGCGCGAGCGCCTTGTTGTAGACATCCTTGGCCACGACACCATCCTTGATCGACTTGATGACCAGGTCGTGAATCGCCAAGAGCAGCTTGTAGGCCGTCTCCTGCTCCTTGTTGGGTCCAACCATGAATGTGCGACCGATCATGGCGCCGTATGTCTGGTAGCGCAGACCGAGGACAGAGATGATGACGCCCGCGTGCAGGTTGTTCTCGTCGGGTTCGGCGGCGAATTTGAGGTCGTATGAGCCGCCACTCTGGATCGTAGGCTGCAGGCACCAGTCCAGCTGCATCGAATCGAATGTCTTGGACAGCTTCTGCTTCTCAAAGAACTTGGCGTCGTCGATCTTGTTGGAGACCTTGTCGGCGAGGGCGCGGTGGGAGATCTTCTTCTCGGAATCGAGGATGTCGGACATTTCTTCGACGAAGTAGTTGGACATGAGGGCGCTCGAGGCGCGGGCGGCGTCGCGGATGGTTCGCTAAAAGGTCAGTAATGCCAGTGCGGAGATGTGAGTTCAGACTTACCAGCTCCTTCTCGTCCTTGACGGACAAGGCGGCGTTGGACATGATGGAGGCCAGATCGACCTGGTCCTCCTCCTTGAAGCCAGCCTCGTCGAATGCAGCCTTCCACTCGTTCGCAAAGGCGTTGTTGGCGTTGTCCTTCTTCAGCACCGCCACCTTCTTGCCCGCCTTCTTCATGGTCTCGAGACATGTCTGAAACTGCTTCTTGTTCTCCTCGGCGTCCTTGCCGCGGACGAGAATCTCCACCGGCACCTTGCCACCTTTGAGTGGCTCAAGGTAGGAAGCTATCCTCATTAGCAACCATTCTCATTTTGGGGTGAACTTGGCAGACTCACCCTTCTTCTTGGTTGTGACAATCTGGAGGAGGTCGGGGGTCAGGATGAAGAGCGTCGCGGGAAACTCGTAGCCTAGCAGCCATAGCTGGGGTCTCATCAGCTCACTGTCCGTTCATCACATGTCGATATGCGCAATCTTACCTGGAACGCTGCCGGCTTCAAATAGATGCCCGGCTCGCTCGCCTTGCCCACAAGAGTCGCGATAGAGCTTGCGCCCTGAAAAACTGCGTCGCCGGAGCGCTTGTCGGCCTTCCACTTGGTGACGAGGGCGTTGAGGCGCTCGTGGAATAGCGCCTTGTCGATGACAATGTCGTTCTCCGCCATGGTTGAGGATGCGCTGAAGATATCCTCCAGGCGGTTTGGCGTAGCTGCGAGGGAGAAGGTGGGAGAGAGAAGGCAGCGATGAGAAAGTCGCGAAAGGATGATGCGACGCGAGGTACGCGCTGGGGGGCCGTGCGCCTCTCAACTCCACAATCATACTAGCGCCAACCTCACCTAGCAAAGCTCTCTACAGCTGACATTGATAAACCCCACATCTTCCTAGGCAACACTTTTCAACGTCACGTTTTCTTCTTGTAAATACTTTGATCATCTTTTGTTGTTGTAGACTCCAACATTCTGATCACGCCAAAGTCACTTCCATCTTGTGACCATCCCACGCGGCTGCCTCATCCACCTCAAAACCCTCACCACCCCACCCATGCGTCTGCAAACCTCCCCAACCACCAACACTATGCGATGACGACTGGCTCCAGTCCTCGCGCTGGAGTCTCTCTCCGAAGCGATGCCTCCAATGACACCACGATAACTACGCCCGATGCCCCGCAAGCCCCCAACAAGGCACCAGCGACGGGTGTGCAGGCCGCTGGTATGCGAGCAGTGGCTGCCAGGATGGTCGCCTTCTACTTCCGAGCACCAGTCAAAGCCTTTTTCAGGGGAAGAATAGATTACATGAGCTATGCGAGGGCGATAAATCCACATGTCATGGCGGATGCAAAGTGGTCGTGGAGGATGACTACGCCGGCGGTTCTGGCGCACGCGATACGGACTGAGGGATGGGGGTTTATTCCAAAGCAAGTGCTGCCACCGCTGATGGCAAATACTTGGTATGTGACCCCTCTCCTACCAGCACACCTATACTAACACCCCCCAGTATCGGCGCCGTCCTCTACACAGCCTACCTGCACTCCCTCTCCGCCCTCCACGAACCCTCCTCCTACCAGACCAAACGCGTCTACCCGCCCCCTCCCCCATCTATAACCTTTGCCGCAGGCTTTATCGGCGGCTCATGCCAGTCCGTCATCGCAGCCCCTTTCGACGCCCTGCAAACCCGTTTCCGCACCGCCGACATCCTCGAAGGCCGCCACAAAACAATGTGGCACTACGCCGGGCACAAACTGAGATCCATCGGCGTCCAAGGCATCTTCGCCGGCTGGTCTCTCTCCTTCATGAAAGACGCATTCGGCGCCGCAGTCTTCTTCGGCACGTTCGAGACAGTGAAAAGCCAGGCGTATCTCGAGTTCGTGAGCCGTTACTACGGAAGTCGGACGCGCGACACTCTCCTGGAGAAATCCATCCCCTACCTCCAAGAAGACCACGACGACCGCCCCGTTATCCGACCCCACTACATGCTCGAACCCATGTTCCTCCTCCTCGCCGGCGTCTCCGCATCCATCACCTCCCAACTCATCCAGCACCCCTTGACCGAAATCCAAGACGTCCATTACCGGCGTTTGGAAGCCCTGGATTTCCAGGCCCACCAAGACAACAAGCCTAGTCATATCGTCCGCCGCTACTACCACGCCTACGAAGAAACGTTTGCCCAGTGCAAAGTTTTAGCGAAGAGGGCTGGTGGGTGGAGGAAGTATCTCTACAGAGACTTCTTCATGAGCACGATTAAGCAGGTTCCCAGTACCGCGGCGGGGCTTATTGTGTTTGAAATTGTGAGGCGGAAGTATAGTTTTGAGAATGAGGAGGTTATGATTATGCATGAGGATGCGAGGATTTTGCTTACTTGAAGAGGTGGGTGGTGTACGGTGGGGGAAGCAAGAGACGGAGTCAATAGCTCGTGTCAATCGGAGCTCAGATGCTTGGGTGGGGTGTACGCGATATGGTGGTAGCACCTCCTATGTGGGACAAGACGAGTGACCTCAGATCATCTTAGAGGAAACTTGCCTTGTCTTACATAGGAGATTCCACCACTATATCGCGTAGATATCATCCAAACCTGCAGGTCGGAATCCAGGAAAATGGTACGAAGAGGGAGCGGAAGATGTGATCTTCACCACCGCCCCTCCACTGAGGGAGGGGCGGTGGTGGAGACTACATCAATCGGTCATTTCTTCACCCAACCCTCATGCTCAGCTTGAGTAAATCCGCTCCTTCGTTTTATACATTCTCGGAAGTAACGGGAGGTTTGGAAGTGAATGTTCCTCTTGGCAGTTTCGCGCTACTTCGGAGGGAGTATAGGGGAACTGGCGGGTTTACTCGGGCTGCGTAGTAGAACGTCGTGGAATATTGGACTATGAGGAAAGAGGGAAGAGGGCAAAGGTAGTAGAAGCAACCGCCAACGTCGCTTCCAACGCTGCTGCCCAGCCCTAATAAATGCAGTCGTTTGTTGCTTAGCTTTCCGAGAACGTAGAGCAGCAAACGACTGCATCTATTAGGGCTGGGTAGGAGAGTTGGTGTAAGGGCTGGCTGACAAGAAAGGAAAGGATAAGGCAATTTCGCCTGAGAGGAGAGGGGTGGTGTTTGGAGTCTGATGATAGCCTGCATATGATACCCAGATACAGAATAATTACAGTCGTAGACTTTGTATATACGTATAGAATAACACAACTCGCATCGCATTAAAAGACTATCGCCATGAAGTCTCCTGTCTCCAAGCGACAGCCATCCCCTCAGCCCAACTACCCTCTCCCCATTCATAACCAAACAACTCAAATACAATACTACCCACCCAGTCTCGCCAACCGCTCAACCCTCTCCCTTTCCCTCTCTGCTTTCTTCCACACCCTCTGCGCTTCCTCGACTCTTTCTCCTAGCCGACGCCCTATACCCAACATCTCCAAATTGAGTATGTACCATGCGAACTTCCGGCCGAAATGCCATTCACCTCTCACAAACTGGAGTTGGCCTACAAAGCACCTGAGCAGCGATAGAATAGGTTAGTACTACGTAGGAGAACGGAGAAGAAGGCGGGAGGGATAAGGGAAGTGGGGTGAAGGATGAGTACAAGGGTCACTGGGTGACTCACTGCCAAAAGATCCCCCCAACAACCATCCAACACACCAGCCCCAACTTCACATTCTGCCCATCAATCAGAATATTCCACGCTTTACTCTTGATCATATGTCCGTTTGCTCCACTCGTCTCACTCCCACCATTCCCACCATCCCCTCCATCCCCTCCATTCCCTGCATTCCCAGCCTGTGGCAACGTGCGCCAACAGCCCAGTCCCACAGTCATTGGAAGGGTTGTAGTGACGCCGTTGGGTGCGGTTAGTGTAGATGTGGAGATATGTGGACAGTCTGGGTCCCAGATTATGGGTTGTGTTCGTATGGGGAGGGCGGTTGTACCTGTTGGGATTGGGGGTGGTGTGGGTATAGCTCCGGCGTTTGGGTTGGGGTTTGGAGACGTGCTGGAGGGGAAAGCGAACGATACGCCTGAGACGAGGGAGGGGATTGGGGTTTTGGATTTGTGGGTGGATTTCGATTTAGATTTGGAAGTCGTGGCAGGTTCCTCGTCGTCATCTACATGTTTTGTCTTTGAAGACGTTGCCTTTTCCTCGACATCTTTGAATGAAGTGAAAGTCGGTGTAGTTTCATCGTCATCTTCTACCGGTTTTGTCTTGGTGGATGTCGCCTTCTCTTCGTCGTCATCGGCTGCAGTTTGAGTTGGCTCGGCGTCATCATCCTCATCTGCAGGTTTCGTCTTGGTGGATGGGACCTTCTCCTCAACGTCCGCAGATGTGGCGGTGGTTGGCGTGCTGTCATCTTCCTCATCTACCGCAGTCTTGGTGTGCGACGCTTTGCTCTTCGTAGACGTAGGCGTCTCGTCATCTCCAGCCGCTCCTTCATCAGTCTCAGCTTCTTCGTCAGGTACCCTCTCCCCATCAGCCAGTAGCTCTTCTTCCTCTTCCTCGTCTCCATCCTTCGCATCAATACCTTCATCATCGCCATCTTTATCCTCCTGCTTATGCGCAAACTTCGTAGCAACAGCCGTCTCCTCTTCCACTCCATTCGTACTAGCAATGACCCTGGTAGGCCCATCATCTTCTACATCGATATTGAAAAACCCCTCGTCTTCCTGCTCAGGCTCTTCACCAGGCCCACTGAAGCTTCTCGAATGAATGATTTTGGTGGTAGTCGCGGGGTACCACATGCGCCAGAGTAAAGAAGGTGGTTTCAGTCTACCGATCGCCGCATTACTCGATGCCGTAGTGGAAGCTGAAGCAGTAGAGACGGCACCCTTCCAGCTGTAGTCAGAAGTATATGTCATGCTGTTATCCGTCGATTGACGATCAGTTTCGGCCCTGGCAGCTATCAAAGCCGGCGTTGGCGCTATTAGTATTCCACGTCGCAAAGCCCCGTTCGCAGAGTCGGTGGTCTTTATCGAAGCCTGATCAGTACTACCTGCAACTGAGACTAGATCTGGAGCAGTCTCTACAAAGCTCTTAATATACGAGTAAAACGAGTTTATGCTTGCTTCAGTAAACGGCTCGTCCGTAGTTGTGCTGACAGGAACAGCGGCGGGTGTGGCCTTGGGCGTGGTGGATGTGTCTAGGTCAGCAGGGTTTGCCGGGTCTACAGCTGGACTTCGATACTCCTGGACCGATGTCGCAGATTCCGGTATATCTTCAGTCTCGGTAGCATCGGAAGTCTTCGACTTTGCCTTGGTCGAAGGTGAGGCGGTATCTTCGGGTTCAGAAGGTTCGGCGTTCGCAGCTTTTGACACCGTTGGTGTGCCTGAAGCCTCGACGGTCTTCGATCCTTCTTCGTCGGCTTCGCTCGCTGTAGATTTGGTCTTGTGCTTGCTGGATACATCGGGCGCCGATTCTGAAGTGGCCAAGTCACTGTCCGAAGCTGTTGCTGACGTGGACTTGTGCTTAGAAGACTTCGTTGTCTCATAGTCACTGATCGTGTCTTCCGTGTCCGAGGCCTTAGGTGTGGCCTTACTCGTGCTCTCTGCCGTTTCGGAAATAGCAGATCCTGGCTCGGAGACTGTTGCCTCCGGAGGCACATGCTTCGTAGACTTCGAAGTATCTATTTCATGAGTAATATCGAATGTGTTCAAAGATGTGGTTTTGCTGGTCAAGGTCGCGGATGTTGCTGATGCCGAGTCATCAGTGTCAGTCTCTGAAGCGGTGACTATCGTAGACACGTGCTTGGATGACTTGGTTCCACTCTCCGACGTTGTCTCGCTGGGGGTGACCTCCGACGTCTTCCCTTCTGATACCGAAGCTATTGCTGTTAAGCTTCCAGAAGCTTTGCCACTCGTTGAACTGTCGACACCCTCCGCGTTCTTGAAATGGAGGCAGAAGCTATCAGCCGCTTCTTGCTGCACGGGTATAGCCACGACCTTTGTGGAATTCCGAACAGCTAGCTGTAGTTCTCCTTTTGGCCCACCCTCCGAGTCCAGCTCTACCTCGCTGTTGCAGAACGCAGAGGCTGTGCTGTTGGACATGAAGACTGAAATGTAGCCTTCAGATGCGAGATCGATCTTGATATGGTAGAGGTCTGTGCTCCTCCTATTGACGATTGTCACTCCGGAATGAAGAGCCTCTTCGCGTTTGGTGTCATCGTCGAAATGTACGAATCCGACTTGCCTCGCGTTGAAAATCACAGGTAGGCCAGTAACCGGTAGCTGGGAAATCGTAGGCTTCTGTCCACTTGCTCCCCTCGGCCAAAGGAACGCTGCTGCCATGGATGACGCGGTGTCCCCGTTCATAGCCTCGAAGACAACATCAGCGACAGATGCAGAGGAGTCAGACACCAAGCTTTCGCTCCTAACATGGTGGTCCTTGAAGCTTGTAGATAGTCTTCGCACTTCCGTATGATATATCGTCTTAGTTATTGTAGGTGTCGCACGCTCGCCGCGTTTGATAGGAGCTGCTAGAGCGAAATCGAAAGCCAGAGCATGCGTGCCCAGGGATAAGGTCAGTACGCTGACAAGGAGTTTCATGTTGATGCCGCGCTGCGGTAGTATGCAGAAAGAACAGAAGATGAGGAAACACAGTTGCAATTAGTGCACCAGGTTACGTAGTGATGCATTGTCATTGACGAGCATGAGCTCTGGTGATGTGTACTTATCTTGAAGCAGGCGGCCCCCTGGAATGAAGTTAATGGAATTAACTGACTGAATGAACACAGCTGTGAAGATCTATGGCAGTATCGCGCAAATGGTGGCTATACCATTTGCCGCCCATGTCAAGCGCATACTTCATATGCTGGTGAAATGTCAATGCCGCGTAAAGTGCAAGCTCGTCGTAGTAACAGTGGCGTGCTTCGCAGTAGTAGCTGGGGATCATCACGAGTAGTCTCTGGGTCCGAAGTAGCGCGTGGTTCAGTGTTGCTTCCTATGACGGGATCCGAAGGTCCTGCGCCTAGGAGCTTGAAGTACGTCTCGCGCGCCTGCGCCCTAATACCGCTCTAGTATCCAGCCTCATCGCTGTCATCATCACTAAAGAAGGCCTTTTCCCGCATTCGGAGAGCTTCATTCTCCTCCTCGATCGTGTCTGCTGTGGTCTGCAACAACTTTGCATCATCAGGGTTGTGTATGTAGACGCGCTTCGTTTCCTCTAAAGCTTCCGTGGCCTTCTTAAGCCAATATCGCGTTGCTGCCAAGTTTTCTTCATGTTCGTTCTCCTCATCAGCCGTGCTTAGAACCATGCAAGCTTTCAAGCGGTAATATGGCGACAGGTTCTCAGTCTCTAGGAATGTGCGCATAGTCCCGCCAACTTGGCCGGTGACGCTCCCACAGAGGGCCTATGCAAAGTCAGATGTGGTGCTAGTAGATGTCAATGTAAAACTCACCTTCTGAAATTCGGCCTCGAATAGATCCATCGCATCTTTGAATGTTGTCATTGAGTTGTTGTCCTGGTGCAGTGAGTCAAGCCGCATTGAAGAGGTGGTGCAGGATGGAGTGACGAGGAAGCCGCGCGCCGAAGCCGAGCTCCTCCCGAGGTCGGCTTAGTAAGCTAGCACGGCACGTCACGCAGCGTTATCCGAATATCCAACACCATTTCCGTCGTCTACGCGCCACAATAGAGCCGCGCATTCCCTCCGCGCAATGAAAACCAACATAATTCGGCGTCGCCGGCAAAGTAGCAGCTCTAGTTGAGCTTTTCCGCTGAATCCCAGTAAGCCGTATAAATCGACTCCTGCACCAATGAACCCCTCAGTTCATTCCGATTCAAGTGCCGAGATAGCTACCTGCGGTACGCGGTGATGCATCATATAACCACAGCGCCATGCTCCTCCAACATCTCTCTCCATCCCGTCACTTCCAGCTATTGAACCGTTCTTCTCCACACTTGTCTAGACGCACCATGGCCTCCCTCCCCATCAAGCTCGCCGTCCTCGATGACTACCATAACATAGCAGCCCAGCACTTCGCCCACATTGACCCTTCAAAAGTCGAGACAACCGTATTCACCGACACATTACCGTCGTACGCGCACCCGAAAATATCAGATGCCGACCGCAAAGCCCTCGTCGACCGCCTCAGGCCCTTCTCCGCGCTTTCCACTATGCGCGAACGCACCCCGTTTCCGGGCGAATTGCTCCGCCAACTGCCGAACCTCAAGGTTATATTCGCGACGGGCGGCAACTTCCAGAGTTGGGATCTGGATACAATGAAGGATATGGGTATTACGGTGTGCGCTGCGCCTGGCAAGGGCAGGACGGATGGGAAGGGTAGTGGTACGTCTCCACGGTCGCTGCCAGTCCAACAGGGGGGTGGGCATCCAACGACACAACATGCTTGGGCGCTCATACTGGGGCTTGCGCGGAACGTTGCCGCGGACGACGCTGTTGTTAAGGGCAAGGGTGTGCCGGCTGGATGGCAGACGGAGCTCGCGATGGGGTTGCAGGGGAAGACATTGGGCTTGGTCGGCCTAGGAAGGATCGGAGCGCATGTAGCAAGAGTTGGCGTTCTCGCTTTCGGTATGAAAGTCGTATGCTGGAGTGCGAACCTGACACAGGAGAAGGTCGACAAGCTCGCCGAAGAGTGCGGGCTGCCTGTGACTGGCGGAGGCATGACAGATGCGAACGAGAAGACATTCAAAGTAGTCACGAAAGAACAGCTCTTCACATCTTCCGACGTAGTAAGTCTGCACTACGTCCTCAGCGAACGCTCACGCGGTATCGTCGGCGCACAGGAGCTGGGGTGGATGAAACCAACCGGCCTCTTGATCAATACTTCGCGAGGCCCGCTTGTCGACGAAGCTGCGTTGCTGGACACACTGCGACACGGGCGCATTCGTGGCGCCGCGCTCGACGTGTTTGACATCGAGCCTCTTCCTGCCGACAGCCCATGGCGGAGCGAAGACTGGGATGTCAAAGGCAAGAGCAGGGTCTTACTCACACCGCACATGGGGTATGTCGAAGAAGGTACTCTGACGACTTGGTATGAAGAGACGGCAGAGAATCTAGAGAGGCTAATAGAAAGAGAAGAGCTATTGCATCGACTAATCTAACCCAGTCTCAGCTCTACTGGAATCCCCTTTCTCTGCTCTTCCGTCAGGTCTATATCGAAAATCTCTTTCAAAGCAGCAATACGCTCCTCCTCCGTCGCACAATCCCGTACAATCTCGCGGTCAAGCCCAATACTCTGTTTAACCCCGCCTTCAAAAAGCGTCACACTGCCCACAATCCTCTCTCCCGCATCGTCCATGAGCATCTTCGTACTAGTCACATATTTCGTGAAGAAAGAAGCCGGATTCGTAGACGTAAACCAAGACATGATCTCGTAATCCTGCGGCAAAAACTCCGTCTCCGTAAAGCAATACACCGGCGTCCATTTCCTCTCACCCTCACCCTCACCCTCCTCACTCCCAGGATTATAGCAAACGTCATAACACCACATCTCATTCGAGTCCCTTCCATACGACTCCGCAATAGCGCGTCGCTGGACACGAATAAGCCGGGGCGCTATACTCGTCGTTTCAAATCCATCTTGCAGCGGATAAGGCATGTTGGGTCCCATGGCCCCCATGCCAACGTCGGCGACGTACCAGCCCCCATCATCGAATCCCACCAGATTCAGCATGTGGTTCCAGCCATCGTATGTGGCCGCTTGCTGCCGACGCACCTCGGGGTAAGGGCTCATGGCCCGCGACACGCGGCCGCCACAGTTGCGCACAGCGTAGCCCAAAGAGCGGAGCACGGTAGCGAAGAAGGTGTTGTTTTCCATGCAGCGGCCGCCGCGGCGCTGGGTTACTATCTTGGCGTACAGGGCTTGTGGGTTGAGTGTGATGGTTTTGTGGGTAGAGTAATGGAGCTCGAGGTTCTCGAAGGGGATGTGGCTGGTGTGGTGTCTGGTTAGGGCTTGCAGGAAGGGGAGGCCGGGCTGTTTGGTTGTGGCTAGCGTTTTGTCTGATAGTATGGGCGTGTCTAGATATTTCTGGGGGAGACGGATGCGCTGGAAGTAGTCGCGTAGTTCGGAAGTGCTGTAGCGTGGCGCCTCGTCACCTAGTGGCAGCTGGGTCAGACGAGAGGGCACTGGAGTGTCTGGCATATTGTAGAGGGCCGTGGATTGACCGACAATGGCGTGTGTTGGCTTGGGTTGGAGTAGGATGCCGGCAATGATTTCAGGCGCCTGTTATCTGACCGATCTCGTAATCAGAAGCGGGAGATGCACCCTGAGTATAGTTTCTAGTCGCAGAGTCCAACACGCCCATTACCACCTGTCAGTGTTACCCGTGTTGCCCCGCACTTAACTGCTGAGCTTGTTATCGGGCTAGCGCATCGCGGAACAAGCGGGTTTGACGCGGCTACGCCAGGTCCGGCTTTTGCATTCTCGACAAGGCTTTGTCAACGTCACCCTGCACGTCGTGAAACCATAGCCAATCAAATCGACCCTGCTGAAGGCGAGGCAAGATCTTGCTCATGTCGTCTCCTGCTTCTTCGTGTTGGAAGAATAGCATACGGGCAACCTCAGCTGCCTGCTCCAGTTGCTTCTGGGCGCGTGGCCTGCGTACTGAGTCGTACGCGCTGAGACCAGCAACGATGTCTGCGTCGCTATCTGCTTCTTGTCGCGATGACTTGGCAATCTCTGACAATATATTCGAAAGGACCAGAGCGTCCTCGACGCCTTGAGCAGCGCCCGCTGCCTGAAATGGCAATGACGCATGTGCGCTATCACCTAGAAGAGCCACACGGCCTCGGTAATATGTCGAAGTCCTCAAGTGGTGGAAGAAGCCCCATCGAATTGGATTTGCCTTGGCCAAAAGCTGGCGGAAGCGGTCATCGACGCCTGGTCCCTCGAAATCAGCCATCATGGCTTCATGTGAGACCTTCTCTGTCACAGCGTTGTCCAGGTCCCAGCCTTGCTCATCTGTGACACACAAAAGGTAGTTGAACTCCTGCAAAAGGAAGCGATAAGTATGGGGATATTTCTTTGGTCTTGGATATGGGTCCTGACTTACCTTTCCCTCTGATATACGGTACGTTACTGCGCAGCGCTTGTGGCCAAAGTAGAATTTCGCAACGTCGGTCAAATCTCCTAGAATAGCTTCGGCATCAGCCATTGGAACGACAGCACGGTAGCAATACGCATCAGCGTAGACTGGCGCTACTTGGTCCGGAAATTGCGGCTTCAGGACATGCTCGCGGACTGTGCTCTTGATGCCGTCGGCGCCAGCAAGAATGCTCGCTTCTTCGACTTCTCCATCGGCAAAGGTAAGGACAAGTTTGGTTGGCAGCTGTTCAATGTTGACGAGGCGCTTGTTAAACTTGACATTTTGTCGTGGGATGAAGCTGGTCATGATGTCAAGCAGCGTCTTGCGATGCGCCTAGTGCCAATTAGCGATACTCGTGTGATAGCGATAAGTTAGAGCACATACAGACTTGCGCTCGAAATCAGGATGGCCCCAAGCTGACTTGCCGTACCATGCTTGGTCTTTGCCTGCATTATCATGTTAACAAAACGCACAGCGAGAAGGAATGTGGCACAGAAAAAGATCCATACCCAAACCCTCACTAAGAAGCATGCCCTCAAAAAAGATGTCTTGTTTGTCGGCACCCTTATTCCCTACGCAAATCCTCTCGTACAAGGGACGGAATCCAGGCTCAATCAGATCCATGGCTCGCATGCCATTTGGCGCAAAGCCGATACCAGCACTTTTATCAAGTACCTAGGTAAGCACAGGAAGCATAGGTGAGGGACATAGTGATGAGAACATACCCTACAGCTGAAAACTCCTTGGCGTCCTCGTAAAGGGTGAAGGGAACACATTTCTTGTGCAGCGCCATTGCCAGGGCGAGGCCACCAATGCCTGCGCCTAGATGGCCTGTTAGTGATATGGGATAGAACATGGGTTGGTGTGCAGATATACATACCGACAATGGTAACGTGGAAGTCGCTGTTCATGGTTCCGACTATGGTGTACAGGGTGGTGTTTGTGCTACGACTTTAGCGCAACTATGACGCACGGTTGTGGGGAGCGACGGACAGGCGATGCAAGGATGCAGTAGGTAGACCGCTGAGTGTAATGAAGATTGCATCACTTGGGCGGTGTCGTGATGCGTGGTAGCCCCGTTGGCTTGAGGCGTGACTAGATGGCGTAACGCGATTACCCCGGGTTACCTGGCACTAGGTAGACGCTACCACAGCCCGGACGGGAATAACCGGACACGTGATATCCCGTCTGTGCTAGAGAACAACATGTCCAGACGCCGTCGCCCTTACCACCACCATGACCACGGCGGATTCGTAATCAGTCGCGGACACGGCTGCACCCACTGACAAGCGGCGGCGCATTGCTTTCGCATGCAACGCATGCCGTGTGCGCGAGTCGAGGTGCGATGAACGGCGCCCCTCGTACTCGTCCCTTTTTCGACGTCTTTGATTTGCGAATTTCTTCATGTATGGATCTCGTTGGGGTCGCAAAGGTTGTGACTGGCTCGTTTTCCAGGTATGCGTCAGAACAAAACCAGGGTAGTGTGGCGCGTGGAATCATACCCAACCACGGAGACCTTCTACCCAGCAGATCTTAGTGTATATATAGGGACCCCCATGCAAAACTGAAACTTGCGGATCACAACAGCATTTCAGATTAACTTGCCAACCAAAATCGAACACCTGCCTTTTCTTGTGTGGCTTTCACAAAGAACCACCATGTCGACTCCAACGCAAACCAGCACCGGCGTCACACGTCCTCGGCCAACACACCACATCCGAGCGGACGGTAATCGCGGGCGCCGAATTCGCTACCCACCACCACCGCGCCCGACGCCTAAAGCATCCTGATACGCCCAGATCAAAGAACCCTGCGCTATCTGGAAGTTCAAAAGATACGAGAAGTAGCCCACTGAGCTCTTCGACCGTGCCGAAACATACCTCAATGACATGAGCACCGAACCTTGAGGTAGCGAGGCTAGCCGGAAGTGAGTCTTACACGGCGGCGTGTTGACGGCAATTCAGATTGTCATTGCCACGCTGGGATTCCCAGGCATAGACACTGCCTTCGAGACGAAGTACACATTCACGGCGCAACACACGAATGATGATGAGATTCCGGTACTACTGGAGTGGCTCCAAGAATTAGTTATGGTCGAAAAAAGTTCTCTGGACGGTTATACACCCGAGTGAAGCAGGACGACTACATCGAATCAGCGGACCGAAGAAGTCGTGATCATGATGTGCTTTGGCGATCACATCCCATCCGCGGAGCGAGAACGTCGTGATTATCATTAACTCTAGCTACTACGTGGCTGATGCTACGTCACGCATACGTAATATCTGCGTAGTTAAGGGATACAATTCATCCAAACGATTCTCTCAGTCACTATCTAGCTACATGAAGTGCACAAACATCCTCTTCCCCTACCCACTCTCTCCTTCTGCAAATTCAAGTTGCAGCCCAAGCAGATGCGCTTCGATCAAGTAACAGTCCAACGACAGAAACGCACTTGAGTGCTCAGAGTGCAACTCTGGGGGTTTCCCAAGATGAATTACAAAGGGAATTTTGATGGACTTGTCCATCGAGTACAGCAAGCTTGTAGTTACCGATACTCATGCCATGGCGCAGCCCAACCGGCTTTGTCTTGTCGTCCCAAGGCATTGCTCCCAAAACATCGTCGACCGGGGAATCGTCCAGTGTCAGCAAGTCTTGTTCTTTCGCCCGTTTGCTTGGGCTTGCGAGCGGTGATATTGATGCGGCATTGCGCTTGGTGGGAGATTCAGACGTCATTGTGTTTATGAAGGGCTTGCAGTAGTACTTTGAAGGCTGTTCGAAAAAGGGTAAAAAGCAGTTTTGAAGTTTGCGCCCGTGGTGGATCTCGCGTGCCGTCGGACCAGGCAACCATGCCGACCCGCCTGTGGATATCAAGGGCGATCAAGCCCTCGTACTCGCTATCGCAGCCCCCTTCCATGGTGGGTCGTTCTGGTTGTGGCTTTTGCTTATATGATGGGAAGCGCCATCGGATTTCGTTGGATTTACCCATTGTTGTGTCGCTGGAAATTTCATCCACCTCATACAAGGAAGAAGCCGAAGAGGCCTGCAGCCTACATCAAGATGGGAACGTGCAAAGTAGATAACCCAACGTCAACGTAGGCTCTAGGGTGTTCAGTGTTTCTCCTTGAACAAAGTGCGTCCTCGTACGCGTAAAGACAGCCCATGCGCTTCATGGCTTTGTGTCGGCGCTCAGTGTCGGTGGGAGATGACATGTCTGTGTGGTGTGCGCATGGTCTTTGGATATTGGATATTGGAGTTGCTCGGTAGTAGTTGAGAGCTGGAGGAACACCATTGGTGATATGCGATAACGATAAGCTGCGGAAAGCAGACCAGAGGCGATTGCTTCCGTCTTTCAGAACCTTTTGGCGTATACAATGACGCCACGAAGTGTCCACCCACAGCGCATAGGGATGCGGAGAGGTTACGATAGCCGTACACTGATGAATCTTGGTCTCGGTATCATGTTGTATCCCTCAAAGAGAGGTATTACCGAGTACTGAATCAAAGGATACGTCCATGTCGTAGTCGTTGATGGTGCGTGATTTTGTATCCCAAGGGAGTGTCCACTCCGGTTTCCTTAGGCGACCCATGGTGAACCCGCTGGAAGCACCATCTTTGTACACAAAGATGCCTTGTTCACGGTGTATGGCATCCACTATTGCCTTATGTCGTGTGTTGTTGAAGTTGAAAAGAGACTCCTCGAGATTGTCTGTGTTGATGAAGGTCTGGTAGTGATGCATCGTGGTTCGATGCATGACCGAACACATTTTGTCGGCATCCTTCATATTCAGTTTCATTTTGCCGACTTCTGCCGACAGGGGATCATTTTGATCCGGACTTTTTAAGGCCACTCGCGACCCTTCGATCTGCTCTCCAGTAACTCGATAGGTAACGAAGAAGTCGTCATCCCCTGCCAGGACATGACCGGCTGTTATGCCGTACGGCTGGTCGCCAAATTCAGTTGGATCGATCATAAAGACGCCCAATGTTCCAAACTCGGATTCTACTCCCCTCTGATCGGTGATAGTATCACTAGGGTGAAGGCGGAAGACCGTAGGTGAACTGAGGTCTGGCGCATACGATATGCGTTCTGCCGTTATCATTACTCCACGGAAGGATATGTAGTCGCCTGGGGAGTTTCGAAGCCCTTCCGGTTGGTTCTTTGATGATGCGACGCGCTTGTTCGGGGATGATGTGGACATTTTTGTAGTGTTGTATCAGATTTTGGTACGGTGAGTTCTGCGATGGGAAAAGGTGTCCTGTGTTGGGAAACGACGGGGCGTGGTCAATCTGGTGCGATGTCAGAGACGAGGAATTCCCAGGGTTGCTACCCTACCTTGTATTCGCTCTTCATTGACACGGTTCGTGATCCAATATTGGTCACCGCCTTCAAGAACGTGTCCTGCTGTTATAGCGTAGGGCTGGTCCCCTTCAACTTTTAGCTCAGATGGGGTTTTTCTTTGCCCCTTTGACCGGTGGAGTATAGCCAGGGTCAACGGCCTGTACGCGGTCGAGGAAGGGAATGTCTAGCCACGATGGCAATATAGGTGCCGGCTCGGCTTCTTCTGCTGATATCCGCAACGAAGGTGCGGAGATGGTCGCCGTGGTGTTTCTAGACCAGAAATGTTAACAAGAAAAGACATTGAGACAGGTACTTCCGATGGTACGTACCCGAAGTAAAACACCTCGGTGACGTTCGACGGAGGCGATAGAATAGTACGTGTGTGGTGAGATAACAATGGGCTGCGATATCCACGTCGTCTCTTGGTACAATTTATGTTGGTTGACATCAGCCAGAACGTGTCGATGGTGCGATGTAGAAGGTGGCGTGAGGGGAGGAGGTTACATTCAACATCAACATGGCAAGAACACGGTCATCGGTTGGTAGGAAGTACGTTCGGCGGTGGGGGCAAGTGCACCCATAGCCCTGCCGTATTTGTCATGAATGGGAAGCAGCTATCTAGTTGTTCTCCATAATACCGCCGTAGTCCTCAAGTAGTGATATCGCGCCAAGCGTATATTCAATCGGCAAAAATATCAACTTCCTCGTCGTCCTCGCCTTCGCCTTCCCAATCGCTGTTTAAGAGTGCAGCCATGAACGCCGCATCGTGCTCTTTCAAGTTGACTGCAAGAGCACTTGACTGCTTCCTCCGATCATTCGGAGGTCCACCGTGTATCGGCAGGCTCGCATAGCCCACGATAGTATCGGCGAAGCGCTCGTCGTGGCGGAAGCCGCGCCATTTGGCATAGCAACGTTGCTATTATTGTCAGTATACCGAAGTCATGGTAGTGATTCGTTTGGAACTTACAGCCGGGGTCATGGAGGAAAGCGCATCGTCGTCGTCTTCGAGCGTAGCAGGATCGGCGTAGCGCATCTTGAGCGTCTGCTCGCAAGCGAACACGTACTTGGCGCGGAACATGTCTCTCGCAGCCTGTAGCTTCGCCTTCACCTCTGTGTTACCGAATCCGAGGTTGTAGATTTTATCCCATGGGATCATCTTGCCGACGTCTCCCCACATCGCGGCCGCCATACGTTCCGGGTCCTTGTCGAAGTCACCCTGCCAAAGAGCTTCGAGCTCAACCGGGGTAAGGTCTTCGACGGCCTTGTCAGCATTCTCAGCCTGCTCCTTCCACTCGCAGATGACCATGGCTACCCTGGGATAGATGAAGTCGCTCATGACCTCGCCCTGGAACTCCGACTGATAGTTCCTCGTCCGCTGTCTAGCGCGAGCAAATTCATCGGACGACTTATCGCTGATCCCGCAGCCAGTGAGCAGAGCGATGGCGTCATCATCTGCGAGCTCATGCTTCAAGATGTAGACGATCTTGGCGGCAGGCTTCAAGACCGAGCTCAGCATCATCGTGTCCTTGAGCGGCGGCGAGGTACCAAGGAATGGCTTCAGCCAATCGGCTTCGCTTGCCCCAGTCGATGCTGTTCGGCTGGAAAATGCTGTAGCTGCTTCGTGCCTTCTCGTAGTTGCCAGCGACACGGCCGCGGTTTCGCACGATGGTCTTGGTGACTCTTCCGGTGTCGATGTGATCGGAGGCCCCACCTTGCGAGGCGGCGGTGGCGGGCGCGTGGCGAGCTCGGACGAGCTTTGCTGCTTCGAGGATACTGTGTGCGACCATGTTGATGTGGTGGGCGGAGTGGTTACAATAATATCAAGCGATATGTGAGAAAGAAGAGGAAGAGTAGTTGCAAGTCGGAGTCGATACTTTATACTACCCTAGCGCAGTGGGGTTTACGAGACTGTGTTCAAGGTGAGAGCGGACTCGCGGTGACGCTTTTTTCCCTGCCTTCACCTCGCCCTACAGCGACTAGTCGCCGCCACGTTGACCGCAACCTGCTCTTACATTGTTCGCCGAGGGCTCTTCCTTTTCTGTGAGCCGCGTTGCATGCCTGCACTTTTCCTCCTCGGCGTTTGGGTAGCCGCATCCCAGGGTAGAGGCTCACACATCTGGTCGAGAGAAGCAAACATCTCAGGCTTGAGGACCCACTCCCCCGACTCTTCGTCCTGAACGTAAGGCTCTTGCAGAATCCACTCCCGCCACTTCTTCATAACCTTGACTACATGCGCTTGATTGGCTTCAAACCATTCTTTGTGCAGCTTACCGCAGCCTTCACACTGCCTTCGCAGTCTACACCCCTTCAGCTCAGTGTGTATGAGCTGCTCGACGCGGTGAACATGCGGCATCACCACCTGACTCTCCATACTGGAGTGATAGTCGTGCTGGTGCCTGCACTTCGCATTCCAACTCTTGAGTCGCTTGGCCAAATCCTTGGTGTGTCCGATTTTCACCATGCCAAAGAATGCCTTATCCCAGAAGAGGTAAACGTAACCCGGAGTCAGTTCTTTGGTACCCAAAGGAGAGGCTGCCTTCTCGTGAAGAGCCGAAAAAACAGAGAGCCCCCTGGTCTTCTTCGGTTCATAAGTCCTAAAGCCTGATGAGGGGGAGAATCGGGCGTTTGTCTCAACCGTTGGCAACTTGGACATGGGCTTCAGTTCCCGCTTGGGCTGTGTAGGTGGCTTGGGTTTCGTCGCAATGATGGCAGCTCGAGCAGCGTGATCGTTGGGAGCGTCTATGTCACTGATCGTGTTGACCCATTGCATAAGCGTGGATTGGTCCAGTGCCGTCATGCGTGTCGTGCCTTCAAGCTTGCTGCGCAGTTGCGATAGCCTGGATCCAGCCTTGAGTTGTCTCAACGCCGCATGTTGATGCCTGATGCACATGACTGACTGCACGATCGCCTCGATATTGCGAAGCATACCGCAGTAGTCCTCTTGTCTGTTACACTTCGAGACATTCTTCACTGCGCTAATAGCGTCGATAACCGACCCCCTAGGCTTTGCCATGGAACTGCATCGTGTAGATGGGCTTGTTACGAGGGACGCGGGGCAGTAGCCCGGAGCGCTGGCCAGTCTTGCGTGAAGGTCGTGTGGGACGAGTTGTTCTAGTAGCTTCGAGAACTTGCTGTCCAAAGGCGGATGGATGCGACCTTGGGGAGATGTAACGATGGTTGTCTCTTCACGAATAGCGGTATGTATAACTGAAGCGATTGGTGTGGTGGAGGCTGTCTTGGAACGTGTTCGTGTACTGATACTGGTATTCTGCGTGAACACGAATGTGGGGTTACTGTTGTATTTGACGGTAGCAGCTGCGACGCTTGCCTTGGAGACTGTGATGTGTTAGTCAGATGTGATCGCTATCAGCTTCAAGATGTCTCTACGTACTCTCTTCAAGCACCAAGGTGACGCCTCGGAACAACTTCGGTTGGAAAGGGTCATCCTGTGCCGCTGTCACCTTTTCCTGGAAAAAGGGCTGCGGAATCGCCGGAGTCACTCCAATGCCGAAGATAGGCTTGAGAATCGGGGTGAAAAGTAGCTTGTTAAAAGAATCAGGGGGTGTTGGAGGTGTCAAAGGCGTCAGGATACCGCGTAAAGAAGCGCTGGTCGTCCGCTTGGTGGGTGTCTCGGGTGGATCCCACATGTCGTTGAACCCTGCCGGAGATGTCGTGGCACAGACTGTCGATGATGGTGACAACCAGGAGAACTTGTTCGGATCCAGTACTGACAGAGTATCGTAGCTAATCTTGTCTGAGATCGGTGTGGGTAGGAATGTAGCGCAGGGTTTCTGAGCTGCATCATGCCCACGCTTAGGTGTCCGCAGAACGCCTGGCTGGATGCTAAGATCTTGAGTAGCGAATGTCATGATGATAGCTCTGCGAAGACACTGGGTGGCGTGAATGATAGGGAAAGGGCAGGAATGTATAACTGAAGTGGATGAGATGGATGAATGGGTCGTTGATGCCAGCAAAAGCTGAGTCCATGCCAGTATATATCCTCAGCCTCGCGGAGCCAAGTGCATTGCCTGCGACCACCACACCTACCCATCTCGCTGAAACCTTTGAGGTACTGCGATGTCAGCCTCAGTCGTTGCAGTGGCATGATACCAGAAGCGCATGGGCTGCGGCTACGTCCATCCGTGTAGACATATTACTATGATGGGCAGGTGTAATCGCCTCCCAGACGTCCACGAATGACTCGAGGACAAGATGGATTCGCAACCATGAGGCTTGTGAGTTTTGGATCTTTGGTGGCTGCATGACCCGTGCCGCAGAGCCGCAGGTGGTTGCCTTGCTCAGCCTACCACAACCGCAGGGTGTGAGAGCTCATCGTTAACGACCCTCCGATGAGACTGTATCTAGAAGTCAGTCTCTTCGGCGATGAAATCAGCTGTTAGAAAACATTTGGCGCCGGTGATCAAAAGACCGGAAAACGGATCAAGGACCTCGACCTGCATCCTCTCGCAATAATCTGGGTAGCATCTTGGCCCCAAGGAGAAACGATGCTTCGAAACCTCTCGTGTAATATGTCGATGAGAGAACTGCAATAATACCAGTATGCACGCGCCATCTCAAGCTCGTATCGTGTTGAAGGCATTCCTACCATTTGCCGTCTTTCGACCAGGACGTGGGGTTTGAAACAAACGTCGTGATCTTGCCGTGGACCGTGCTGGACAGCGCGCCGTCGCCGAAACTCACACAGGCGATACACATCGAGATAATGCAGATTGAGCGGCATATGAAGCATCGGTGGGCATGCTGACAGATTTTCTGAAACAAAGATAGATGCAGCAAGGTACGTGAGTATATCACGTTGAGTGAAAGCGAAAGCGAAGGGGATGGAGGTTTGTTGTTTTCGGGGACGCGTCGTTGGCTCGTGCGGGCCGCCACGTGGGACGGCAACCGCCGCCCGCAGGCGTACCGGCTGTCTGCGGCCGATACCTCAGCTCCTGTGCAACCTCGAGTGACAGCTGATAGTCTTAGAACGTTATATCTCTCTTGAGAAAAGGAGTTGGGGCGGACAGGATGAGCGCACAAACTCAGAAAGATGCTACAGGCAGGGGCGTACAGCAACGCTGTTAGCGTTCTGACTCGGCGTGTATGGTGACCAATGGTATGCGCGTTACTGGATTCTGGCTGTGTTCAAGATGTCTACTCTGGGTGGTTTGGGTGTTTGGGCGCTTATCGATATCAACTTATGGATTGTTGGTGGGTACTATGGTACCCCAGGGTGTCCACGTGGTAGCAAGAAAGACTGGCTTTACTGCAAGAGAGTGTGCAGGGTGTATCATAGAAATTCATTGACAGAGTTGGATGTATTCTTGATCGAGTACCTAGATAGTCATCTGATGTTCTCAAGTAGGTACACTTCCAAGGTTCCTCGACCTGCTTGCGTTCCGTTTTTGACAGCGCGATTCTTCCCAATATTACGGTGCTGATGCCGCTTACCACGAGGGTGTCTGGGCGTCAAGACATGGTCAAGGAAGAAGTTGATGGGTTTTAGCAGATGCGCGTCCGCCGAAAGAGGGGCCGCGGGTGAGCTATGACGACTACTTACCACCAGATCGCGACCCTGAATTCCTCAAAAGGAGCTTTAGCTTCTTCACACGTATTGCCATGATGGGCATTGTAGCTGCATCACGAAAACGTATTCCCAGTGCGACTTTCAAGATGATTGGTCGTTGTTTCCAGATTAGCCCCACAAAGTCACGGGAATCAGGCAGCAGCTGAAGCGGGTGGCATGTCAGAAGCTCGCCACACTCGCCATGTCTCGCAACGCCAGTGCACGACATCCGAAAAGCGAGGATGGATCTATGCAGCGTCTGCTCGCACATTGACCTTAAACCTCCCGTGGGTTCAGAACAACCTCTTGGTTCTTATGATGAGCTGCTGCACAAATCCCACAGTCTTGGGCCTGACCGTAGTGGCTGCGGAGGCTGCGCATTCTTTTGCGCGGCCCTCTTAAGATTGGAGAAATCAATACGTCCAAAACCTGAATTCCGTGGCCTCCTTGTTACCTTAGTTCGCGACACTGGTCGTCTCTCCAGTGATCTGTTCTTGTGCGCGTCATCTCAAGGCGGGCAGTATCAAAGATACGGCAGAAAGCTCGATATCTGCACTGGAATTGATGTTACAGGTATGTTGAACGCAATTTAAGGCACATGTATTATTAATTTGAGACGACCCAGATCAGGAGTGTCCCTTCGCACACCCGATACCTCTGGATCCGCGTGACAGCAGCTGCTTCGATACTATGAAGCGATGGATGCGCCAGTGCAAGACGCATGAATCCTGCTCTCAGCCTGTATCTGTCACACTGCCCAAGCGGGTCATCGAAATACCAGTCGACTCTTCCGTGCCACCAAGATTACGAACGACCAAGGCTAAACGGGGCCAATACGTGATCTTGTCCCACTGTTGGGGCAGCAAAAGACACGCAACACTCATAGGCTCGTTGCTTGCTCGATACCACGAAGCTATTGACATCGAAACGCTCCCAAGGAATTTCAGCGACGCCATTGAGATTACACGAAAACTGGGCTTTCGATACCTCTGGATTGACGCATTGTGTATTGTACAAGATAGCGTTGAAGATTGGTCACAAGAAGCTGAAAGGATGGCCTCTTACTATGGTCTCTCGACGCTTATGATATCCGCAACAGTAGCTGAAGATAGCAGTAGCGGGATCTTAACCGAGCGAGAGGCATTCTACTCTCCGCACTTGGGTGCGGAGAAAAGATATTGTTTGAATGATGCATCATATAATGATGACTGTGATATCGAAAGTTCTGTCTTGGCTACACGTGGCTGGACCACGCAGGAAAGGATGCTGGCGCCCCGTATTGTACACTACGCAAAGAGGCAGATGGTATGGGAATGCGCAGGGGGCTATTGGTCCGAGCTTCCAGGGCAAATGGATGGGGAAAAGTCTTATTGGAAATTGGAGTTTCAACAACTCGTCACCAAGGCTCTGAGTCAAGCGAGTAGTGTACCATGCGGTGTGTCAAAGGCTTGGACAAAATCTACCCTGTCGGATCGACTTGCCAGGTGGCATGCCTACATCTGGGGAGACCCGCCCCTTCATTTGACAGTACCGACCGACAAGCTTCCGGATCGACTTGACATGTGGCGCTACTACATGTGGGAATACTCGCCCCGTCATTTGACAGTACCGACCGACAAGCTTCACGCCATCGCTGGTGTAGCAAGAATATTGAATGATGACAACGTGCTTGGAACGTACTTGGCCGGAATTTGGAGCAAATGTCTGGCGGCTAGTTTGTCCTGGGGAAAAATGTCGGGAGTACTCTCTTCGCCACCTGTATACACAGGGCCTAGCTGGAGCTGGGCGAGTGTGACCGGTGGACCGGTTCCGCTGAACACACATATAATGTCAAGAAATAGGACCCCGTCCAAGTACCCGCTCGAAGAAGGATGGGCTACAAGATCAGGTCTTAGGTTACTCGATCAGCATATCGTATTACAGGATGAGCATAATGCCTACGGCGCTGTTCTAGAGGAATCTTACATCATCGTGGAAGGCGTATGCATCACGTATGAGGATCACTGTCGGTTGTCGAGAGAGATATATCAGATTGAGTTTAGTCGTGTGAAAATGCGTCTTGATAAGGGTGAGTGGAGAGGTGGTCAGTGGTATCCCGATGGGTGGGATCTTGCTCAAGATTCAAAGGACGACGTTGAGCCTGACCGACCGAAAAACTCTTTGCAAAAACCGGAGTCTTGCGACTTCGTCTTGTTGTTAGTTGCAGAACGACCGGTTACCACAACAGGAGGCAGATTATTCATGGAAGGCTTCTTAGTCGCACTACTCCTTAGCTGGGTTGATCGAGAAGCAAACGTCGCGCGCCGGATTGGGATATGGGACGAGCGTTGTGATCAGGAACAGTACGATCGTAGCTTCCAGGATTTTGAGTGGAAGCAATGGAAGCTGAAGCTGGTTTGATCTCTCAAGTGGTCATTACGTTCGATTGATGGGACGCTGTTATCGCTTTCATTTACAGTCTTGTTCTTGGATACTAGCTAGAGAAGCGCGTCATGAATTGAAACATATTGAAGCTTCAACAGAAACCCAAATAACACGACCGCAGTTTGACGATACCATCTCTCTGCTCGTGGAAAGACAGGCACTACCACCGACCCCCACAATCATCTCGATCAGTATCACAGGAAACTACCAGACTAAACAGTTCTTACTAAACCTTGTCCGCGACCGGACGTACCCGATAAGCGATTCTGTCTTCTTCTCCTTCCGGTGCTCTGATTTGCTGGTACAAGGCTATTGCTTTGGTCCGGTCTGGCTTCTATCTTGTTCAAATTGATGCTACACTTCTCATAGTATTGTTCAGCTCAACAAAACGCGTGACTGTACAGCTATCATAATCTCCATCGTTTCCTCTACTTCTGAATGCAATATAGAGGCAGGCTTAAGATGAAGGTTTGTTGTTTTCGGGGCGCGTCGTTGGCGCGTGCGGGGTGCCGCCAGGGGGACCAGCAACCGCCGCATACCCGGTACCTACAAAAGCACTGCGCCGTGCAGTCATGACCTATCGCCCCATCAATAAGGCCAGGAGCAGGTACGTGCCAAGCACATCAGCTATCTTCCAAGACTCAGGGACAAAGATGAGGTGGGACAAGTGCAACACTCTTTGATCAAACCGACGCTTTATGACATCTGCATGTTCTTGGATGGTGATTCTTGGATTGATTCTTCGAGTTGTGCGAATTTACTTTTGCTCAGTTGAATTGAGAGAGGCGCAGGTTGCGCAGCGGGCTGGTGTAGCGAGGATGCCTGTCTGGCGGCAGTACCCAGGTAGAACTTGGAACACTTTTACCAAAGATTTAAGGCTGTTGACTGGGGAAGTTGGACGGCAGATCTGCTGTGCAATTTAAAGGGACCCTTTCAAGGAAACAGCGCCATTTCCTTTGTTTGGGGAGTCGCACCTAGATAGGCCTGTGAAGGATCGAACGATCAAATCCAACAGTGAACAGCGTCCACGGTAAGCGAAACTAGGTCCACACTGGTGGTAGCCCGGGAAAGGTTCTCCAAAACTTTCGCGTGCAGCTAGATGGACCTGTACGCAAGATTTCACTCAACACTTGTATTCGTTGATCACAGTTTTGTACCGAAGTTAGTTTCTCTCTATATCATATAGTTTTCCTAGGTTTCACCGCTCAATTCTTACGCCTGTCCATCCGTATACGATACATCTTCTCGGAAAAATTGATTGCGTCGACGCTTGTAATGTGCTCAAGAAGCACACGTAATGTTTCTGATCTTGATTTACAACCTAGGACCTTCGCGCATCGATCAACGAATTCTTCGAACAGTGTGCCCATCTGAAAGCTGTACGGAAACCGAATCAGAACGTCATCAGATACATAGTACGTTGTTAAACCTTCAATAACGGCAAGTACAGCCTCTGGCCCGTACAAATGCAAATTTCCGTAAAGCATGAAAGCAGCCGAAGAGACGTCGTCTAGCAATGCAGCGGCTCGTAAGAAAGAAGGATATGTGGACCCTTTGAGTCTGCGCTCCAGGTATAGCTCTTGCTCACCCCAGTGCCGTCGCTCGTGACCTAGGGACTTGAAAATATCCTCAGATATGTTTTTTGACCATGGATACCCACGCAGGGCTGCCACATACGTCATGTATGCTGTAGACCCTTCCACAGGCGCAGTAGCATCATCATTATGCTTGAGGGTCAGATACAGCTGATGATCGTGTATAACTTGCATGTGAAGGCTGGTTCCCCCCTCATGTAAAGAGGGGAACAGTAATGGCCTCTTTCCATCGAACCGCAAGAGATTCAGTGACGTCATTACCTGCGGGTGTAAGAGGAGCACCTGGTCAAAGAGCCTCTCCCATTCTTTGTCGTAGCTGAGAGCATCCTCGATAGATCGTTCGCAATGATGTGCGAGAAACTCGAAAAAGTATATCGCAAGATATGCAACAAAGCGGTCGGAACTGTCGGGTGAAGACAAGACAATACTAAACAGTTTCAACACCCGACAATGACTCTTCCGGTTGAGAACCGATAAATCCCCTCCTTCGTTGATTTTTTGAGAAACGAATGCTCTCGCAGAGTCGTGAGCGAAGTTTATCTTGTCCTTGTGATCGAAGGTCAGGAAGTCGGCGCCTAGGTCGCGCACGTCTTGTTGAGAAAGGCTCGCATTGTCTGGGCCTTCTTCGTATAACTTCAGTCTCAGGATCCTGGTGAGACGTGCGACCGACAGTCTCTCTGCCCAGCAAAGAACGAAGCGAAAGAGGTTCAGCCTAGTCTTTTGATAGGAATCATACTCGCTCAAAGTCCAGAGGCGTTGGTATGCAGTCTGAAGTTGTTCAGCTTGTTCTTGGCTTCCCGAGCCTCTCAATTGGTCAAGAAGCTTTTCAGCATGCTCTTCGGTCAACACGAGCTTTTGTGGATGATTTCTAGGGAACAGAATCTGAAGCCAGATCTTGACCCACACGAACCTGGATCTGTTAGCGGAGGAAATTGAGTCATTTGTATGAGTTGTCCACTTACATTCCTCTGGCTCCGGTCAACAATAGGTTTCTCATGTCCTTGCGACGTTGTTCCTGCCCAGGTCGAACTATGTTCATGTCAGTTTGAACTCGAAGCACCACAATAGTCACGATAAGGACACTTACAGAATATCGAGACGCGCCGGGTCTTTGCCAAGTTATCTTGATTCCTGCCATTTACTGGCATTGCGCCAGAGTCTGCAGCTCCATAGTTGATTTCGGTGTCAACGAAAGCTTCGAGGTCTTTCATTGTGTCTTCTGGTGTCACTTTGAACTCCACAAGATCTGGTGGAGCAAATCGGTTGTCTACCAGCACGTGTTGGTGGGATGAGAAAACGAGAAATACGTTCCCATGTTTTTCGATGATGGACTTCATGTAGTCAAGGAAGAGGTCACTGCCTTCCGTTTCGTCCAATGCATCGAGACCATCCACAAGGATTGCTATCCTAGTCAACTTATCACAATCACCTATAAGCCTAGCAAAAAGAGCTTGCCATTCTTCGATAGGTACGGGCATCTCAGGTCCCGTAGTTTTCTTGTCATGGAAATCGTACGCAGATGGAGCCAAAGTACTGTCTAGTCGCCAGGACAATTTCCAGGTAAGTGACCGTATGATTGTCTCGAGACCAGACCGTAAGGCACCCTGGGCAGAGCAGAAATAAGGGATGACGCGCACAGGCTCGTTTGGGCCCTGTGTACTCTCGAACGCTTGCAGGCTTAGCAATATCCGATGCCTATATGGGTATCAGCAGCTTATTCTTGCACCTGGACGCCACTCACATGATAGTGGTCTTCCCCATGCCATAAAAGCCACTTATCCAGAGTATTCGTGGCGAATGCGGTACTTCGGGTTGCAAATCATTGTCATCACGACAACAAAAAGCACCAAACCAAGCCTCGTATTCATTCGAGTCCAGAAACCACTGCGCGTAATTCTTGGATCGACCGTCCGACGTTATTTCCCGTTCGATGTTGCTTGGCGTAGCCTCTGGATCAGTACTGCTTCTCATCCATCTGAGTGCAGCGGCGACTTTCGATTCCGCGGCCTCTCTCTCGTTGATACGCTTTCTCGCTCCACTTAGATTCTCTCCCCGTTGCTTGAGGTCTTTGACTTGCTCAGCCCACGCATCGGGATCATTCTTCATCAGGGCAACGGCTATATCGTGAACGTGAGCAAGGTGAACCTATCATGTGCGCTGTTAAAATAATTGCTCACCCTTTTGTTTCATCTGACTCCACTTCGATTTGTCCGATAACTTGTCTAACGCGAGTTGAACGCTACACATAAGCCGCAAAGCCATGATGTAGATATCAGGGAGCTGATTCTTCAGCTCCTGTTCCTCAGGCCCCATGGCAGACATCGCTTCGAAGGATAACCCGTTATTGATAGCATTGCCAACTGCAAAGTATGCGTCCAGAGCTTTGGATCTGTACTCCGCGTTCGGTCCGTTGGTCGCAATCTGACAGTATTAGCTAGAACAATACTGGCAAGCAATATGAGTGGTGTACCTCAGCAATAGCGAAGAAGCCGGCACAGATAATGGGCGCGATTTTATATGGATCTAGGGCTGCGATTGGCATGACAACGCTCCTGACACTGGCCATGGTAGGCAACCATCGTTTGGCTCGGCGAACGATGTCATTGGATTTAGGGTCTTGCTGGATATATTCGGGAAGAGTCCGATCGATGGCTGTGCTGTGAAGCCCTTGCGTTTCTCGAAGCACAAGATCTATGTAGTCGTATTCATGCTCATGCTTGTCCTTGAGGGTCTTGAGTGCTTCATGCCACTTCTCTGCGTTCCTTATTGTAAGCCTGCTCTCCAGATTGACCGCCTGTTTTGAATCCTTTGATGCAGCTTGAGTGAGCTCAGATGCACTCTCTGCGTCGGTGGAACGAGGAACCCGTTGTGCCGGGGATTGGGCGACATTTGTGAAGGGTACAGAGGCCGGTTGTTGTCGCGTGTGGTCGCCTACGACTGTATCGCCCTCGCCCAAAGTAGGCGAGTGTACATGACGAGAAGCATCCTCAATGTTGTGAGCTCCGTCCACAGGGGCAGGTTCGTCATTTGGAGCACCGTGGCCGATAGCGGACATAGGGGGAGGCACCACGGACGTGTCGGTTGCCGTCGGGGCTGATGTCGAAGAACCCACTGGATTTGAGGTAGCCCGCAGTTGACTAGGGCGCGCTGGGAGGGGAGTTTTCGTAGCCGTGTCGCGACGTGGTTGGGCTTCGCGATGGTGAAAAATCTTACTGGCCGCCCGCTTACACCTTTCCCACCTCCCACGAGTGGCAGAAGGATCGGTCATACTTTCGTGCCCAGACGAGCTCACTCGGAGTGCGCTGCGGGCTAAAAAAAAAATGTGTGAAGTATGAGGAAGGAGCATAGAAACAACGAGGGGTCATAACGCAAGGCAATCATCAATCCTGCACGACAGCCAATACCTCAGCCTTGCCGCGCCACAAAGCCTTCGATGTAATGCCTAGCCTGCTGTGCACCGGTGAGCGATTCCGGAAGTGCTTGTCGCGTGCCGAGCCGTCGTAGGATGTCATTTGCGGTAGTTTGACGCGAATATGCATGTAGCAGGGTATGGCTGAGCTGAAGGAGAAGGGCAAATAGGACGGAGGTGTACCGCAAGGCGAGGAAGACTCAACCCGCACGGTGACGTCATACCACTCATGCCAGCACTCGGCTTGCTCATAATCCATTAACTCATATCGTTCTGGAAATTCTTTATCAAGGTATAAGTATAGGCATATTATGGAAACACACCTTCATTGAGATTGCTGTATAGAGTTACTTAGCCGCGTACTATTGCCTTGCTCTATATCAACATTCCACCGTGATAAGTATACATTGTGTTAGGAAGTATGTACCTTTGAAGCTTCAGCAACGTGTATGCAGTAACATGCTACACGAAATCTTGGGAGGGATTCTTGTGGGTGTAGATACAGACTACGAGGGTTCTTAAAGACTCGAAGGTTGTCAGCTCAATCGCAATGTATCTACCCCGCTTCTTCGTAACTAATGTCACTAGTCATTGTGCTGAATTTGTAGATTGCTAATTATTATAATACGTAACTGTTTCTATACTTACAGATATTTGTCGACTTCTATCCACTTTCTTAATAGAGTTCTTAGTACCTTCTATAGCTGTGCCTCGCTTGGACGACTGACACACTCAACCGTGAACAGATATCTCACCCGTTCTCTAACCGTGCTAGCAGATAAGCTGCGCGCCATCGCTAGTATCGCAAGAATGCTAAACAATAGCGGCGAACTTAGAACGTACTTAGGCAGGCTCTAGACCGCGTCCCTACTAGCCACGCTCGACTAGATTCAAGCGACAGGTTTCCTCTCTTCGCCCCCTGTATACACAGCATCTAGCTGGGGTTAGGCTGGTGTAAAAAGCGGAGTATCTTATCATTTCCCAACAGCCAAGCCGGATACTCTGCTCCAGCCCGCCTACATCGACATTTATAACAATAAGGCTAGAAAATTCTATTTAAGCCCGACACAACCTTCCGTTCTGTGTTTGAACACCTTGTTCTCCATCTCGGACTACCCATCTCTCACTTCCAACAGCAGTTGTTGCGTAAAAGAGATCAGATGGGTCCCACTTCTGCTTAATCTCGCTCAATCTCGGGTAATACCCACCGTAGAACGAGTCTTGCCAGTCCGGCTCCCCAACGGTGGCTTCATTCAGATAAACACCGCCGCCTTCGGAAACAGGCGTTATATCGCGCCAGGGCTGAAGAATATTCTCTTGGAGGTCTTTGTTCACAAGAGCGAGAGCTTCTGGTGTAGAGTGATCCATTTTCTTGTTCGAAGAAGTGATCAAGAATAAAGCACATTCGCGCCACGCTGGGTTGGCAGCATTGTTGGTGTTTGCGTACTCCTTGGGCGTCTTGTGGTAGCCAAGAAGATGTTTGCCAGAAGAAACATGTTGCTTGATAAGGGCAAAGGTTTGGTTGTACTTCTCTTGGAAGTTACGCCGAGGAACGATGCGATTTGCTGCCATGGTGTTGTCCAAGCCAATCGGGAATGAGTTAGCACCCCAAGTTGCCTGATAGGCAGAGTAGAAGGTATTATGAGCCAGTCGCTTATGAGGGGTCGTAAGCGTGATATTGTTCTCTTCAAGGTAGTTGAAGAAAGGTTTGACGGTCTTATCATACGTTTCCGCTGTATGATTTGCTGCAAAAAGGAACCGCATAGTGAGGAACGGCTTGGGCTCATTTCCCATGATAAAGAAGCTGTACATGCCTGACTCTGCCCAGTCGAGGAAGACGTCAAAGAACTTCTTGGTGCCCTTCCAGAAGTCTTCAAGGCTGTTGTTTGAAGCGTCGATTTGCCAGCCAGCAGTAACGACGTTAATCTTGGGATGTGCCCGGATAATAACTGACACTACGACGCCAAAGGTGCCGCCACCACCACCACGGAGTGCCCAGAATAAGTCAGGGTTCGAAGTCTCCGATACTGTGATGAAACGGCCGGCGGCGGTCACAATCTGGAAGGCGACAACATGATCGGCTGACATGCCGTAAACACTAGCAAGAGGATTTTGGCCTCCGCCCGTGATCATACCACCAGCATATCCGACGCTCTAGTGAATGTGAGTTGTTTGTGATAGAACGATAGACCAAGGAACACTCACCCAGGATATGGCACCAAGAACAGTGACACCATGCTTGTCCGCAGCTTCGTATACCTGCCTGACTCTAACTCCAGCGCCAAGCTTCAACGCCGGTCCAGTATAGCCTGGCCCCTCGTAGTTAGGGAAAAAGTCGATTTGCTCCATGTTATGCATCCATAAGCTCAGCGCTCCGGCACCGGTAGACTTTCCTAGGTAGCAATGACCGGTGTTTTTGATAACTAGGCGAAGATTGGTCGCCCTTGCGAAGTTGATGGCAAGCTGGATCTGCGCTACGTTGGTGACTTTGACTGCATACTCAGGATATCCACCAAGACTACATGACTTGCCGTCAGTGTTGTTCTTTGGCATACATGTCCTACCCTGAAATATAGGCCACATGTCTAGAAAAACGATATCAGCAAACGGTTTAAATACGCTTATAGAAGTCATTCCATACTTGACGTCGGATCCGCCTCATGGAACAGCGGGTTTGTGAAGTTGTTGGCGATATCCGTGCATTTTGCACTGTCTTTCTTGCCCCATTGCGTATCGTAGCATGGAGCAGCGATGGGTTTGGTCGGAATCAGCGCTCCACCTAGAAGCGCGTTGAAGACGTCCCAGACGAATTCCTGTGGCCACTCCGAGTCACCAGGAAACGTCTTGCAAGATGCTGAGGCTGCACGTCGTACACGCACATCACTCGCAGCGGTGCTGTCGTCAAATGCGAAGTACTCGACATACTCCGAAACCCCCTCCTCGGTTGTGAGACGTTCGATGACTGCGTCAGTCAATTGTAGTCTTTCAGCTTCCTGAAGTGGTGCCCCTGCTGGGGAAGCGGCTGGGACAAAGGCAGCTGCAGGCTCAACATCAGGAAGAGAAGAGGATTGGCCAAGGATAGCCGCCGGGGCAATGAGCAGGAGAAAGCACGTGGCTACCCGATGCATAGACGCCATCGTGAAAGCTACGGGGTGGATACGAGGTGGATGTAAGAAGAGAGCAACGCAGGATGCCTTCTTATTTTATCTTGTTTCTTTAGCCGTTCGATAAACCGTCTTGCAACATTTCTCGCGCGCTCCATTTACATGATTCATGTCTGAGCGCTCTAGATGTTGCCACAGACTGCGCGACGAGCCAGTGAGTGTCCACCGGGGATATAGCAGCGAAGGGATGCAGATCGGATACGCAGGGACTGCATACAGAAGTCGGGCCAAGTCGATGGGCCTGTAAATAGGACGTGGCACTGGTCTGAAACGAGTAGATGTGGCTCTGCCTATGCTGAAAATGGCAGAGGCATGGAATGACCTCGCGGCAGTTACAAGCTACACCAGCAACGAGTAGCAGGCAGCATAACAACTGCAAGCCGCTGCAAAATGCCGACTGTGCTACTTGTGCAAGATGTGCATGCAGGTCTGCGGGCAAACCCATCCGTTTGAAAGCAGCATAGGTGGCTTAGCGTAGGAGGTATAGATGCGTCTCTGGCGTGTTCACATGCAAGACGGCGGCGCAGTGCTTATTGCACAAATTTCTGTCGCTACGCAGATCCTGCCGGATAATTTCAAATATCTCCATGGCAATGTAAATCTCGACATTACTATCAAAGCTAGTTAGCAATCAGCGGTACGCGTGATAGAAGGGTATGTGTAGAGTAACACAAAAATGAGATGGACTACATATGGAGTCGCGGGTGGCCGCCATCGACATGGGCGGCGGGTGCTGCGGGTGGCGGGCGCAAGAGCCTAGCGGCAGGGTCGGCAAGGTTGGCACGGTCACCTGGGCAACCTGTCGCACCTGCTCTTAACAGCCGCCCTTACTTCTCAACCGACGCTGCCAAGCGCTTGGCAAAAGACCCTCGACTGCACACCCCGCTCGTCCACAGATTTATCATATCCCGAAATCCTACCATGTTGGTCTATTGGCGGAAACAACGTTGTGTATGACTACCAAGCAGGTGGCTCAATGAAGCACTCTTTAGCAACTTTCTTACCGAGATTCGCCACAGAGGTCCGGCATCACCAGCGTATTCATATATGCAACATCCAGTCATTCAAGGAGGAAGAGAGATACCGGATGATAAGAAGTGGAGTGCTCAATATCTGCACTTGCGGTATGAAAGTTCAGATGAGCAATTTGACCTGCTGATCGCGTTGTTGATACGCATGGAGATCATCCTTCTAAGTACAAGGGTTGAAGGGACGGACTCTTTGGCCGTCCGCGGCTCGGGGAATTCGGAAGACCACCTTCGCAGGCGAGTTGCTCGAATCAGGGACGCCACACAGGCTCAATGCGATAACTGCTGATGCATGCGGTCTTCGAAGGATTGCGGCGTCGTGAACTCGACCACAGGTGTGAAGCCCAAGAGTGTGATTTGCGCCGAATTCAAATTCATGTGAAAAGTAATGTAATCTGTATCTTACGTTGACGGAATGAAAATGCCTCCTGTTATACTTTCCATGATCTCTTTTTGATGACCATAACACCATGGCGGGAACTGGGCTTCAACCATTGAACATCTTCCTTATAGTTCTCCCTTTTCTAGTGTCTGCCACTATCGTGGCCATTAGAACATGGAAGAAAATCAAGGAGCGCCAATTAGCTATCGGTATGGTACAATCCCGCACGAGTCTAGCGAAGTGAAGGCTGACCAACTTACTTTAGAGGACATACTTCTTATTGTTGCTGAGTGTTTCTTGCTAGTACTGACTGGAGCATTGTGGAAATGCAGGTGCTGATCCGGATCACTGATTTCTTTGACTGACATTTCGTAGTGGTTGTAGTCTCTTATGCTGGCTACCATGCAGAGGACATCCCCAAAGGGGCTATCAATCACGAACAAGTGCGCATCGTAAGTGTAATAATCCCAAACACTGGGGTAGCTACTTGATCTGCTAACAGTCACATTACCAGTGGCGCTACATTAACAGCGCGACATACAACCAAATCCTTGGTCTCGTCAAAATCTCGTTCCTGATCACGTTGCTAAAGCTACGCTCAACGAACCGGCTCATTATCGCGAGCATATGGACTCTGATTGCCGTGAATATAGCCTTCGTTTTCGCCGCCTTTCTTGCACACATCTTTCGATGCCAGCCCATCCACAAGTACTGGCAGACGGAAGTTCCTGGTCATTGCCATAACAACGCACAATACATCTTCGGTGTGATCGCCGTCACCATTGTCACAGATGTTCTTGTGGCATTGATTCCAGCATGGATACTCTACGATATCCGTATGCCTTCGAAGGTCAAATTAGAAGTCATTGTGTTTCTCTCCCTCCCACTTGCAGTTACGGCAATCGGCTGCTATCGACTACATCGCTTCGTCCTCGTCTTCAGCTTGCCTAAAGACGCCTCCGAGGACCCTTACAATGTGAGGAACGCACTTACGAGCCTTGAGGGTAATCTCGGTGTGATCGCTGCTTGCGGGCCGACTATCAAATGGATCTTGGTGAGCTACAACAAGTACCCCTGCACGTGATTATGGCTAATTTCTCAAATCAAAGGGTCGCTTTATACCCTATTTTGATACAGAGCGTTCCGAGGGAGCTTATGTACCAGAAACGCCGAGATTGTCATCGCTCCCACAACTACGTTCGCACGGCTATGTCGGAAGTCAAGATGGCATAGAGCTACAACCCCATGGCATCGACGGCACATATCCACGTAATGTCCAGAACCCATGTTGGAAAGCCGATAGCGATGCGGATAGTGAAAAGCAGTGCATTTCGGACCCAGCAGACAAAGATGGCAAAGACATCATGAGGACTACAGTGGTAGAGTGGGAAACTTCGCCGTCGCGCTAAGTTAAACATCTTCTTCCTACTCGTACATGATCAAGCGAGTGGCTTAGAAGAGTAGTGGCGTGTTCTTCAGCATGGGAGGCTATGTGTCATTGTACATGAATGCTGAGTTTGATATCGATTAGAAAACCCTGACCTTCGCCACGACGCGGACTCCTAAGACACCTTGCTCCTTCCAATCTCTTTTGAAATGTTTCAAGTCTCCACACCTATCACAATGATACCTGAAATTTGTACTGCCGCTATCCTTCGCAACAAAGGAGCTATTCTTCTTATATGACCACTTCCTCTCCTATGCAATTTGTTCCACTCCATAGCATCAACAAGGCGCAGTAAGATCCACAATGAAGATCTAAAATGATATTGAATGAGCGTTCTTCTTACGGTCCCCGTAGCGTGCACCGCTCCGTCCACGGATCGGCTAACCTACCGATGAAACGATGTCAAGCTCAGCCTTCCGGCCCAGGAACACCAACAACCAGTACGCTTCAGACCCTCTTTCTTCAGAATAAAAGCGATTGAGAGGTTGGAGTAAGGGCTTTCCGAATCCATAGAACTTCATCGCGGTCACACGGCCGAGTGCCTGTTCATCCATCGCATGGCCCGCTACCGCCCACCCATTCGAGACGCCCGAAAGCCACCGACCAAATCGGATGGGGAGCAGAGTAGGCCATGTGCTCACCGCGGAACTGAAAAGGCTGGGCGTGAACAATAATGACGCCGCATCGACCATCGACGGCCTAGCTATCGTCTTATCACAAATGTGATGCGTGCAGAGCAGGAAACCATAGTGCATGATAACAGATATTTGTAGGTATATACCAGAGTCTTCGCCTAGTATCAACTCCAGAACCCGATACATAGCCAAATAGCAACCACATCTTCTTGCCTCATCGTCTAGCACTTAAACACCGCCGGTCCAGGGCTCGTATACGTCTTACTCCCCGTGTAAAGGTTGTACAAAATCCCCGCATCATTCTGCTTATACGCACCCGGGAAAGAAACCGTCGCCGGTGTCTTACTCGCCTCACCCCCCGTAACATTAATCTGCGCACACTCCATATAAAACTGCGCGCCCATACTGCTACTCGCTGAGTGCAACGCAATCAACTCTCCCCTCAAAAGATACTGCCCAGGCGCAATACACTTCGGAATCGTAATCGTCTGAACACCTTTATTGGCGATCAAGCGATCAACACCCCATTTGGAGCCGTCAAACGCGTCTTCGGCGATCTTGAACCACCCGCCGCCGACGCCGGAGTCGGTTTTCGCGTCGCTGACTTTCTTCATGTAGGCCATTACGGGGCCTTTGTGGGAGGAGTCGATTACGTCGCTGGGCCCGGAGGTGAGGGTGTGGCGCCAGGTTAGGGTGGCGGTGGAGCCGGCTTGGAGGGTTATGACGGTCGAGGTTTTGGCGGTGGGGTTGGGGCCGCCGTTGCAGACTATGTCGTTTGTGGAGACGTCATTGATGGGCTGGGGGGAAGTTAGATGGGGGAAGGGGTAGATTGGGAGTATGGGGAGCGTACGCCGTCGTAGGAGGGGACGCGGACACCATCTCCTACTGCGCCGCCGTTGACGCTGACGAAGATTGTGTGGGCGGATGCTGAGCTGGCTGCTGCAGCAAGGATGAGTGGGGCGGAGAACTTCATGGTGATGGTTGATGATGCTCCGAGTGGATGTGCTTGATGTTTCAACGTTGCTGTAGTCGGGGTACTTATAAACAATGTCTTCGCCCTGACGTTCAAGATCTGAACCCAGACCCAAGGTTTACATATATTGCATGCTTGGTGATATCGCATCCACATTCCCAGATGCGAACAAGCCTACATCCTGCACCCCAGATGAGCGGAGCATTGCCTTCGCGTCCACCAACCGCATCGCGAGCCGCCGCGGCAAAGGCCTGAAACCGCAACGCTATACCAGCCAAAACCCGGATGAGAAAGGCCGTGTCGCTGGAGTTGCCACGCGATTATATTAAGCAATGTAGAGCGTGTGTCGAATGTTCTTAGAAGTCCTAAGCGAGGTTGTCTTTAGCCAATGGCTTAGCCGTGCGTAGATTGAAGGCGCCAAGCCCCCCGAGGATAGAGTGCCGCCCCATATAAAGAGGCTTGCTCGTGACCTGGTTGACTGGTCGGCGCTAGTGGAAAAGTGCCGACCGGATCGCGATGTGTGGTGATTGTCGGGGAGATGGACCGCCTAGGATGCGCTCAAGCAAGCGTGATCTCTTGAAGCACAATGTCTTCCTTGGCCATCTCTTCGCCCTTCATAATGCCATGGACGTAAGCTTCACCAAGCAGCTCAAATTTCTCGGCAACTCGTTCGACTTGCTGCTTTCTGATCACGAAAGGCACACATGCCCTATCGAAGACAGCGAGCTCATCACCGACTTGCGCACCCCTCGGCACCAATGCAAAGTAGCCCTTCTCGGTTACAGCAAAACGGCGCATCTTCAACGCGGCCCGGTACGCCGTTTGCAAGTCTGCCAGGGTCTTTGCCGGCTTCCTGGTCTTGAGACTGTCGAGGTTGAAGTGACCCTTCTGTCGCCGCTGGCTCATAGTCTGACCAGGTAGGCAAAGGGACCTACCTGTCGTGGCATCGAGGATGAGCCCAAATACCTCGCTGTGATCCGCATCAGGTGGTGCCACGCCAGAGCCATCGCGTCCTGCCAGTAGCGTGTGTAGAAAAGCGTCATAGGTTGAACTACCTTGTAAAAGGTATGTGTGTGTTCGACCAGCGCCCATGACAAGCTCAGCGTAGGATGCTAGATCACGATTGACCCGTTGCGGATCGTCGATGTCCAGAAATGGTTCTTCGCTAACACTGCCTAGGATAGCGATGGTGTCGAATGCTTTGCCGCTCAGTGTGATCTCTTGCTTATCCTCGCTCACAACAGCCTTGGGTGGCTGCGCGCCTGTGACGGGCCTGCCACCCGCGCAGTATACAGCCCAAGATCTTGTCGAATAGCCAAGTACGTCCGTTACGCGTGGGGTGCTCCAGTCTGGGACCCACGACGGTTGAAGCGGGTGTTCATGATCGACGCAGCTCAGCAATTCGTACACGCGATCAGGTATTTCCGTTAAACAGGCTTCGTGATAGACTGCTCTCGCAGAAACTTCGGGATTGTAGTCGGGTACGATATTGGCATCTGCTATACCCAGTACACCATAGATCTTGTCCTTGGGGTTTGTCGCTTGCGCATAACGTGTAGAGACCAGAATGGTTAGCAATGCTTCTTTCGTGACGATTGTCAGGCCATGTACGCGCTCTGCCTGAACAGAGTTCACCACATCAGCACCATGCGGCGGCAATGCTTTGACATCTGCTTTCGTGTTGTACTTCTCATCCAGCTCAGCGTTACCAGTCAGCCAGCTGAGCACATGCGTTTCTGCCAGATCATGACACCACGCAGCAAAGTCGTCCCAGCACACCTCAACCTTGCCGCATTTCACGAATAGGTGTCTCGAAAGCACAGCTTCCTGGATGGTCCACAATCTGCCGAACCAGGGGCGGCGCAGGACTTGACGAACAGCCCACCACGCTCGATCAAGGCTAGGTGGAAAATCCAGCCTCTCAAAGTCCGCTGGCGTCACTTGCGCATCCGTCCCTTGTAACCGCACAAAAATAGTCTCCATCAGATCGAACGCAAGAGCCGAGTCCTCTTCACCGTCATCACCGAGCCATATGAGAGTGTTTGTAGCATGTGTGTAGACCAAGCCCATCAACGGGATCTGCTGCACCTTCTCCGCAATGTCGGGCTGATTGATGCAGATTTGATCTGTCCACAAGACAACGCTATGCTCGGTCGATCTCAAGTGGTCCAAAGCTCCCGCCAGACTTGCGGAGATGTTCAACTGGCCATGTTCGAAAGATATGGTATCTTCGAAGATGGGTGGGCCCCAGACATAGCTGAGTGCAGTGTACCAGACCGGCTTGCCTGTAGTGAGTGAAACAGCATGATTGGTGTGTCGAGTGTAAGTCAAAGTTCTTCTACTGGTGTTTGCTGGGTTGTCGAAGGGCTGTGTATATTGCTCCTCTCGTGCAGGGTGCGAAAAGTCGATGCTGACGATATGTAAAGTGCCTCGCAGCGGACTTCCAGGCTCTCCAGGATGCAGCTCCAAGACGCGGATTTCGCCTTCTCCAAGGGGCTCGTAGAGCTGTGATGGTGGCTCATGCGGTGGGTCGCCACGCTGGCTCCACTTCTGCACCACGAAATCATGGATGTGAGTTTGAGCAATCTCATCGAGCTGCCCATCTACGCCGCCTGGCCCTTCAAGGCTAGCAGCCTGGAAGATGGATGTTTTGGAAAGCGCAGAGAAGAAACAGTTGCAATCATCTGACACGTAGCAAGTCAGTAAGCGATATCGGCGGTATGAGCTGGGGTGGAAGCACTGCACCTTGCGCGTTGGTCGCGCATGGACACGTCGAGGCATGCTCGATATGCTGGTACGATTTCTGAGGATTAGCCATGGTGGTGTGGTGTTGCTGGCGTGAGAAAGGGAGTGAGGTGGCAGTTTCAGCAGGTACGACATTTGGGACTAGGCCCGACTGGGAGTGGGGGCAATTGCGACAGAGGGAGGTGGTGACAACAAGTGTGTGACAATCAGTAATTCCTGTGTATTACTGTGTTGGCGTCAATGGAGTGCTATCGAGGCATGTAATGGCTGCTTCGCGTACCTTTGTAGCGCTACCAATGAAGTCGAAGTTTCTACCTTGCTTCAACTATGCGTCCGCTGCATGCTCACGACGAGCTGCTTCCCAGGATGAGGACAGTCAGCATTCAGCTGAACAACCAGTCACCCGTGTCGCCATCTCAGTCCAGTCCCAGGAACTGTGTGATACCATGGCCCTTGGCTTGTCCGCCCTTGCCCTTCTTTCTCCTCTTGCGCTTCTGCTTAGGCTCATCGTCCTCACTGCTGTCGTCCATGTCCTTATCGCTATCGTCGCTGTCCTCGCTCTCGTGATCTCGCTTGCCGTTTGTAGTTTCCTCATCGTCTTCATCCACATCCTGCCAGGTCTGCTCGCCCCAGACTTTGACGGTCTTTCCACCACTGCTGATCATGCGACCGGTGACGTCGAAACCCAGACCAATAACACTCTCCTTGGCCAGCTCGTCGTGCTTGAGCTCTGCGACAACCTTATTTGGGCCGAGCTTGGCAAAGCGAATGTCTCCATTGCCCAGGCCTACGGCGATGTGCTTTCCGCTAGGTCCAACGCCGTCTGGTACGACAGTGAGGGAGTCGAGGCTCTCGCCGCCTCCCTTAGAGCGGTCGACGATGATGCGCTCATCTTGGTCATCCCAGACTCCGCGCTCCCAGAGTGTGAGGACACCGTCGCCTGCGCCAACGATGACCTTCTCGCCTACGCTTGAGCCCTTCTTTGGTAGACCAGTCACGATGCACGAACTGAGCAGCTCTTCTTCCTGATCCTCACTTCGGACCATGACGCCTCTCCGCAGATCAGTGACGGCCAGTGTGCTTCCTCCCGTTGTGACCCATTGCTTGGCCCAGCCGCTGGTACTCGCTTGCGTGGGCGGTAGAGGTGTGAGGGAGGAGACGTAGTCGTCGTGGGGACGGTGTGTGTTTTCGGGCTTTAGAGAGACCTTTTCGCCGCCCTTGAGGTTCCTGATGTCGTAGATGTGCAGAGAGCCCGAGTCGGTGGTGAGGATGAGGGATTGCGGTGAGAGACCGTAGACGAGGGTAGGCGCATCGATGCCGCCATTCGCACTGTTGGTGTCAGTATCGCTCATGTGACGTCAATGTCTCTTATGCTCACGGATCTAACGGTACACAAATCTTTGCAGTGACCTGGCCAGTCATGCAGTCTGCGACCTTGACCATGCCATCTGTGCCTGCCGAGTACAATGACGTGCCATCGACGCTGTATCCGAGTGTCCGACAGCTGCCCTTGTGTCGCCGTGTCTGCCAGAGCTTGTCTATGGTGCCAAAGCCCTTTTCGGAAGCTATCGTCTCGTCATTGTCGTCGTCGTCGCTTGCGCCCGAGGGCAGTCTGTAGGTCTGCACATGGCCGCTAGCCAAGCCAACCGATATGATAGGCTCCTCTGGGTGGATCGCCTGCACAAAGATATCGTGCTCCACCGGGAGCGCGCACAAGTTCTCGAACATCTTGGGTCTAAAGATGATGCGGGAGTTGGTTGAATGCATTTCGCGACAGCTACAACTGGAATTTTTGTGGAGCCGCGGCTCAGCTCTTGCAGGGCAGGTGCAGCCGACGGCCTTGGCAGGTACACACGCACATGGCGGGCTTTCACCTTCCTGCGAGATTACAACACACCTGCACTCGCGCGCAATTCAATCACATTGGCCTCACTCCAATTTCTCCCTCCAACATGATCACAATGCTTCTCGTATTCACCCAGAGCTGGTTTCAAAGAACATGGGTAAACTCACGACCAGGTCATTGAACACCATCAGGTTGTTTATCCTGATTCCTGGAGAGTCTTGCATTCGGAAAGGTCCTTCACTCATTTCTTCCATCCGATCCAAAAGTAGTTGGACGGCTCCGTAAACCGGGTCTACGGACCACAAGTGCGTCCCTCGTAGCATCGTGAACTTCTTGAACGAACATTCCCTTCCAATCACGGCCATGCCATACAACACGCTTCTTCTCCGCCTGGTCTTTGATCTTCATTGCCCCATCGCAGCTAGTCCTTGGCCAACGACGCGACAGGAAGGTCAACGTTCTTCGCCATGCGTTAAGCCTCGTCCGGCAATGCAGCCGAATCACGTTCATCAATGATTGGCTGTGAACATCATCACCATCTGCAACCATGTCCGCCGCTGTACAATCGGAGCAAAGACGTCCGACATCATGTACGTCTTAAAGAGAAGCCGGGAACCGTCGTTCATCCGAACAGTAGGCGTTGGATCTACCTGCAGTAATTGTATTCCTAATCCTCCATCATGCTCGCTTCATCGCTTCTCTACGGTCTTCTGACCGCCGCATCCTCAGTCAGCGCATACCACCACGCAAAGTCCATCAACTACACCGTCGTAACCGGCATCTTCCAACAAGACGAGCCCTCCACCGACCCCTCGACCTTCAACTTCCTAACCAGCAACTTCGGTCTAATCAACCGAACCTACCCCAGCGATTCTTCCTGCCCAGACCGCAAGCACTCAACCCAATGGCAGCGTCTCGCCCACTACATCTCTACCCTAGACAAGAAGGCACCACGCAATGAGCGCTACACCCTCTTCTTCATGGGCCGCCACGGCGAAGGCTTCCACAACGCCGCAGAATCCTACTTCGGCACCCCGGCCTGGAATTGCTATTGGTCTGAACTCGACGGCAACGGCACCGTTACCTGGGCAGATGCACAGCTCACTATTGACGGCATCGAGCAAGCGAAAGTAGTGAACAAGTTCTGGAGCCACCTCATTAAAGACGAGAAGATTACTCCACCCGAGACTTTCTACACCAGCCCCCTGTATCGCTGTCTCGATACCGCGAAGATCACTTTCGAAGGCGTTAAGCTGCCGAAAAAGAACCCCTTTGTGCCTGTGGTGAAGGAGTTCCTGCGTGAGGGTATTAGCGCGCATACATGCGATCGCCGCCACAGCAAGTCGTTCATCAAGAAGAACTTCCCTGGCTTTAAGTTCGAAAAGGGTTTCGCAGAGAAAGACCCATACTGGACTGAGCTCTTCGCTGAACCGCGCGCAAACCAAGATGCTCGCTCAAAAGCTGTGCTCGATGATATTCTCAGCAATGATGATAGTACTTATATCTCCATCTCCTCGCACTCGGGTGAGATTGGAAGTTTGCTTCGTGGTATGTCACCGTCTCTTCAATGTCGTTCCGACATCTTTGTACTAACGAAACCCCAGTTCTTGGCCATCGCGAGTTCCGTCTTTCGACTGGCGCTGCTATCCCCGTTTTGGTCAAGGCATCTACGCTCAATGCTCCTGCGCCTGCTACTACGACGCTGCCGTATACACCGCAGAAGACGTGCGCGGCGCCGCCTGCTATCCGCGACTCGAGCTGCAATGACTGCTCGTGCTGCACTTGAGTGCATAGTTTAGTTCCGGACGTAGACCCAAATAGCTATTAATTCCGACGTGTAGTCCACGATCTCAGCCACCAAACTCCAAGCTCTTGCACCGTGTTCCAGAACGTCCTCTTTCCCAACGTTAAGCCAGATCATCTCGTTTACCTGCCGTGTCCTCGTCTGTCGTCTTGGCTTCCATGTCCCTATGAGTAATCACCCTCATTCGTGGAAACACGGAGAGAGTTACGTTGTGAATCTCACTCACCACATGGCACATGCCGCTCGTCACCGGTGTCAACTCCGCCTGAACACGGGGTACATCTGCATGGTGCACCGTGTAGACATGTCACTTCCCAATCACTTCCGAACATATGTCACTCGCTCATCTCTATCCCGACATGCTAGCGTCCTCATGCACGATCGACTCCCTAACCTACCTAACCTACTAACCTCGTTCAACGGCTGGCTACCCAGCCACCGAACTCTAAAACTCTATGCTCCTCTCAGCCTTCGGCATGTCACAGATCGTTCAGATGATTAATCCTGCCCGATTGGCTGGCTGCCCATCGACCCCGTCGGTGTTCGTTGTTCCCTGCGTACATCTAGTTTGTTATTCATCTAATTCCTCATCGCAGTTTCACTTGCCACTTGCCACCTTGGATACACTACTGTACTACTAGCTTTCAGCACGCAGGTCATAGTAACACCCCTCTTCCCTGCGTGCATGCCCAACCCTCCTGAACATCACATCACAGCACACCATCGGACCTTTTCATCTAGTCCAGCCGCACCTCAGACGCTGACGATGATCTTAGCGATGATCCTAAAGAGCTAGGTGTGCTAGGCAAGCTAGGTCCCGCGTTGAGGCCAGACTGGCGGGTGGTACACTAGCAGCCATGATCGCTGTGAATCGGGCCTTTTCGGTCTTCCGCGCTTGGGGGCTTTCGGACTTTCGGGGTCTGGGCAGGCTACTGGTAGTGGTAGTACTACGAAGGGAATGGAGGGGAGCTAGACGATATGTTAGATGATAGGTCAATCGCAACGGAACGGTAGGAACCGCCGTTCGTAAGCGTAGGTGATTTGGAAGGGTTGTTTTGTGGAGATTTTCTGTAGTGTAGAGAGACGGTTGTTAGAGGGGTGGTGCGACGGTCACCGGTCGGGTAGTGTTCGGCGGAGTGTTGTTTGGTTGCGATGAAGATGGACATACACCTAGACATGCAGATGGCGGAGGGAGGATGGGATGGGCTGGGTAAGTGGTACATCATCACGAAGGTGATGCCGGTACATGGCGTGATGGTGAGACGACAGTGGCGGTCAGAAGAATGTCTGGCGGGCGGTGTCATAGTGAGGAATGATGGCGCTGCACGTAAGCTTACTTCCCCTCCCCTGCTGAAGTGGTCTGAGGCTCTGCGGCAGTTGTGGACCTGGTAACGATGGACTTATGTCCTTTTGAAAACAAGTCAAGCTTGTGTTTTGAGACAAAAAAGCTAGCCTTGGGGTAGCGCATCGCGATATCTTTTTCGACGTCATTACAATATCTAGAGAGTTAACATCAGGTATACCACCCGTATCGCAAATCGATGTCGCAACGTGCGTCAAATATTCTCAGCGTTTCTTATTAACTACATTACTAGTATATACAGGGGTATTTAAAAATGTCATGTCGCTCTTTCTCTTTGCTAATGTACAGGGATGGGGGTATACAAAGATAAAAGGCCGTGAGCCGTGATGCGGCAGTTGGTGTCGTCGCTTCCCTGCCGTGGTATATATCCGAGTCAAGTAAAGACCCAGATTCGAGCCGCTGTGGGGCGGTGTGCTTCCAGACGAACCTGGCTTTTTGTTCTCGCAGTCCTCGGTAACTGCGATTGCCGAGGCAGGTCGTTCGCATACTTTTTCGGGTTCACGATGGGCTTTTTTGGTGGTGGAGTGCGGCTGTGGGGTTTGCTTCTTCGCGCACGTGGGAGGACCGTGGTGGTGGGACCGGGGCGCTTAGACATATCTGGGTCGTTGATGATGGCGACTGTGATCACGACTGTGAGTGTGTGAACGCCTTCACCACCGCCGTTTGTACACGGCATTCGGTCATTTCCTTCACGGTACTCCGTTTCAGCTCGATCTGAAGCAAAGAGGAGCTTGCCGACGCGGCAAATATCTCCTTCGCGACATAAGCCACATCGCATGTCTTCGTGATGACAAATGGAAAATGTTGAAAGTGGGTATATTGCTGAAACTCATCATCTGTAAGGCGCAGACAAAACCGATCCCCGCTCTTCATCCGTGATGTAAAATGACTTGGAGACCATGATGCCGTTCTGGAAATGGTCCTCTTCCGCACTGCTCCGAGCGCTCTTGATCCTCAAACTCCTTTGACTATCGTTGTCGGAGTTGTCCACACGTGTACTTTTCTTCGAGTTTGGTGGTGCCTTTCCGCCGTACCATTTATTCGAATTTGGAAAGGTTCCATTAGGTTCGTCGTCGGAAGTGCGAGTCTGCACAGTGGCGGAGAGTTTGTACATGTCGGGACGGAGCTTGTCGGCTTTGGAGTTTCCAGCGGCATTGCCGGGTAAGGGGGCGGACATGCCGTATGCGGACGGACGGTAGGCTCCAGTTGGGCGTGTAGAGAGACCGAGCTTGTGCATGGCGATGAAGAATAATGGGCGGAGCGTTGCAAGGCTACCGGCAGTGATAGCGAGACCTTGTTCGACCGATGACCAGATGGCGATGTCAAGTGTGGACCCTGGCAGCATCAGTACCCAGTGAATGAGCAGCGGTAGGGAGACTTACAGAGGAAGTCAGGAGAGTTAAAGTAGTGGACGAAAGGCATGCGGGCGATGACCGCAGCACTTGCGATGCACCCCATAGTGATCAACGGGATCAAAGCGACCTTGGTCCTCCTCTTCAACTGCAAGTGCCATACCAAAAAGCCCGGAATGATGGCGAACGTGAAGTCGGTGATGATACTGAAAATACTGTAGACGTAGCCGAGAGCGGTGATGACTGTGTTGTCGACGCACTTTCCTTCTTGCGAAGTGCGGTCCCACATGTACGAGATTGGGTAGCATTGGAAGAGACAGACGAAGAAGAAAGTGCCTCCAGCAATGATCGAGACGCACATGGCACTGTAGATGATCCTGATATTCTTAGTCAATGTTGTTACAAGTTCAGTTTGCGATAGCTTACCATGTGTGTAGTTTTCGAATACTAATCCGCAGGAGAAGGAACCCAATGGACAGCTTGGAACATATCATAGATATGGAGTAGAACAAATAGCAAAAGTACCACGCATGCTTCGCATTTTGAACACCCTCGATGGGTAGGTCACGATGATGTTTTCCGGTTCCATAGTGTATGCCGATGCAAGACGATGTGATGTATGAAATGAAGAAAAGCTGAGGACCTAGTCAGATCGGGACCCAGTTATCGTATTAATATATACTTACAGTTGCGAGAACCATCAAATAGTCATCTCGGCCAAATGCCTTGACCATACAGAGGCGAACATATATCCTCAATGCACAAGCCAGGACTGCGGTGGTAACGAAGGCGATGTTGACTGCGAGCAGCTCGGGGCCTCTGTTGGGAATAGCCATTGTGGTGTGGTATATTGACGAAGCAGTGGACACTCATACAGTGAGGAGGAGCCCCAGAATGAGCACACCGTTCGGTCGGTAATGGGGGGCTCAGGATCTTTTACGCAGCTAGACACTTGACCGAATAAGCAGGGTGGAGACTATAGAAGACACCGCATAATGGGTGCCGCCACGAGTGAAGTGGGTCTGCGGGCGGGCTCCCAGGACTCGTTCCAGGGTCTGGTCCGTTTCAAGGAGCGACCATTACCAACAGGGTCGTTGTCCCGCGGAGCTCGGACACGGGACTATGGATTTGGCGAAGTCGTTCATGCGTTGACAGGGCACACGGGGACGCGTAGAAGCTGACGGCAGTAGTGTTGACTGCCGCAAACGAAATTGTTCATTGAACTCAAATAGGGACATGACGGAGAGGATAGGAGATCAGCTTACCTAGGTACACATGTGCAGCAACTGGGCAGCTTCGTGCACATGGCTGACTTGTACCTCGCATAGGCTGGGACGCCACCATGGCTGGAAGGCAGCTCGCAGTAGCGAAACTCAAAAGCGCGGCTTGGGGAACGGCAGTGGTTGTTCAGTCCTGCTTTTGGTGGTGCCTAGATGCGTCCCGCTCGAAGGAGTTTCGCGATGTTCACCGGCCACGTGAAGGCTAGCCGAGAAGGGGATTAGTCACCGAAAATCTCGCAAGGGCAGCGTTTTCCGTGCCTTCCGCTTCCCAGCTAGCTCCGACGCCCACTGACAGCCCTGGAGTCAACACTCAACCTCACAGACTCCTCGGAGCTCCCACTTGCTGCCGCTGATCGGCTGCATCATCGCGCAGTGTCTCTTTAACCGTTAGTTTCAGCTATTCTACGCTGACTGCCGATTCTCTCGATGAGGAAGTGCTCTGCACCTCTAAAGACGGGAACTTGTAACCGCTAGCCGGGCGGTTCCTGAACCTGCGTGGAGCCCCATTGACAGGTTTGCGAGAACGAGAGTCCGCCGACACCGCCAGCCATGCCACGATAATAGATGCTGTGGCTTTCGAAGTTCGATTGTGTAAGTCAAGACTGTCGCCAGCCTAATCAGGTGCCTCGGCTTCTTCACATTGAGTCTGCAGGGTTTCACGAGTATCTAGTGCGCAGACTGACTCGTCGTCGCGGGCATCGGCACTTGCTGTAGGCACTGGAGGACCTGGATCTAGCTCAACACTTGCATCATCGCCAGCGCTACTATCGTCCCCTAGATGCAGAGTCCGTCGCACGAACAACCATAGTTCGCGACTGAAACCCAGACTTGGGATCTGATATACAACAACGGCTAGTCGTCCGAACGCCTGTCAATCGCCTGTCCGACGACTACCGCTTCAATATTTCGACACACAGGCATCGGGATTGAGTGCCCACGCGGGTAACGCTGGATGGCAGGTCGATTCGTTTCGCAGGCACCATCCTAGCGATCAAAATTCCATATGTGGGCCCCGAATCCACAGAACAATGGCGACATGAGCGTCGCATGCATCAGGGTAGCACAGCACTTCCAAATTCCTGGAAACAACTCCGCAACCGTTTATCTCCCGATGCCACGCCCGTCCGGTCCTCTTAAAGCCAGTTGGTCTCAGCTCAACGTTCTTCCCGTTTGGTAAGTTCGTCTCAAACTGCCGAGGAACGCTCACCAGGCCTCCCAACAAAGGTTTAGGCGTCCGGCGGAGCAGACTCCTGGGGAAAAACCCGGGCTGCCAAAGTGGCGACCGTGTATTGGAGTTCGGAGAGTAAAACGGTGTTCCCCTGCGAGTGCGACGAAGAACTCTTCGTACCCTTGGCCTGTTGAACCCACCGTCGAGCCGCCCCATCGCCGCATTCGTGCAACCCTTGCAGTCGGGAGCAACGATCCTATGGTTGACTGGGTTGAGTGAAAATCTTGAACACTTCTGGACGACGCTCGCAAGGTTCAGTCATGGCAACAAACTTTGGTTAAAATGTGAGTCGGTACCTGCTGGTAACGGACGAACTTGCGGGTTTGGTGTCTAGTTCGCGCTCATGTCCGACGTCGTGTTATCCGTGTACACGATGGCGGACAACATGCCTTCGAACCAGGGACTCAATGAATGTTTGCTAGAGGCCTAACAACCGAAGCAGGCAGGTGATGTACTGCAACAAACGTTGCTGATATACTGGAATATTGGCGACATTCAAACATGCGGACATGTTGGAGGCCGAGCCGCCGTCTAGTCCGAATGCGATTTCTGATGCAGCTGCCACGGCTGCTAAATCAGGAGGCGAATATCACAACCCGAACAAGACACGGCAACCCGTCATCAAATAAACTGCCGATCTTGTAAGCTGGACCAGAACGCGGTATCCATACACACGCGAACAAATGGTCTACACAAGAAGCATAACATGAACATCACCACCCTCCAATTCAAATACACCCACCCCCAAGGGGATCGGGCTGCACTGTTGCATTGCTGTTACGGCCGAACTGCAGTGAGATATCCCCTTCTTTCCGGGCAGGGTATTGGCATGTGCCCAGCAAGAACACGACCTTGCTTTTGCGGCACATCCTCACTTTCTTATCTCCAGATAGCACAACACACACAAGCATTCGCTTCTCGGAGTAGTAAGTCCATGCGATAACCTCCAAAATTGCTTCTTCGCATCCTCCGCCCTCCTTTTCCCAAGTTAAGCAATTTGCTTTTTCTTATGCATGCACGCGAATGCACATGTACATAGCATGCGCCAATGCGGCACAGTCTCGGGCGCATCAAGGGCACGACGCGCCCGCCCACTCACCAACACGAAGACCCCCGGAAAATCCTAGCGGCTACGTCCCGCAGCCGCCCCAATCACGTCGCCAGACAATTCTCCGCATTGCACCGCCGAAGGAATGCCGTGTGGGTGACAGCGGCTGTGGCGTAGGTGTTTCCCTTTGGTGGATTGAAATTACGCAACCGCTGGAGGACGGCTGTGCCACTGGTAGTATGTTTCGTGCGTGGGTGGAGACTTTGCGGCGTGGTTGAGAGGGATTGTATATGAGAAGGTGAATGCGAGGTAGGGCGCACGCTGTGTGCGATTTACCATATCACAGACATCTTCGGACCGAGTATCACTCAACACTCCAAACAAACGCACTGCGAAACCGGCTTACAGCGACACATCAACTTGCGACTACACGCACATCAACACAGCACGAGATGCAGACCGTTCTCTCAATCGCAGGCCTCATCACCTTTGCATCCGCCTCCCCACTACCCTCGCCTGAACCCTCAGAAGCCCTACCCCTCGTTACTCTCTCCCTCATCGGCTCACCCTCACATTACACACTCGGTTCATCCCAAAACCCACAGATATCCACATCAACATCCAACAACGCATGGTCGATACATATACCCATCGATGTCTCCCTCGATCTCAGCACACGACCGGAACACGTCCAAGCCATCGAGATACTTGGTGTAGAGAAGGGTACGGATCTGCAGGGAGGGGCAGTAGAGAGGGATGATGCGGAGGTTGTGTGTAAAGCGAGGTTGGGGTGGGGAAGTGAAGGGGTGGTTGTGAGGATGGGTGGGGAGAGGGTTTTGCTTGATGGGGGGAAGGTGGGGAGGGTTACTGGGGTGGAGTGTTGGAAGGAGAGGGTATAAAATATGTGTGCTTAATAGAAGAAGTTCTTATAAGCAACATATGGAGGGAAGTGGCATGTGGCTACTTTCATTGCGTCGGCGTCCGATATTCACATCCACCATGAAGCGTCGACATTGGTTCCACTTCTTCTTCTACAGGCAGTCTTACAGCCTGATAATATAATCCCTTCCAAACGTTCTGTCGACCTACCTCGCACGTACGTCCATCATCATAATCTCCATTCCCTACGCCCTATAACTCTGCATCAGCTTCTCCACAATACTAACCCCCATCTGCTCCTCCTCACTCATCTTCCCCCCACCCTCCCCTTCCTCATCTGCCTTCTCCTCCTTCCCAGAAACAAACCCCTCCTTCCGCATAATCATCTCCATCATCCTAATCCCCCTCAACTCCTGCAACGGCGGAATATTCTCCACACCCTCTGGATCTATCGCGTCGAAATCTACACCTTGGGTAGGCTTAACCGCACCCTCAATCTCATGCAGCGCATCCGGTGTAACAACAAAATCACACTGTACCTCTCCCTTCCTCGTCGGAGATACTGTTACCTTCTCCACACCCAGCGCCGCCTCATCAACGACCTGGCAGTCATGCGCAACCGCCACAACAGGTCTCTCCGCACGTAAAACACCCAGATCCGATAACATCGCATATTGTATCTCAAACAGATTATGCCCTTCCCAGATCGTCACGCCCTGCGCGTTGAACACCAGAGCCCCCGTGACACACATGTCCACTTTGAGCCCTTCATCACGCATCTGCGCCAGCGACACCGAGCGTCCTATCCCAGGCTTCTCCATGCCGTCTAGACACGCCGCGATTTCGTATTTCGTCTCCGCTATCCGGCCAGGATGCAACAGCACGAATCCCCTGCGCAGCCGGTATGTAGCGACCAGCACCTTTTTCCCGTCTTTCAGCGCCCGGCAGCGGAGGTGCTCGAGGCTGTTGTCGGGGGTTATGAGGATTACGGCGGCGGACTTGTAGCATGGTAGTGAGACGAGACGGTCGATGGCGGAAGAGGAGCCCCGGAAGTCGGGGGTGAAGGACATGTAGTCGTGGTTGAAGCGCGCGTCGGGGTGGGCGTGTTGGAGGAGGGTGCGGTAGACGGATGCCCAGATGAGCTTGCGGTTGGCGTCGTCATCGGCGCCGGGGGGGTGGGGGGCGGTCATTGGGAGAGGGAAGCGAGTGACGGGTGGCTGGAAGCCTGGGTGGTGGTGATGCTGTGGGAGCGGAAGGCGGCGTGGTGGACTGTATGCGCCGTGCCGCGCACTCCATCGATGATGGATATGGCGGGGGATTCTTTGTTTGGGCTGACTAACCGGGCCGCATCGTCATTTTGCGTCCTCCTCCTCCCTCATCTCAACCTACAAAAACCGTATCATCTATGAAGGCACGCCAGTATCGTCCTTCACGATGTACAGAAGTCGCGTCGCGAAGGCATGGCAGGATCCCGGCTTCACCCGCCCCCGCGTCATTGGGGTACACTTCCCGCGTCGGCATGCGCTAAATCGGCTACATGATTAGGCCCGTCATATTACCGAAGAGTCACATATCTTGAGGCCAAGACGCGTGCATAGGAGATTTGAGTATTGTAGCTGATGGTCTAGGCACATATTAAATGGCAGCTTCGATGGACAAACATGACGAAATCGAGTTGCGAACAGCGGCGACACCATCAAGCCGGTCGTCCATGGAAGGCAACAAAGGAACGATAGCAGAAGAGCGCATTACAGAAGCAACGAATATGGATTCAATCAACACTGGACCACCAGTTCTCGAGCTCCGAAAAGATAGTGAGCCCCTCGAAGCTGAGACATCCGACACAAGAGATGGAAACAAGTCGCCAGCCAAGAAGAAGCCACCCAAACGCGCAAAAGCCCTCTCAGTCCTAAAATGGTTCATCAAAGACCAATGGTTCCTCCTCGCCATGGGCCTCGTCGTCCTCCTCTCCTCCCAAGTCCAAGTCCCCGCCTCGCAGCAACGCAAAAAACGAACCGTAATCACCTACCTCGCCGTATCCGTCATCTTCTTCATCAACGGCTGCACCCTAGACACCCGGGTCATGCTCGCAAACTACATGCGCTGGAAACTACACATCTTCGTGCAACTCCAATGCTACCTCGTCTGTTCCGCAGCCACCTTCGCCATCGTCAGCCTATGTGCTACGAACCCCAAGTTCATGGACCCGTGGCTCCTGATCGGGTTTCTCTTCGTCGGCAGCGCGCCCACAACCATGTCTAGTAATGTTGTCATGACGCGCCAAGCCCACGGCAACGCAGCACTCACAGTCGTGCAATCGGTAATCGGCCAGTTCCTCTGTCCGTTCCTCACACCGATAATTCTGCAAATGTACCTCTCGACCGGATCCTGGTACAGCAAAGTCCTGCAACGGGGTTCTGGCTACGCCGGGATATACCAGCGCGTCTTCATGCAACTCGGCCTCTCGCTCTTCCTGCCCATGCTGCTCGGGCAAATCGTCCAACGCCTCTTCCCCGCGCTCACAAAAAAGGTGTTCTTCGAGTGGAAGTTGCTGAAACTCTCCTCCATCGCCCTCCTAACAATGGTATGGCAAACCTTCGACCAAGCCTTCTCCTCCGGCGCCTTCTCCGCCGTCAAACCCTCCAACATCATCTTCATCGTCTTCATCACCATTGCCCTCTACTTCATCTGGCTGGCTATCTGCTTCGTCGCTGCGACTATGTGGCTCCCGAAGAAAGATGTTATAGCGTGTTGCTATTGCTGTCCGGCCAAGGCGCTGGCGATGGTTGTTCCGCTGACGAGCGTTATGTATATTAATATTGATCCCGTGGATCAGAGTAAGATGCAGATCCCGGCGATTATTTTTCAGGCTTTTCAGGTGGCGATTGGTGGGATTATGACGATTGGGTTTCGGAGGTGGGTTAGACCGGAGGAGGAGAGGGAGGAGGCGGAGAAGAATGTTGAAGCAGGAGGGTCGAGATGAGATTGGGAAGTGTGAGTCTGGTTGATGCGTTCTACGAAAGATGTTTGAACCATGCGCGAGCATCCGGCTTTTCTTTTCGTGGTCATCTATAGAAGTCTTGATTCCCCGCGACCACGGTACGTTGGTCCACTCCGCTCAGCCACCATTCCCACTTCCTGTACCCGTAAAACAGTCTCGCCATGTTGTATATAGTAATCCTCAACGCCGATAATGCACAAGACACCCACCCCTATCACCCCTATCACCCCTATTCCTGTTCAAGTAATGCAGCAGCACCCGTTCGGAATCTAACATCATCAGCCCTTATCTTCATCCACATCGTCGTTCTTCAATTGTTAATACATACGCATTTGCATATCCCAAGAAAGCCATCGCAAGGACATTCGATGCAGGAAACCGCTGCGGTAGTTCCATCCGCATTCCTGATCTCTTTGACGGATCGATTGAGACTGACCTGTTTTATTGGTTAGTCAAGGAAGAGTGAAGAGGATGTAAGGGAATGTGAGAGGTTGGAAGGACGTACTGCAGCGGGCGACGCAAGCGCAACTGACGCAGCAACAACCGCGATGATAGCTGAAAGCTTCATGATGTCTCAAGCACAACCTGCAGATGCCAAATGTAGAATTGAGCGAACAACCCCAAAAGTGATGGAAGAGTCCCGAAAGCCAGGTATTTGATCGACACAAACAACAGCACCAAAAAGTAAGTAACACAAAGCGCACAACACGATAGCAGCCCAGATCGACGAGCCCGGCTCTTAAACAGTAATTACTTCTGCCCATCAATCTACTAAACCCCGCCAAGTCAGCCCATCCTAGCACAGTCGCTAGCCCAGGTTCCCAAACTGTCCCTCATTAATTTACATATTGCGTACGACATGGCACTCCGGTTCCCCGCGTGCGCGCCCTCGTGGCAGAAACCACGAGATTAATCTATGTCGCGCTGGGGCGGCGACAAGCGGGCATCTCGGCTAACAGGCCACCTCGGGACATCCGGAGTTTAGGTGCTACAGTACACAAATGCCACGAGCCTCGTGTATGCGCCGCTTTACCCGCAAGTTACCTCAACCAAGCCTTGATGCAAGTTGAGCGATAACCCAGAGCACATATACATACTTTCGCCCCAGCCTGCACCAAGCGAGAACATGAACGCGACCCAAAACCGGCGCGACACACGCCACCAAATTGTCAAAACTCGCGATGGATATACGCGACAGGCGCTAGCACCAAACTCTGTCGGTGACCACACCGCGTGTGCAGTAGTCGATGGTAGAAGCTGGAAGGGCGACTGCATACTCGTATATGTACTCAACTCTAGCTCCGGGCTGCGGTAAATGCAAATGCTCCAAAGTCTAGATTCTGCGAAACGCTGTTCGGTCGATGCCAGATCAGCGATAACAACAATCACATATGCGCAGTCCGCGGGTATGTCCATCATCGTCGCAGCATCCGAACGCGCCCCCAAGATGACGTGCGTCAAATCGTCCTTCACCTCGCGAGACAGGTCTTCGGGTCCGCCGCACCGTGCCACAACATCCCTTTCGCTTTCGCCGCAGAACAACACAAAAGGGGGCCTCTGCGATATGCACACTCCTTTTTTCCCCATATGTCGGCACCTGCACCAGGCGAGAAAGACTGCACGTGGACTCCGCCGGACGGGGGGCCTCGATCTAGACTTCTTCGCCCGCCCTGCATATATTAATCTTCTGGTTAACGAAGGGAGTATTCTTGTGTTTGGGCCAATCAGGCGGGGGCGCAAGATGGTATGGATATATTGCAACTTGCGAAAATGTTCCGTGCCTGCCGCAACTGCTGGCTCGCGACTGCCAATATGCATGCCGACTGTGGGATGTCTTTACCATTTACCCGGGATCTCATGGTCTTCGCGGCTCTTGCTCATGGGATTGGGGATCTAGATGCGAGCGGTTCTGGATGCGGTCAGATGCCTCTTGTACGATCACGTGAGGAAGATATCTCCATAGATTCCACACTCCAGCTCACGCAACACCGCGACCACGCTATCCGACATGAGAAGTACATTGACCTTCAGCACCTCCGCCCATAACCTACGTACCCCTTCCCTCTTCGACTACGACCGCCATCTCTAACCTTTTGCGCTTCCGCTCTCCACCTTTGACTTGCACCAACCCGTGGCCTAGGTCTCTGTTTGTACCCTCCCTTATGCCACGTCCCATCACCCTCATACTCGAACTCAATCCCCAGACCCCGTTTCTCAGGGTTATCGAACCTATCCAGCCAGCGATTCAGCTGCGCATGGCTATCCTTCGCACCAGCGGTATACGACAAGACAATACGTATCTTGCGCATCGGCACCGCATGACTGTCGTATGCCCCCGCGACCTCAAGTCCATCGTTGCTCAGCTTCTTCAGCTGAGCCTGCGACAGCCGGTTTAGGAACGTGACGACGGGTGCGAAGTTGTGGTTGCGCACTGTGGTCGTTATGACGGGTGCGTGGAAGAGGACGGCGTCGATGTACTCGTCGCAGATCTGTCTGTTTACTCCGGCGAGCCCGCAGCGTGTGACGATGTTGCGGACCCCGGGTTTGAGCGTTGATGTGTTGTCGGATTCTAGGACGTGCTTGTAGATTTCATCTCGTAGCTCTCGTGGGAGGGCGAGGAAGGGCGGTAAGGTGTCATAGGTTGGACGTGGTTGTACGGGTGTGATGTCTGATGTAGTGGTTTTACGCGCACGTTTCTTGGGTGCTGATGCATGGTTGGTGGTGGGAACTGGGTTGGCGGCTTGCTCGTCCAGTTTGCGCTTTGAACGTCTGAGTTCTGGGGCTGCTGCTGTAGTCATTGTTTGGTTCTATATGGTATCATATCAAGTTCTACATGTGTGGTGCTGGTGAACATATACTCATACCGTGCCAAGGCGTTCCTGGTGATCATCCAGGCAGCAGCAGGCAGCGACGAGGCGGTTGAGGGCGACGAGAGTCGGCCCGACTGCAACCAATTCCTTTCAACCCCCAGCGGCGTCCAACTGCTTTCATCCGAAAAACATCAGTATCTCGTGTTACCATCGCTCTTATCGGAAGAAATGAAAAGGTATAGGTACCGCATTGATTGCGAAAGCTGTGATGGCTTGCTGCAGGCTGCCCGCCAGATGCTACTCTCATCTCATTCTCAGGCTCCCCTCACCGGCACTTCCTATGCGCCATCGCAGAGCAACAGTGCAAAATCACCTCAGC